CGTGTTGGACACACACTAACAGCTCTTGTGCTTCTGCATGGCAGTGTTACCCATGGACTTGAGCACAAGAGCAATACTCCAGAGACCATTTTCCTTCTGCTTCATCACTGACTTGCTGCATAACCGTGGCAAATTCCTTCACTCCTCAGCTCCTACCTCTGTAAAGTGGGTCAGTACCTTTATCCTCACGTTTAGGCACTTTTGCTAATGGGAAGGTGTATAAAAGCTAAGTCTTAGTCTTTATTTGGTCATCCTGACCCATTTTTAGTGGGGCTTTACACACAAGCGCGGGGGCTGCTGCAGGGAGCAGCAGAGCCCCTCCGCTGCAGTACGTGATGTGTGACACAGCAAGTCCAAGGAACACTGACCTGAGGAATGAATAAGCAATGGAGGCAGTCGCCAAACATCAGGCACATGAAACCAGAATGCCAAAGCCAGTTGCCTGGCAACCTAAATGGTAGGCACAGGACAGTGGGGACAATCCTTGCCATCTGGACTCTTCTGTGCAATCTATAGAGACACTCGCATCACGTGAGTGAGATCATCTGCATGCTGCTGTTTCCATAGAGACCCCAGAGGAATCAGTATTGAAAGACTCCAATTACAGAGGCAGCAGCAAAGCACCTCAAAGGCTTATTCCATTCATTTATTCCACTTCATTTTGTGCTTGAGACAGAGAGTGTGAGGCTGGAATTATGATGCTGGAGAGCTGGGCTGTGCTGAGGTCATCTGGGGTGTGCTTTTTACCCCCTTTCATAGCCAATTTGGGGAGGTTAGTCAGGGAAGAATAACTCTGGAGTTGAAATTAATGGTGCCTGATGACAAGCTAAGCCACATCTGAGCTTCTACAATTCACAGCCTATCTCCTCTGTGCAACTGTAGAGAAGGAATCAATACTTGGTCCCAGGAGCTTTCAGGCAGAGGACCAGCCCTGTGGTGTTTAAACCCAGGCAGGTGCAGTGCACAGCCAGGGCCTGTTTGCTTCGGGCCAAGGATGCTCCAGATGCCTGGTATTAAACCCATGTAGTCCCTTATCTTCACTAGAAGCACACAAGGCCAGTGAGCACCCCTGGCTGCAGCGTGTCCCAGGCACTTGCTGTCTGGCAGTGATGGTTGTGGCAGTTACTCACCGGGTTGCTCTCACTGGTGTAGAAAATTGCTCTCGGTGTCAGTGCTGGGGCTTGGACATCCTGGCTGACAGCAGCACTTAAGCAATCCTTGGCTGCCACATGGAGGGCACAGCCATGGTCCAGCTGAGGGAAGGAAAAGGCAAACAGACAACAAACTTCTGAGCAGGCAAAGGAAGCCAGGCAGTGGTTTGGTTTGTACACTCACTGCGTGCACATGAGGATGGCTGTGAGGGTAGCATGCAATACGTAATAATCCCGTGCAATGAGAATAAAACCTCAGCATTAGGATGTAAATTCATCGTGAAAAAGCACACGGTGTAGAGCCACATCACATTGAGAGGCTGCCTCTAAACCACTGCCATTCACTTCAGTTGGCTACCATGTAAGTTATCTGGAGAGCCAAGCCCTGTTCCTGGAAGAGTTCTCTATCCCCTTCAAGGCTGCTTAAGGGCACAAGTACAGCCATTAAGATCTTACTGCTGGGATATTCTCCCAATGCTTCTGCCTAGCCTGATGAACAGTAGCTGGTACCTTGAAAATTCCAGCTGGTAACCCAGAAGCATGTCAGTGGTTGAGATTAGTGCAGTGCTACCCACTGTTCAGTATTTGTAATGACATTCCCTACACTGATTTGCCTGTGTCTCTGCATCCAGACTCTTTCATTATAACACAGACATGGCTGAGAAAGGGACAACTAAGCCGATTAGTTCTTTCTTCCATAGAGAGACTGCTGAAGGGTGCCTGTAAAGCTTGGGCCAAACCAGGCAAGAAAGTGAGGAGGAGAAGGACAAGCATTTTATGACGTTGTGGTGAAAGAAAATGGAAGCATTTGTCAGGGACTGAAGCAGTGAATGCTCCAGGCAGAGGCTGGGACCAAAGCAAAACTGAAAGTCACCCTTCCCATTACTGACTGGAACAGTTGCAGGCCCCAGCTGTAAACAGAGCAAGGAGTTTCCTATTTTGTCTGTCTGCAGAGATGAGAGGAGCCATAAAGTAAAGTTTAGAGACAGGAGCAGCTGGTTCAGTTCTCCGTGGCATGATGCAATTCTGCTGTCATCCCGCTTTTCCTCAGGGGGTCATTGGAAAGCCACAAGAAGAAAGTGTAATGTTGGATTACCCCACATCCCAAACACACAATGGGCTCCTGCATCAGCCTTTCCACGCTCCCTCTCCTTTTAGGGAGGGAATTCAACTGGTTTGGACTCAGCACTAGATACCTCTCTAACTGCAGGGCAAATACAGAGCATCACTAAACACTCAGTTTTGTCCCCACGTATTTCTCTTGTTGCCACAGTGGTGTTTTCCTCAAATCCAAACCATCAGTTCAGGATGGTCCTACTTGGCTGCCTTCAGTTCAGATCCACAGAAGTGTCTTCATTTACAGGGCAGAGCAAGGCCCCAGGATGATAATGTTATACATGGATAACTAGAGCATGCAGCTCTTGTCTCCTGTTCACCTAGAAAAGGTCAGCCCCAAGTTATTCTGAACCTGGCCCCATGGTCCCTCTCATTGCCTTTGAACATCCCACATTCCCTCCTTCCCAAGTGAACATCTTGAGGCTGTGAGCTCTGCTCACTTCAAGGCAAGCTCACTGCTCTGGGGACATCCTTTCTCAGGAGTCCCATGCAAATCCTGACCTGTGGAGCAGTGGATGAAAATCAAGCAAGGATTCACTTCTTCCTCTGTGAGTTCAGTTCCTGTGTGCCTAGAGAAGGACTTTGTCTTGAAGTGCAGCCCCCTGCTCTTGCAACCAAGTACATGGAACTTCTATTTTTCTATCAACAGAACATATCCCATCTTCCTACATCCTTCTCCTGGGAGGAGCCTGGTTTAGAGCATCACTTCTTTGAACCTTGGCGTGATCAGTCTTCCTCAGAACCACTGTGTAGCCTTGAGTGCTTTGGAACGTTCCCTTTGTGGAACGTAGCTTGTGTTGGGCTGTGGAAGCAGTTTCTAAGCACCTGAGGACATGAAATCCTTTCCTAACTCTCTGAAGTGCTACAAAACCAACAGAAGCTCCTACAGTAGTGAATACAACACTACTCATAGCGAGCTGGTTACTCACTCTGCCAATGCATTATCTACTCCTGCTTTATAGCAGCAACGTGCCACTTGATCCCTCCTCCTGACAAAAGGCAGTGGCTTATCCCTGGTCCCCTTGGCTTCATGCAGAATGCCAGAGGCACATCCATGCACCTTTCTGGCTCAGCGTAGAGCTGTGCAGTAAATCCTAACGTGTCGAGAAGGTTCTCGGGTTTTCACATCACCTTTTAATGCTGTTTTCCTAGTAGCATAGAGTGGGGTTTATAGTAAGTTTGTATCTGCTAAAGGACAGAGTAGTGTAACTCGGATCCCTGAAATGGCAGCAAACCATCACGTGGTACATGGAGACTAATCCCAAAGTCATGTGCCATAAGGTGGAGCTGTTCCTACATGTTTCCACATATCTCAGTCCCTAGAAAAGGCTGTTTATTTCATCAAGCTGCCATCATCAGTACCGTACAGCGAGTCTCATCTCTGGAAAGAAGCCGTTATGCAGCATCCTCTTTAATGGCTGCACGTCAGGGTGTGCTGGTGAAAAAGCATCGGGAAGACAAGAGCAAACAAACCGACTGAGAGTCTCTCCCACTGTGAAGTCATTCCAGACCTGCACCATTAAACTCATTGTGCTCTTTATAGTATAAGGGAGCTTTTCTGCTAACACAGCGCTGCTGCATTGCTGTGGCAGAGCTGATATTACTTACACCCACCTCATGCAAAATTATCTTCCCACCAGCAACAGCCTCTGTGCAAGGCTGGGGGATCTGTTCTGTGGAACGGGCTTCTCCCCTTGCACTTCCCAGCAGTGCAGAGCACGTCAGTGCTGTCTCCTGAGCCACGCTCGCGGCTCAGATGTGGAATTCCAGCATTCTGGACATTGCAGAATGCCAAACTTTAACCTCCTAACAAGCGCCGTAAGCCAGCGCTCCTGCCTCGCTCCATGGCCTCTCTCCAGCCAACAGAGGGAAGTGTAGAAGGACTAACAACCCAAGTGGGCTCTCTTCCCTTTGCCTGCAGCGGGAGTTTCCGCTCGTGGGAGGCACCAAGACTTCAGCTGCCAGAGGTAAGCAGCACCTCACTTCTGGCAGGTGTAAATGGTCATTCCAGTTCACAGGACAGCTGAAACCCGGGCAGCAGCAGCGCACCATTGCAGGGCTTACCTTTAGGGGATGGGAGAGAAGTCCCTTCAAACTCCTCAGCATCTTTTCTGCAGAGAAAAAGTGGATTTTTTAGGGGGATTTCTTATGGTTCATGGATCTTGTGCTAGGAGAGAATCATTCCTGCCCAGAGAGCTTCAAGTCTTGGCACACAAATCATATTCTCCAGGGTTTGGCTGTCTCCGGGGGGGGGAGGAGAGCCAAACCGGCTCCCGTTACAGAGCCACCCCCTCAGCGCGCCCTTCCATGGCGGAAGACCCACTTGTGGCCTTCAGGAAGGGATTCAGGGATCAGCACGGAGCTGATGCAGAGCGCCCTGAAGTGCTTGCGGCCCTCACCCACCGCCCCCCCACACCCCCCTGCTGCTCGCCCTCTGCGCTCGCTCCCGGCTGCAGGAAGCCGACCCCAAGCGCCAGGCACACGGCAGCAGAGACGGGCCCGGCTCGGAGCCGGTGCCCGCTCCCCACCGGCCGCACGCAGCCCTCGGTCCCGGCACTCACCGCAGGCCGCGGCGCCGCCGCCGCCACACGCGAGGGCCGCTACGGGAGCCGAGCAGGGCCAGGCCCCGCCCAGCGCTGCGCTGCGCGGCGGGCGGGGGCGGGGCCGGGGCGGAGGGGTGTGGCCGCGCCGGGGCGGGGCGTGGCCGCGGGCGGGGCGCCGGGGCGCTCGCTCGCGGTGGAGCAGGAGCCGCCGCCATTTTGGTTTCGCTGCCTCGGCTCGGAGCAGGGCCGAAGCGGCGGCCGGTCCGTGCGGGTCCCGCCCTGGCCCCGTCCGCGCGGGCGGCCGGGAACGATGCGGCGCGGAGCAGCCCGGGCTCGGCCCCGCTCGCGTTGTCGCTGACACGGTGAGGAGCGCGGCGAGCGAGCGGGGCGTCGGGCGGGGACGGGACCGCCTCAGGCCCGGGGCCCGGGGGGAGGGGAGCCCGGCCGGGGAGCCGCGCCGCGGGGGCCGCCCCGCATCGCTGTGACCGGGACCCGGTCGCGGGGCAGCCCCGGCGGAGGGGGCTCGGAGGGCGGCGGCGGCGGCGGGGGGAATCCCCGGTGGTGGCGGGGGTGCGTGGGGCCGGGCCGGGGCCGGAGGAGGGAGGCGGGGGGGGGCGGGCTCGGCCGTGCCCGCGCCCGGAGTTGGAGCGGGGGGACCCCGGCGGGGCCGCTGCGGGAAGCGGGGCGGGGGATCCCTGACAGCCGGGCCCGCGCCGGGAGGGGGCGGGGGATCCCTGACAGCCGGGCCCGCGCCGGGGAGGGAGGCGGGGATCCCGGCGCGGCCCGCGGGGGGTCCCGGTGGCGGCGGGCAGGGGCCGGGGCCGGGGCCGGGCCCCGCGGGGGTGCCGCTGCCTGACAGCAGCGCTCGTGCGTTGTGTGGGGCCGCGGCGCGGGGAGGGGGGGGCGGGAGGTCACCTGACAGCTGGCCCGGTGCCGCGGGGGGTTCCCCGGGATCGGGTCCCTTCCGTAGCCCCAAGGCTGGGGTCCGTGCCCGGCCCCTCGGCCGCGGCTCTGCTCGGAGCCGGGGGTGCTGCTGCTTGGGTGGCGTTGGTGGGTCGGTGCCTTGGGGGCTTTTGTGCCTGCGATGGCCTCCCTCGTGCTGCTGAAACCTCACTTTTAGTGCGGTTTTCGGCTCTTTCGGTTGAATCAGGCGGTATTTTTGGGTGAGATGGTTGTGACCCGCCTCTGGGCTCAGGAGCCAAGGTGCTGCTGTCCTTCGCTTACTGTTAGATAGGCTCCTGACTTCCTAACTTCTGGGTTTCACCCTTTGGTTTGTGGTTCCTTCACCCTGTTAATTACGGAGCAGAGAACTGGAAAGGGCTCGGGATGTGGGTTCCCATCAGATGGCCTCAGGACACGCATTCGCTCTCCTGGAAGTTGTGTGTTGTCAGGAGCCAGGCTTGAGGCAGTGGGTTCTTACTGTGGCTTTCCAGGCTGGGTAGGAGATATGTGGGGAGCAGGGATGGATGCGCGCTAACGCTCCGGGACCTGACATTTAAATACGCTTCATTTCCATTGTCAGGCCCCTCGTTTGCGTGTTCTGGGGGTTGTTTTGGTTGTTTTCCATGCCCTGATACGGATTGCACGTGCAGAGCGATGCGTGCCAAAGAACGCAGGGGGCTTTGGTGGATCGCGAAGGTTGGGTTTCACATGGGCATCCTTGAGCACCTCCAGCCCATCCCTGGGGCTTCTGCCTCGGCGTGAATGGGGAAGTTCTAGCAGCTGGTTGAACATATGGGTAGAGATGGGCTCTAAAATCATCATCTGCCTGCGCACTCGAGTTCTTAAGCGGCATTTGCACTTGAAAATGAAAGCTTCAGTAGCTTTTCTAAGCTGTGTGATAAGACATTGGGTTTGTTCTTTTGAGGAGGTCTCCGTCTGGGTGTAAAGACAAATCTTGGTTCCGTTTGACAGCCAAAACTTCAGTTGCATTTGATTGGTGCAGTCAACAGCATCTAGAAAGCACTTCATGTTGAGTGATCATAAACCAGAGAATAACTTGAGTCATGATTTACGAAAAGCAGCAGCTTGTCTTCGGTTGTTTTGGGAAGTTTCAGCTGTCCTCGAGGATACAAAAAGCAGTTTACACCCTTGGTGCAAGGGATGGGCTTGGGGATGGCAATTGTAATGCTGTTGGCACAAGAGAAGAATGGAAGGAGCACGTACAGTTACTGAGTTACAGCTGGTTTGGAATAGGTATTGTCAGGGGGATTGTTGACTTCTCATTCAAGTAACTTGGTGCTGGCAAGAGGAGGACGTTTGCCATTGGGGATGTTTCATCTCCCAGCTTCCAAACAGGAAAGCCAGAAGCCTGAGAGCTGACTTTTCCCCACAGTGGGCACCTGTAGGAGCAAGGCAGAGTGCACCTGAGAGCCAAAGGAGCAGGAAGGAGAATTCATAGTGTGTGAAAGCAAGATCTTGGAGGAGGGTGCTCCCAGCCCCTTGTCCAACCTGGCCTTGAACAGTGCCAGGGATGGGGCAGCCACAGCTTCTCTGTGCCAGCACCTCAGCACCCTCACAGGGAAGAGCTTCTGCCTTAGAGCCAACCTGAACTTCCCCTGCTTCAGTTTGAACCCATCACCCCTTGTCCTGTCACTACAGTGCCTCTGCAGCACCCTTGTAGCCCCCTTTGGACACTGGAAGTGGAACAGTGGATTACTATGTCCTGTAGCTGGTGCTAGGACTAACAGCCTAAGGCTAAATGACCCTTTGGTCTGATCAAATGTGGGGTTCGTTACACAGTGTTGGGCAGTTTCAGGTTGCTTTGCATATGGGTAGTGAAACATCAAAATGATCAGGCAAGTCCAAAGGGAATCTTTTGCTTCCAGCCTTTTCAGTTGAGGTAGGACACCAGAGCTTAAGATACCAGAAGAAACATCACATCTGCTTCCCAAGTTTCCCTCCCACTGGAGCACCCTTGGAATGTCATCATGCACCTCTTCCTACAGCCCTACGAGAAAGAAGACGAGGCCTGTGAGAAGCAATTACAGGAGGCCAGAGACTTCCTAGGAATGGTTTGGGATTTCAAACACTCAGCTGGATTTTTGGACATCCCTTGGAGCTGAAGCTGAACAGAAGGAAAATAGCTTCCAGCTAGAAAATCCCTGGATGTTTTCATCAACAGGAGTGAAGATCTGTAGTAAATCGGACAGAGGAAAACAAAATCTCATTTAATATTGCTAATGGGATGGGGAGCAGTGGATTGAGGAGCTGGCAGTGGGAGTCAGCCCTTGGTACAGAAATCTTAGCAGATGATGGACAAAAAAGGCTTTGGATGTGTCACCAGGGAAATAAGAATGAATAAAAAGTGTGAAACCTGTAAATGGCATTAGAAAACTCATTGATGAACAGTTTCAGTTCTAGGTTGCACGTTTCAAAGCGGATGTTAAACTGCTTCCTAGTTAATCTTACGGGGAAGACTGATTCCAGGAGGGATTTGAGACTTAACAGAATCTACTGGATGAGAGACTGGCAGTTTGCTCTGGTTTGCTTCTTGGGATGATGGTTAGGGCATGTCTTGAGCATCATTTGTAAGGCCGTGTAGAGACTGATACAAGATGGTTCTTAGTCCAGGAAATTCAGCCTTGTGTAGCTGCCTCTGAACTGTGGCTGTCATCATTTGACTGCATTTGCACATGGAGATTTGAAGGCAGGAGCTGCAAGAAGGACGGTAAAGATCCTGTAGGCAAAGTGTGAAGAGTAGCACAGAGAAAGCAGTGGTGTTACTTAACTAAAAGGGGGAGGGATGACGAAAGGAACCCGTGCAATGGAATGCTGTCACTGGTGAAACAGAAGCACGGAGGAGCAGGAGCAAGTGAAGAGCCAAGGTACAGTTACACCTTGGGGACAGCACCAGGAAGCTTGCACTTGATCAGGTGGGGAAGAAGCCTCAAAGAGGAGAGATCTCATCAGCGCGTGGTTAGGAAATGATTCCATGGTCAGGTTTTCTGTGAATCAGAGTGGGGTAATTGCGGAGTCAGAGAGGAGATTACAGTGATGGAGGCAAAATGATGCTGAGCTCCAGGATTAGCATTTTTGTTGCCTGTTTAGAGAGGAATTAATGGCTAAATAAAATGACCTGCTGCATGTTTATGAGAGGCATCAGTTTGTGCCTTTCTTTCTAGGGTTCTTACTGGTGCTGTTACCACAGAGCAACACTTTAACGCAGTTCTTTAATTCTCAGTGTGCGCTTTGTCTTGGTCTTGCGGGTTCTAAGGTCGGTATAGAAGAGGAATTACTTCAAGTCTTGCTATTAAGTACATTTGGAGCTAAGTACAGCAGGGTAGATGGTGGCCTTTCAGTCTAATTTGGTTTCAGATTTGAAGCTGACTCAACTTTGTATGTGAGACCAGAAGTGAAGCGTTGGAGCTGTTGTGGACCCCAGGCCCTAGGAAGGAAGTGGTGGTGTGAGCGTGGATTTGCGCGCTCCGTGGTGGCCTGTAGGATTCTCCCTTGTTCTTGAGCTTGAGTAATAAAACGTCGTGCCTGAGTTTAGACTTATTTTACTGCCTGGCAGTTTGTGTGTGTGTGGTGACATGCTGTTATAGCCTGATGGACTGAGCATTGGGCTTGATGGGAAAGGAGAACACCGCACAAGTAGTTGGGATTTGAAGGCCTGGCGTTAGCAAGTTGGCTCAAATGAACTGTTGCTTTAGTCAAGATGAAAATGTTCCCTCAGTATCTTATGATAAATAGGAAAGAACCACGTGTCTGCTGCCAGAAGTGTGGATTTCTCTGATCCTGTGCATCAGGAAGTGCAAACCTGTGTGTGCACGTGTTTGGTGGGGTTGTTTTGAGGGTTTCCTTCTGTTCTCTTCTCCTTCTTCCCGAGCTGTGGGAAGTTCTTAACTAACAAGCAGCTTTTATGGCATGTTTGCAAACCAGTGCATAACTTGGTTTAATCTCAATTTCCCTGGTGGCTTAGGTGATGGAAATGGGGTTGTTCCTGGGTTTTGGATGCTTTAGCATAGGTTTCGTTAGCTACATCATTCCTTAGCTACAACTGTTGCAGTGCGTCCAGGCTAAGAGTGGCAGAACCAGGAGTAGCTGGGCTCTGATTTTAAATAAAGGAAATGCTTTGATGATCAATATAAAAAGCCATAATCATTTGAAGTGTCTTGTGGATTAGTTGGAAATTACATTACAATAATCACTTCTGATTTTTCATCTATCATTTAAAAATGGCTTTACAATGCATTGTGTTTGTGTAGTAGATTATGGGCAGGTTGGTGTTTCCAGCTGTGTAACTGCTTGTCTGAAATAGAATTGTTTGCTTTGGGATTGGTTTTAATACTCATTTAATTCCTGCTAGAAAATGAAAGGTTAATTCTGTCTTTTCCTTCTACAGGGTAAAAGATGCTGACTGCCAGTAGTAGAACAGATCTTCTGTGGAACATATCTCTCTAAATCTTCCCTGCAGTTACCTGAAGGCATATTTTCCTGTGATGGACCCTCGGAATACTGCTATGTTAGGCTTGGGTTCTGATTCTGAAGGGTTTTCTGGGAAAAGCCCCTCTGTGGTTAATCTTGGCACATTGGTGGGGAAAGGAGAAGTAGAGCTGGAAAGTTGCACCAAGGAAGAAGACGACAGTAAGAAGAAGAACCGGGAGGGGACCAGTGCTGAGGATGGGAAGAACGAGGCTCTCACTGAGGCCCAGCAACAGTTTTCAGTGAAAGAAACAAACTTTTCCGAGGGGAACCTGAAGCTGAAGATTGGGCTCCAGGCAAAGCGAACAAAAAAGCCTCCCAAGAACCTGGAGAACTATGTGTGCCGGCCTGCTATAAAAACCAGCATCAAGCAACCAAGAAGGGCCCCCAAGAGTGGGAAGATGACAGATGAGAAGAATGAGCACTGTCCTTCAAAACAAGTGAGTAGAATCATGGAGTCATTTAGGTTGGAAAAGACCTTTGGGATCATCAGGTCCATCTGTTAACTTGGCACTCCCAAGTGCACCACTGAACCGTGTATCCCTTAGTCCCAGTAGTGTGTTTATGGAGTGTTTTGCAAGTCGTAGTGAATTTAAACCCTGTTGAAAAGTTTCTAGCATCTCTGCCCAACCATGTTCTACAAACTGTTTGTCCATGTCAGCTCTGGTATGGAAGGTTCTGAAGTTGGAAACGGTTTGATTTCATTTCCATTGACCGGGAATAATGGCTTTGCCCTTTTGCAGCTTGTCAGTGTTGGGTTTTTACAGTAGTAAAGGATAATTCCCATGTTAACTTGAAGTGAACATCGTGGGTACATTTCTGGAAAGTAACAGCTAATTTGTAATCCTTTGTACAGAAGAAATTGGGGGGGGGGGGATCTTACCACTCTTTAAATGGGGCTGTGTATTTGCTGTGCTCATCTCTAGTACTTGGCTTTGTGTTTTCTTACCTGTTAGAAGCACTGGTTTTGCTGTGGTTTAACTGATGCTCTGTGATGAACACAGTGAGCAGCGTCTGCAGAGACAAAATACTTCTCCAGATGTGTTAGAAAACAGCCCCGTAATAAACTGCATGAAAATGGAGTGGCTTGAGAGGTGTGCCAGGTATTTTCCAGGTGCAAGGAGATAGCCCTGCCTTGAGGATGTCTTCTTTTTATGATCTGCATGATGTAACAAGTAAGAGCAGCAATAACAGATAGAGAAAAGAGGATAAATGGCAAGAATACAAAATGCAGTTGCAGAGATGCTGAATGGTGGAAGGGTTTTCTTACAGCCCACTCTTTATTCCTGTGTACATGATCTGCCAACTAACCGAAGTCCTTTAAAATCCCTGAGTAATGCTAATGCACTTCAGATACTCTGCTCCCCTCTCAAGCTGTACCAAAGCATTTTCAGGGTGTTTAACTCTGCCTGTTCCCTGCTGGCACTTTGGCTGAAATGCCACTTTACAGCATCCCGGTTTGGAGCACGTGTGATTAAAAAGTGGCTTTGTGGAAGCAAATGGTAAACATGGTTTAAACCCATCAAAGCCATTGCATGTTTGGAATGCAGTACCTGAGGGATTATCTGCTCTTTTTCTTACTGCAGTGAAATAAATCAAGTTTTAGCGCTGCAAATTGCTTCAGAAATTTCAAGTGAGCCTTTAATCTTTCATTGACTGGGGGGGGACGGGGACAGATACATCCAATTTGGAGCGAGGTGTGGCAAGACTTTGAGCTGTGAGGCTGTATTCTCTGTGCTCTTACAGGAGGATTAAAGAATTAGACTGAAAATTTAGCACATGCACTATACTCATAGGTACATGTACTGGAGTATACTGAGACACAAAGAGAAGTAGTGGAAATTGTTTCCGGGGAATATCAGTGTAGAAACTATAACAGTAGGAAAATACTTTGCATTCCCATCTCTGACAGTTGTGATTCTGTCTCAAACTTGGTGCTGAAAGGACTCTTAAAGTGTCTCCTGTTATGCCAATAGAGGGTTATCTGCATCCTGAAGGAGGTGAGGTGGGTAGTTTGTCTGTTCACCACTAGTCCTCCAGGAACGTGTAGGCAACAGAAGTTAATCATCTTCTGAAGAGAAAATCAGAGCAGAAAAGAGAGACCTGGAACTGGCCAAGATTCCCAGTGCTGAGAGAAGCACAAGTTCCTGTAACAGCAAAACCAGCCATGCTTTGATTTGCTCTTGACACTGAGCATGAAACCTGGATTTCTTTCTTTCAGAAGAGTGCCCTGTGACAGATATTGCTGTGTGGCTGGTGAACCTTTGCCAAGCCTGAAAACCTGAGCCTTAGACTTAAACCCAAACCTTGCTTTGGTTAGTTTAGCACATGTGTGTGCTTTACCCATGCTTGCGAGGTAGATGTAGCCAGTGACACAGCAGAGTTGCATTACTAAAGGTTCAGAAGACAGAAAGGTGAGAAGCAAGAGTAACAGCTTCTGCAGTTCTGAAACAGTCCCAGTGAAGCAAGTTGGAGCATGCCCCTGTGCTCCATCTCCTTGCTGTGGAGGAAAAGTGCTGAGCACAATGTTCTGTAGTTCTTCCTATTACCTTGGTTATGGAGGGAAGCTCTACAGGAGGAAGGCTTGCTGATGAAATCACAGCCACTGACTGAAAATGTTCAAGGCTTCCCTTCCCTTCCTGGGACATGAGTCTGAGACTACACAAAGTCTTTCTGTTTTCCCCAGGAGGCAGCTAAAACTTGCTCTTGGAAACGACTGCAAAGTCTTGATGGTGAAAATAAACAGCAAACACACTTTGTCACTGTTATTTGGGGCACTGGTCTAGGGCAGATCAATGCCACAATGACCCGAACAATTCTGTGGTTCTTCAGGATGCTCATTTGACCTGGAGCCTGTGCCCTGGCCAGAGGTGCAGCAGCTGCCTATTAATGTAAAAATCCTACCTTAAGGACCTTAAGATCAGCCAGTTCCACCCCCCTGCCACGGACAGGGACCCCGTCCACTAGAGCAGCTTGCTCCAAGCCCCTGTGTCCAACCCTGGCCTTGAGCACTGCCAGGGATGGGGCAGCCACAGCTTCTCTGGGCACCCTGTGCCAGCGCCTCAGCACCCTCACAGGGAAGAGCTTCTGCCTAAGAGCTCATCTCAGTCTCCCCTCTGGCAGGTTAAAGCCATTCCCCTTGGCCTGTCCTTACAGGCCCTACATTTGAGGACTGGGAGTAAATTTGGTTTTCCCTAGCATCAGAAATCCCTTCTCATGTCCTTTGAAATATATTTGCCTTCAAACGAACAGGATCATGTGTGTTTATGTAGATCCCCTGTTGCTCAGGGACTTTCTGCTCTGTTCCTAAAGATTCTTTCTTTATTAACTTCTAGGATGCTTCAAAGTCCTACAAGAAAGCTGGAGAAGTTGCAACAGTTGAATTACATGTGGAAGAAGGTATACAAGTAGAAACAAATCCTTTACCTAAGAAAGTTTCCCCATTGCACTCTGAAATGACAGATTATATAAAGTCAGCTCCTCCGACTCTTATCAGTAGCCATAATTCTGACTTAAAGGATAGAACACAGATTAACGGAGCAACAACTGTAACAGAGAAATTGGCTCAACTTATTGCAACCTGTCCTCCTTCAAAGTCTTCCAAAACAAAGCAGAAGAAGCCTGGAAGTGGAACTGCATCTGGTTTGGTTAAAGACTCTGGGAAGAAGCTACCAGGAGCTCTGACTGCCAGTGGGTTAGTTAGTAAAGATTTGGTAAAGAAATTGCCAGGATCTGGGATTGCTGTTGGGTTGGTTAACAAGGACTCAGGGAAGAAGCCATTAGGAATTGGGAGTGCAGCCATATTGGTTAACAAAGACTCTGGGAAGAAGCCACAGGGGCTTGGCCCACTGATTGGATTGGTTAACAAGGACTCTGGGAAGAGGCCACCAGGGATCAGCACTCCGCCTGGGTTAGGTAACAAGGACTCTGGAAAGAAGCAGCCAGTGACCAGCTCTGCAGTTGGATTAATCAGCAAAGATGTTGGGAGGAAACTTCAGGCTATCGGCACTCCAACTGGATTGACTAATAAGGAGGCTGTCAAGAAGCCATTAGGGATTGGCACTCCAGCAGGATTGATTAACAAGGACGCTGGGAAGAAGTTGCTGGGAATAACTAGTCCTACAGGATTGGTTAACAAGGATTCTGGGAGAAAGATGCCAGGGACTGGCACTACGACCGTTCCAACCAACAAAGACTCTGGAAGGAAGACACCAGGAATTGGCAGCCCAGTGGGACCAGTTAACAAGGATTCTGGGAGGAAGATGCCAGGAATTAGCAGTCCGGTGGGATTGGTTAGCAAGGACTCTGGAAAGAAGCCAGCAGGAATTGGCAGCCCAGTTGGTTTGGTTAACAAGGACTCTGGAACTCTGAAAGCAGACTCTCTCCTGCCGGCTTCGGAGCCCTTTAAGCTTCCTTGCAATTCAAACCTCAGTAGCCTTGAAAGCCATGAGACTACAGATGTACTGAAGGAAAATAGTAGTAGCAAAACATTTGAGAAGCATGTTATGAGACAGAATAAGGAAAGCATCTTGGACAAATTCTCTATCCGGAAGGAAATTGCAGATGTAGGCAAAGAGATGTTCAGTGAAGGAATCTGCATTCCACAGGATGCTTACTCAACCAGTGAAAAAGGGATTTATGAAACTTCTAAGCATGAGAAACAGCCTCCTGTGTATTGCACTTCACCAGACTTCAGAACAGGAGGTGCTTCAGACGTATCGACAGCAAAGTCCCCCTTTAGTGCAGTAGGAGAGGGCAATCTCCCATCGCCTTCACCCACAGTGTCTGTTACCACCTTAAACAGGAGCCTCTCAACAGCATCCTCCCAGTTAGCATCGAACTCGTTGCATTTAAGTTCCACAGCAGACCTCTTGGAAGGGATTTCGGATCAGATTGGCAAAACTCAGTTTTCCTCTGACAGTGCACTTCTGAACCTAAACAGAACATTGAACCACACGCTGAGCACCGATTTTAAAGGTGCTGAGAAAGACTTAAATGATTCAAAAGCTACTTACATAGAAACTTCAAGAACTAGTCCTCCTACAGGGAAAAAGCCCATTTTGGCAGCTGAAACGAGCATTCACGCTACGGTCACCCCTTCAGTAGTTAGTTTCACAAGCTTGTTTAGTAGCAAGCAGTTCCTAAAGATCGGTGCGATAGCGGCATCGGAGAAATCCTGCCAAGGAGCAAAACCTCTGAGCACTGCTCAGCAGTCAAAACCTTTAAAGAAAAGAAAAGGAAGGAAACCACGGTGGACTAAAGTGGTGTCAAGAAGCACGTGTCGACCTCCAAAGGGTCTGGAACTAGAAAGGTCCGAGCTTTTTAAGAACATTTCCTACAGTGCACTGTCAAGCAGTAATTTGGAGCAGGCCAAGTTCTTGAAGAACATAGGAACATCTTCGTTTGTGGAGCATGACTTTGTCAAGCATCAGCTGCCAAAACTGAATGAAGCTAATGGGCAGTCTCTTGCACTCTTAGCTGAGACTGACAAGCAAACTCCAAAGTTCTACAGCACTCACAAACCCTCTAGTTTGTGTATGGCAGATGATTTCTTACCTGACATGTATAAACCCAAAAGAGGAAGACCTAAAGCCAAGGAGATGCCAGAGCTCGAAGGTCCCCCCAAAAGAACTCTAAAGATCCCAGCATCAAAAGTCTTTTCAGTGCAGTCGAAGGAGGAGCAGGAACCTCCAATCTTGCAACCTGAAGTGGAAATTCCCTCCTTAAAACAGAGCTTACCAGGACAACCTTTCCCTAAAAAGAGAGGGAGGCCCAAAAGACAGATCAGGTCCTCGATTAAAATGAAGCCACCGATTCTTTCTGTGGCCCCCTTTGTTGGCACAGAGAACTCGAGCAAGATGGGTTCTGAAGGCGACCAGCATCGAGCTGGCGACTTCTTTGAGAGAACAGACCAGCTCCGAGGGCCGGAAGAAGTCCAAAAGCCCACTCTTTGTAGCATGAGCGATTTGGAAGCGGACTCGGACCGCAAAGTTGCCAAGAGGAATAACGGGCAGCTGATGAAAACCATCATTCGGAAGATAAATAAGATGAAAACTCTGAAGCGAAAGAAGCTCCTGAATCAGATTCTGTCCAGTACAGTGGAACCAAATAACAAAGGGAAAGTGCAATCTAAACTCCACAACACCGTGTCCACTCTGGCTGCCACGTTTGGGTCCAAGTTAGGTCAGCAAATAAACGTCAGCAAGAAAGGAACGATTTACATAGGAAAAAGGAGAGGAAGGAAGCCTAAAGCTGTCCTCAATGGTATTTTAAGCAGCAGCTCGGCCAGTTTGACAGTTCTGGAGAAGTCTGCTCAACAAGCCCCTGGTACATCCCTGGGGCAGGTACTTCCCCACTTGCTGCCTTCAGCAGGCACCAGTTCCGAGATCCTTCCATCACCAGTTTGCTCCCAGTCTTCTGCAGTGAGCGGGGGCCAGAGCCCCGTGAGCAGCGACGCTGGGTTCATCGAGCCCAGCTCGGTGCCGTACTTACACATCCACTCCAGGCAGGGGGGCGTCGTGCAGACCCTCGCCATGAAGAAGGCTGCTAAGGGCAGGAGGAGGTTATCTCCACCTACACTGCTGCCCAACTCTCCTTCCCACCTGAGCGAGCTGACCTCGCTGAAGGAAGCCACCCCGTCCCCTGTGAGCGAGTCCCACAGCGACGAGACGATCCCCAGCGACAGCGGGATAGGGACAGACAACAACAGCACCTCCGACCGAGCGGAGAAGTTCTGCGGGCAGAAGAAGAAGAGGCACTCGTTCGACCACGTGTCCCTCATCCCGCCCGAAACTTCCACTGTGCTGAGTAACCTGAAGGAGAAGCACAAGCACAAGTGCAAGCGCCGCAGCCACGACTACCTTAGCTACGACAAAATGAAGAGGCAGAAGCGAAAACGGAAAAAGAAGTACCCTCAGCTTCGAGGGAGGCAGGACCCGGATTTCCTCGCCGAGCTGGAGGAGCTGATAAGCCGGCTGAGTGAAATCAGAATAACCCACCGAAGCCACCACTTCATACCCCGAGATTTGCTGCCTACCATTTTTAGGATAAACTTCAATAGCTTCTATACCCATCCTACTTTTCCTTTAGATCCGTTGCACTACATTAGAAAACCTGATTTGAAGAAGAAGAGAGGCAGGCCTCCCAAAATGCGGGAGGCGATGGCAGAAATGCCCTTCATGCATAGCCTGAGCTTTCCTCTCTCCAGTACCGGGTTCTACCCCTCTTATGGCATGCCTTACTCTCCTTCTCCCCTTGCAGCTGCTCCCATAGGCTTAGGTTATTATGGAAGGTACCCTCCAACTCTTTATCCTCCTCCACCCTCTCCTTCTTTTACTACCCCCTTGCCACCCCCTTCGTACATGCATACAGGCCATTTGCTTCTCAATCCCACCAAATACCACAAGAAGAAGCATAAACTGCTGCGCCAGGAGGCTTTCCTCACCACGAGCAGGACTCCGCTCTTGTCCATGAGCACGTACCCCAGCGTCCCGCCGGAGATGGCTTACGGCTGGATGCTCGAACACAAGCACAGGCATCGCCACAAACACAGAGAGCATCGTTCTTCCGAGCAGCCGCAGGTTTCCATGGACACTATAACGGCCAATAGCTCTTCTCGAACAGTTCTGGAGTCCCTGAAGCGCTACAGGTTTGGGAAGGAGGCTGTTGGGGAGAGGTACAAACACAAAGAGAAACACAGATGCCACATGTCCTGTCCGCACCTCTCGCCCTCCAAGGGTTTGCTAAGCAGAGACGAGCAGTGGGTCAGGAGAGAGCCTTCGGAGCCCAACTCCTTAGCGCTGGGCCTGCAGACCCCGCTGCAGATAGACTGTGCAGAAACCCCCCCCGGGCTGTCCCTGGGGGGGTTCACCCCCAGCTCGGAGCCCGGCAGCAGCGACGAGCACACGAACCTTTTCACAAGTGCAATAGGGAGCTGCAGGGGCCCCGGCTCCGCCAGCGCCAATGGACGTAAAAAGGTGCCCGAGAGCCCCGGCCTGTTCGGCGCGCAGGAGCCCCCCCTCTCCCGGCCCCTCCGGAAGGAGCCGCTGCCTTCCATGGAGAAGGCCCTCCAGCCGCTCACAGGTAAGGACTCCAAGTGGGCTTTCCTGGGCCTTGCTGCTTTGTGTTGGACCAAACGTGCCAGAGCGGGAGGGCAGGGCCAGCCCTGCCTGGGTAGGAATCCTGCGGTGTTGAATTCCAGCCCTGCTCTCGCTCGGGAGGTCTCTGTGCTGTTAAACTCTGCTCTGCGCAGCATTTGGTACAGGGTTAGGGTTGTGGAGGTACCTCTTCCCAGCAGGTTCCTCTTGCTTCGGTCCAGCAGTATGTGGAGTTCTGCTGAGGATGTTTTCTCGTGGAAAGGTCTTCCCCTTTTCCTTCCAATTTTAACCTTCTGCTGAATTGGTTTGAAATTGCTCGTGATTTTTGAGCCTGTGAGAGCTGTGTTTCTGGTTGGGCTGACATCTGGTTGAGCTGGTTTAGACCAGCTCTTGGTGCTCATTGTGAATAACAGGTCCAGTTCAAAACCTGTTTCCTTTTCCTTTTGGAATTCGGTCTCAGTTAGTTTGAACTGTGCAGCTTTTGATCCCTGACCTGAGGCCTCCAGCAGCACCTCAGAACAGTTGCTAGATGCTGCTGGGAATGCCTAAGACCAAACCTTGTCATAGGCTTAGACAAAGCTGAAGCACAACTGACTGAGCAGTGATGCTGTTGAAGGCAGAGACCACTGTGGACCTGCGAGCTTTCCATGTGCATAGCAGTCAGGGAAAACCAGATCTCATGTGAAATTTAGGACATGAAGAAAGGGGTTCATCTGAAGTAGCAATGGGGGGGGGGTGTTTCTTTTTTTCACATAAAAGCTAATGCTCTGATGAGATCCATGGCTTTTCCTCATGGCTTGCTTGCTGTCCTACCTTGTGCCATTAGCCTATGAACAATTCCTTCTTGATGGTCCATTTCTGTGCTTCTCCACCTCTGTGCATCATAGCAAGGAAATGTTCCTAAAGCTAAACCAGAGCGATCTGACTTTGAGTATTCAGCATCTGCAGCATGTTGTATTGGCACTGCCAGACTGAAACGAGCCTTTCTGTGCTTTTCTCTTCCCTGATCTGTTTTTCAGGCGCTTTGCCAACACAGGACAAACCCTCCCACAAGCCGTCAGAGAGCACAAACTGCAGCCCTTCCCGAAAGAGATCCACATCGGAGAGCACATCTTCTACAGGCAAGTCATGGCTGGGGGCCTTATTTTCGAGACCACTGCTGTAGGAAGACCTGTGCTACTACAGACAGCTGAGACAGCTTTTAAGAGCAGCAGTGTGTTCGTGGAGAGAGGGAGGTTTTCTACTTGCATTTTAGGACTCAAGTACAGCAAATTGGGTTGTAAAATAGGGAAACTTGAGCTGGTGCTTCCAGAAGCAGCAGCATAACTGTGGCAGGATGGAGTCTGGCTCCTCACTTAGTCTTTATGAAGCTCAGTGCTTTAATGCTAGCAAGACCTGTGACACTCCGGTTAATCAGCAGATTAGATGAATAGGTTAATTCCTCCATGGGGAAGAGCTTGACTTCCGGGCTGCTCTGAAAGCAGTTTTCTACTCTTGGGTAGGTAACTGTTAGTATCAGGGTGGGCTCTGCTCTTATGTTCTCTTGGTAGCATGTGAGAATCCTGCTGAAGTGATGGAGGATGACAGGCAGCTCATCCCAGTCGTGAATGACCCTAGGGCAAGGTAGTCCTCGTGTGTTTTGAGCTTGCTTTTGCAAAGAGGTCCTGTTGGCACAATTCAGACATTCTTAGACACCAGTTTGTAGTGAATGTCCTAAGGCTTGGTGCTTCCGGAACTAGTTATGATTTCCATATAGGATGAATGTGCCAAACCTGCTGTTTCCTTCTCCCTTTAAACAGATAGTTGTAACAGATGCTTTAATCAGCATCTGCTAAAGAAAGTCCTCACAGTGAGGAAGTGTTTTCTCTTTTGCTGTCTGTCCTGTTAACGTACTTCTGCTCATTTTAAAGGGGCAGCTGCAGGCAGAGTACGTCTGTGGATAGGAAGGTGTTAAAAGTGCAGGCAGATTTTGTGCAGGAGAGCAGAGGAATGGAAGGAATCACAAGTTTATCAACTTCAAAGTCATTGAACTGATGATGCGGCTGAAAAGATGAGTCTTTGTTAGGATTTCCATGGATCTGGAATGCATGTGGGATTTCAGTGTGTTTGTCAGAGAGCTGCTTTGTTTCTGAGGGCTGCGAGTGTGCCTCACCAGGGCTGCAGCTGGTTTGGGGATCACAGCCTTCAGTTGTCCCAGCCTTTTGGATCAGGTTCCAAGCAGAAGCACTAGTTTAAGAGCATCCATTAGACTTGGTGCCCAAACGTGTTGGAGAGTTTGGTTATCGTTGGATGGGGCAGCTCTTTATAGAGCTCACTGTGCTAAACGGGTGGTGTTTCTGTGAGGAACCCTCAGCTCCATCCTCACGTATATTTAAGGCCAGAAGAAAACCAAGGGTAGATTCTCTTTATTTCATCTCAGAATGAAAGCTGGACGTGTAAATCCTCCCTCTTCTCCCAGAGCTGCTCGGGTTCCTGGGTTTTCCAAGTGCTTACAGCACTGACCTGACAAATAAGTATGTTTCTGCGTTCCTTTTCCAACCCGTAGGAAGAATGTTGTTCACAGGAGGATTTTAGGATTTAAAACTTCCTCGTTTAAGCTGTGCACTCTCTGAAGTTGTTTGTGCTTTCTCTTGTCAGCCAATGCATCATCTCACTCCTGTCAAACCCTTTTATAGGAACATTCTGTTGCCTTCCCCTTACCTTTGCAGTAGCATGTGCTCTTCAGTCTGGAGCCTCAGACCCACTGCTTTAAGTAGATCTAATGTAAATAACTGGCCCCAAGGAGCAGTAACATTCTGTTGTAAATGTTAATGTGCAATTGTGAGCTGTTTAGGGGAAGGCAGCATCCGTTTTATTCCAGAAGAACCAGGGCTGCTTCTGATTAAATGCCATCGCGAAGAACCAGCTTCGGGAAGCTCTTGGTTTGGAACAGACCCCTTTTTGATACAGCATAATCTATATGGTGGACCTGAAAACCCTCTTTTTCTGCAGCTCTAAGAAATGGGGACTGTGTGTGAATAAAGAGAAAATAATTGTGTTAAAGCTGATGTAAAATGTAGGTTTTCCATTTCTGCTTCACTGGGTCCCCTCCCTATTGGAACTTGTGTTCCAGAGATTGGTGTCTTCTCGTTCAGTGCTCTGAGCAATGAGAGGATATAAAAGCCTGTCAGCCTACCCAGCTATTCTGTTTTCATTCCAAGCTCATCTGGTTATATCTCAGGTCTCTCAGTGTGTGTGTATTTGTGTTTCAGTGATGGGAGTACCTGCCCGGGGAGGAAGGCTGGCAAGTACTGAGGATCCAGTGGATACCTTGCTGCAGCGCATGGCGCAGCACGAAGGCCAGGCTGCTTTGGACAAAACCTTAGAAGCAGTCATGGCAAATGTGTCTGTTCCACCATCAGCTAGTCCTGCTCGAAACCACACCAGGGAGAGAGGGCTGGGGAAGCAGGACAGCCTTGGAGCTCCAGCAATTCCCAGCAGCTCCTGCAGCGACAGCATCTCGCTTCTGTCCGACAGGCTACCCAAGAGCTACTCCCCACGGCACCTCAAGAGGAGCGTGGTTGAAGCCATGCAGCGACAAGCCAGGAAAATGTGCAATTATAACAAGATCTTGGCAACAAAAAAAAATCTGGACCATGTCAATAAGATCCTGAAAGCCAAAAAGCTGCAGAGGCAGGCACGGACAGGGAATAACTTTGTGAAGCGCAGGCCAGGGAGGCCTCGAAAGTACCCGCTCCAGGCTGTCGTCTCAATGCAGGCTTTCCAGGCAGCTCGACTGGTGAGCCAGGAGCTGGAGAAGAGAGAAGAAAGCAGCAGCCCCTTACACCTGGGACCTGATACCATCACAGACGTGATTGAAGCTGTGGTGCAGAGTGTGAATCTGAATACAGATCACCGGAAAGGCTGGAAGAGGAAGAGGTGGCTTGCAGAGGAACAGGCCAGGAAACGCCAAAAGCCTTTGCCAGAAGATGAGCAGGAGAGCAATAAGAGGTAATTCCCTTACAGTTTTGTGCCATCAGAATAGTCATTGTTGATTTTATATCACCTCAGGCCATGAAAGGATCCTACTGGAAGGAGCTCTGCTTGTTACATTTGCTTTTCAGTGTAGAGGAAACTCACATGTTCAGTGTTAAGTATGCTTTAGGATCTTCCTAAGTTACTGAACACCCCGTGGTGGAATCTCAGGTAATCTAAACCTGTTGGTTTTGTGCTTGTGTCTCAAGTGAAGCAAGCTTTGTGGTTGTCTTGGTGAAGAATACTTTAGTGAGTTGGTAACGAATTTACTGATGAGGTACCATAGCAGAGATTGTTCCTTCATCCTGTTGGAAAAAGGAATTGAAAGAGTTATGTGCACCATGGGAATCTTAGAGTGGTACAGAACATAAGGTGAGATCCGTTGATATACAGCAAGTAACAAATAAAACCAAGCAGCAAGGAGGAGTTAAGGTGGGCACCTCTGCAATCAGTGGCTAGTAAAGGATCACACCTCCTGGTCTAATTTTCACATGCTTATCCCCAAAACCATCAATACAAACAGACCAAACTCTTCCATAAGTCTTCCTTTGTGTGTTTTCAGAATAGTGCTGAAGAATAACCCCCTATTTGTGTTTCAAGAATGAATACTGTAATGTAGGCACTTAGATTCACAGACTGTGTCTGGAACCTTCTACATTACTCAGCTGAGACGCCAAGGGATAAATGTTACGAGTACAAACAGCATTCTTCGTGTAATTATTAGTAACACTACTATAAAAAGATCCTACATTTCTTATGATTGTGCTTAACCACTTCTTGATCGTGATCATTGAATTGCCTTCTTGTCACTAGCAGTGACATCTGCTAACTCAGGAACAGGGGCGTTGCTTTTTCTGCTGACCAGGTTCTAGAGAGGAATAATGAGCTCTGGTGGGAGAGTCTTCAGTCTTTCCTTTCCCTTCCAGTTTCTCTGAGCCAGCAGCCGAACCTCCCAGTCCACAGGATGCCCTTGGGAAACCACCTGGACCTGAAAACACTGAGCAGCCTTTGCCAGCTCTAGCCCAGCGCGAGAAAAAAGCCCCTCGACCCCCAAAGAAGAAGTACCAGAAGGCAGGGCTCTACTCTGATGTGTACAAAACCACAGAGTAAGTAACACCACTGACACGCTGCTGCTATCCCAGTGGAAACTGTCTCCTTTCACCTAGAACCATACAGAGCTGCCACTACTGAGTAGCTGAAATAAAACCATCAACTTAATTCAAGGCTGTGAAAAATTACATGCATGATAATTCTCAGAGTCTGAAGATTTAAAATATAACCCCAGTCAGAAAGCAGCCTCAAGCAATCTGAAAGTGGTTCAGATGAAGAAGGTAAGAGAGCTTCAATCAACAGTCCTAATGCTGATGGCAGCAAAAGTTCTGGGGGAGCTTGAGGTGCTCGGGTCCTGAGGACAGTGTCCACATAAAAGGAGCCATTAGGTTTCTCTTTGTATTGGCTGAATGATGACAACTGGTTATCTTTTGGGTGAGAGAATTTCAGATGCACTTTGTGTTGTACTTCCCTCAAAGCTTAAAGAGGTCTGATTTGGTCTTTCCCTTTGCCTGCTGCTTCCCATGCTGAGTTCTTTCCTTGCACTGGTCCTGATGTTTGTGATAAGCTGCTTAAGAACTCTGAGGAATCTTTGCCCTACCAGGGAAGCAGATCCTCCCTACAGAGTCTGAATTACTCTGCAGGCTTGTTTGAACACTGATACTAAAGCAAGGCATGGAGATGGCAAGGACAGCTATGGCCATCTCGATTCAGGTGTCTTGTCTTACAGCAAGCTGCAGCTTGAAGGGTTGATCCCACCATCCTTTCATGGTAGCGCTGCGTCACTTCCTCACTAAGTTAGTTCAGCAAACTAAATCAGCAGAACAAGAGTCACTTGGTTGTAATTCCATTTTCTAGTGATTTAACTTGCTGTTCCAGCTCTCCTGCACAGTCAGACATTTGCCAGTGCAAGAGGAGAGCAGAAGGTAATGTTGTTAGCCCAGAATATATATCACTCCCTGCTGTAAGAGTCTGAAAACAGGATCTTGGTTGAGAACAAAAATGCAACTCTAATCGTAGGGCACCCTCTAGTGATGGTACAGTTAAGTGTTAATCCCTGTATCCAGCAAATCCACTCCGTATTCTCAGGAGAGATCTTTTGCTTTTCAGCTGCAGGAATCATTATATCTGCTTACAGAGGGAAACATCTTAAAGAGCATGGTGTGAAAATGAGCCAGGGTACTTGTCCTTGATCCTGGGAGGCTGCAAGGACTTGGGTTTAGCCCTGGGAATTCCTGTTTCTGCACCATCTGCAGCAAGGTGGATCTGGCTGGCAAGTGTTCCAGCTTAGTTAAAAACTGACAGGAGCAGCAGTAGGAAAGGAAACCTGCTGTCATGGGCACAGCCCCACACGTGGCACTCACACAGCCTGGGCAGTGGTACCCAGCAGGAATCCTGTTTGCCAGAGCAGTCTGTGGTGACAAGGCAGGCCAAGGTTAAAGGTGGAAGTCACTCTGCAGGTCAGGATCGGGTTTGGTGATGGTAACCAGGGTCAGACACAGTCCATCATGGCCAAGGAGGTCCAGGCTCAAGCCAGGAAGCCAGAGCATGGCTCAGCCACCACCAGATCCACAGCTCCCACGGCTGTGGTTGAGCTGGAGGTGGGTGCACCCACACTACATCGGCCAGGCAGGGACTGAGTGTAAATGGGTCTCTGGGCTCCATGAGCAGAGATGTGGGTGGAAACCTCCTGTGGAGCTGGTCAGGATCATGTTAGTACCACTTAGGCTCTGAATTTAAGGTTCTCCAAGGCTAGCAGCAAAGTGCAACGAGAGGTCTCATAAAGATAGTAGCTGAACACAAAAGCAGAACCTTTCTTGCCTGCTGAGAAACCCCAGCCTAAAATAGCTCCTTGCCTTCCCAGTGGGAACATGTGGACCTGCTAATACAGACCTTTTACTGCTAGTGTGGAGAGGCCTTTTTTAATTCATGAGGTGCTTTTTGCAGTGCTGGTGTTTTCTAGAACTGTGTCTGGTTCATAGAATCATAGAATAGTTAGGGTTGGAAAGGACCTTAAGATCGTACTCGATGCATTCATACTCGATGCAGTTTATTCCTTTCCTTTTAATGAAGGGCTTTATTTTGGCATCTCAGCCTTTGCCTCTGAAGTCCCTGAAGTGGTGGCAGCCTTTGTTTGGCACACTGATTTGTCACAGGGGTTTTTACATGCCTCTGACAATACTTCACTGCTGTGTTTAGGAGGGGACCAGTGTAGGTGCTTTCCCCAGTGTTCTTTGTGGCTGGCTCTGACACGGGTGTGTCTGCAGAGCCTGAAGGAATTCATGTGCTATTTGTGGGTTTAGATAATTGCCTTCTGCATTTCCTTTCCACTCTGCTTTCCTCCTTGCAGCTTATTTACCATCATCTATTTTTCCATTGGCTTCCCTTACAGCGAATATGTGGGTGTTAAAAGGTGCACATTTGGCTCGAATTAAGTCACCTTTCCACTGAATGTTTTTCCTTTCTTTCCATGCCCTTGGTTTAAGGATTTGCCTCTTGGAAATGGAGGCTCACACACTGCCTTTGCAAAATACCTTCCCATTCCCTCTTCATAATCGTGGTTTGGGTTGAAGGGACCTTAAAGCTTCTCCATTTCAGTTGTTATTCTCTTGCCTGGTGTTCTGAACGTTTGGGCCACAATTCAGCCGGGAAAGATGGGGGTTGCAAATGACTGCTCCTCATCCTGATGGGGTTTTGTCACTGTTCTCCACAGTCCCAAGAGCCGCCTCATCCAACTGAAGAAAGAAAAGCTGGAGTACACTCCTGGAGAGCACGAGCACGGGTTGTTTCCAGCCCCTATTCACGTCGGTGGGTACTTCATGTGTGTTTGCGTTGTTGGGAACAGCTGTCACACTTAGGTGACATGGGAGTACTCTGGAGCACAGTCTCCCTTTTTCCTTTCTTCTTGAAGCCCCTTGCCAGGTTACTCCTGGCTTGCAGCACAGGAGCTTTGCCAAAGGTCACACTCCTCCGCCTGTGTCCTGCAGTGCAAAAGCTTGACTCAGAAGGCTGTTTTATTCCCTTGCTGCATGAACTGTGTTCTCAGGTTTTGTTTACCATTAGAAAGAACCAGTTTCAAGCCTGGTTTAACTCCAGAATACTTTTGCTTAAATGCAGTACAATAAATAGTTTCCTTTTCAAACTCATCTTACAGTAGAATAGCCAGACACTACTATAAGCATTCGTTAAATCTCAAAAACTAAGCAGGCAGTATTGGGGATTTAATAGACTTCGAGGCCTTGGGTAGAACATAAATGAGGCTTAGGGCTTCTCTTTGTGCCATAACCTGTGGCACGAGCAGGTAGAACTCAGAGTTCCAGATTGAAACTCACAAATCTGCTCCACCAGACTGGGCTAGTTTGGGAAATTTCATATTATTCAGGGGGAATACTTGTCCCATCCAGTGCCAGAGGTCATTGGTTTGTCTTCTTGAACTGAACTCTTGCTTCTTGCCCAATGGGGACTTTTCACAGGGAGGTGGTGGCAGTGAGGAGCTGGGCAGCTCTGGCTGAAGCAGTAACTGCAAATGCAGGCATGAAGGTGTTAATTTAAATCCTCAAACCCATGACCTTTCTCAGTTCCTCTTGAAATTGGGTCATAGAAGTGACGTGTGACCGAACCATCTGTCAGGATGCTCCTGTTCTCTCTTCCCAAGGCCCTGACCCCGTGGTTGATTGTATAGCAGACACAAACAAGCTCCTGCTCTGATGTTAAAGCTGCTTCGGTTACTCTATATCAGGTAGCTGCAGAGTGGTTTAACTGCAGAGCTCCCAGGTTAAGCTCTCTGCCAGATGACTGCACTAGTGCCCACTTGACAGGGCTGGAGGGACATTCCATGCATCCAGGCACGGTGCCAGGGCACCTGAAAGAGCCTTTTGTTTCGCTGCTGAGGTCATAGATGTGAAAGCAAATTCCCAGCAGATTTAGCTCTTTCCTGGAACCTGCAATGGGTGAATACAGCATTGAAAATGGGGAGTAATTGAGGGGTAAATTGGAAGGAAAACATTACAGTTGTTATTTTCCAGTGGTGAGGGCATGTGTGTGAATGTACATGAGACCCCTTCCAGCTGGAGGGGTGGGAAAGGCACTTGTTAACATTCAGAAAAGCTGGGAAAATCAGACATGGGGCTGACACCTCATCCTTGGTCCCTCCTCACTTCAGTTCTCGGACACAGTATTCACAGAATCCCAGCCTGGTTTGGGTTGAAGGGACCTTAAAGCTCCTCCAGCTCCAACCCCTGGCATGGGCAGGGTCCCCTTCCACTGGAGCAGCTTGCTCCAAGCCCCTGTGTCCAACCTGGCCTTGAACACTGCCAGGGATGGGGCAGCCACAGCTTCTCTGGGCACCCTGTGCCAGCGCCTCAGCACCCTCACAGGGAAGAGCTTCTGCCCAAGAGCTCATCTCAGTCTCCCCTCGGGCAGGTTAAAGCCATTCCCCTTGGCCTGTCCTTACAGGCCCTTGTCCAAAAGCAAAATGATGAGAGAACCTTTTAAGCTTGGCCAGAACTAACCCAGTGCCTGTGCCAGGCCTCAGGTCCCATGTTAACAAAGCGTAACGGGTCAGTGTCCCTCTTTTGGGGAAGGCTTCAGGGTGACAGTAAGTTTCGGAGTAGTCTAGATCTGCACTGGGAGTAGTAACTCCTTCCTGAAAGCAATGTCAGTTGCTGCTGAAAACATAGACCAGCTTGAAGTCTTTCCAGAACATTTAGGGGTGTGTTTGCCAAGTCTGAGTTTGTTCTTAAGTCTCTCTTTGTGAAGGTCATAGAAGCAGGCTTGGATACTGTTTGGTTTCTTTGAGTACAAGGTTGTGATTTACCAGCTTGCATGAATGGTGCAGGCAGATTTGGTCTCTGTGCCACATCACTGCGTTCATGTGGGTGCAGAAGGCGTCAGCTGTGAGATTCCTGCCCAGAAGCCACCGTGAGGCACAAAGTTGAATTCATGTTGTCACTTATTTGCTCTTGTCCGCCGTGTAGCTCAGGTTCAGTGACCCCAGCAGGTTCCTGGCACTGCTCTTGGGAGTTGAACTGTGACTGCTGGAGTTTGGTGGCATCTGTAACACCATCATCAATGCAGAGGGCAGCTCCCTCTGCGCCGACCTCACCAGGCATCTCCTGTCTAAGGCAGCAGTTTCCTCTCTGGCAGGAAAGGTTCAAACTGAGAGGGTAGAATGCAGGAGGGAACCTTGTGCAGGGCTCTTCCCTGGGCTTGCCAGACAAACAAAATGTTCTGGGAGGATTCTGCTCTTCTGCCTCTTGGCCTTTCCAGTGTGGAGAGGCCCTATCGGGAGCTGGCCCGGTGCCTGGGGGCGGCTCAGTTTCCCCTTGGGGATAGGGGAAGCTGAGTGTGTGCCACTGACAAACCTTTTTTGTTTCAGGAAAGTATCTCAGACAGAAGAGGATCGACTTCCAGCTGCCTTACGACATCCTCTGGCAGTGGAAACACAATCAGGTACAAGATAAAAAGTTCCTGGGTTGCCAAGATTGCCATCAAGTCTTAGAAAGAAGATAGCGTTGACTCCTGCATGAAACTGTTTCTGTACCCCGTGTGTTGGTGAATGCTCCTGAGGCTGCCACTCTCTGAGGAAGAAAAGGATTTGCATATGTATTTAATAGCAATAATTTCCATTATTCCCTCTCTTGCAAAATAGCAATCCCAGGGGTTTCTGCTGCAAAAAGTCGTTCCTTTTGGAGCAGACTCTTATTTTGGTGTGTGGCTGCTCTCTGCAGTGATCTTGTTTTAGACACGCCTCGGGAGAATTCAGATGTGCTGCCAGCAGCACTGAGAAATCTCAGCCCTTATTTTTCTTGGATCAGTCCCAGCAGAGTGGAATTTATTTTTCACTTGCAAGCTGAGATTTTCATGCTGAGGAGAGAAGAGAAACTCGTTCACAGCCTCATTCTTCGGAAAGAGCTTTAAATATGGGCAAGCCTAAAAATAGGACTATTTTGTTTTCTCCCTGAGAAGTTTCCACCAAGTGATTGAACACAGGATTTGAGGCTGGAGAGTAAATCTGTCCCCAGCTTTACAGCAAGAGAGCGTTCAGTGACATGTAACTTAGCTTGTAAATGAGCAAGACAAATCCCCAGGTGGCTGTGGCTCCAGCTACTCTGTGTAATGCCACTAAAATTGAATCTTCAGGTAATGCTCCTGGTTGACATTTCGGCTTCTTGCCATGTATTGAAGGTGACTTACATCTGCCTATCTTATCTCTTCAATGTTACATAAATAATACACGTGTGATCTATTTCCTTGACATTTTCTGTCTCTTCCTAGAATTTGGGAACCCCTTCCAGAGCAGTTTTGTTTGTACAGTGCTTGTGCAGGTTACATGCTTTGCTCAGTTTAGTCTGGCCTCATGATCCATACTGCTGTGTTCAGAGTATGGGAAGGATAAACTCTATGTTAGGCAGAATGCTCAGCTAACTCCTTTAGCCTGAGTTCTGTTACCCAGGTACTTGTTTTGACCTATTTGCTAATGTAGTCTGAGCCTAAAGAAGAGAATGCAGCTGCATTTTGTAGGGATTACAAAGCTTCCCTCTGTACAGAACACAATTCCCTTGATTCTTTTGACTAACAGAAGCACTTCTGCAGTGTATTAACATTTTCTTTCTCTTCCTTTTAGTTGTATAAAAAGCCAGATGTCCCACTGTATAAAAAAATCCGTTCTAGTAAGTAAAATCTTATTATTCAAGTGTGTTCGTTTCTGCCACCCCTCCTGTCTGTCACGCTCTTCATCCTCCCAATGATGCTTCCATCTCCTTTTTGCTTTGTGGAATTGGAATGAAAGTCTTGTAGAGAAATCACTCTGCTCTTCACCTGGAAAGAATTCTTTTCCCTGTTTGGGTTTGTTTTTTGTTGTTTTCTTTCCTCTCCAGACGTCTATGTGGATGTCAAACCTCTCTCTGGCTATGAGGCCACCACCTGCAATTGCAAGAAGCCAGATGATGACAACGGGAAGGGCTGTGTGGAGGACTGTCTCAACAGGTTAGAAAGAGGTTGAGTGATGAGAAGGCAGTTTCAATAAATGTAGTATTCCACATCAATTAATAACAGCTTAAGAAAAGAGTTGTGCTGGATGCAACCCCAGAAATTAAAGTCTTGTTCCAGAGCATATAGGGTAACCTGCTGCACGTATGCTCCCCCACTTCTTTCTTCAGAGGAAAGATGCCTTTAAAAGCTCCAGTTTGATCTTTGAATAGCAGTGGGAGGCTGTGAATCTCTGTGTGAATTATCCCTTGATAACAAGAAGCATTTTAGTTCTTTGTGGCTGCCCCATCCCTGGCAGTGTTCAGGGCCAGGTTGGACAGGGCTTGGAGCAACCTGCTCTAGTGGAAGGTGTCCTTGCCCATGCAGGGGGTTGGACCTGGATGAACTTTAAGGTCCCTTCCAACCTGAAGCAGGCTGGGATTCTGTAGTAACTTGTGTTTAACAAAGGCATTTCTTTTGCCCTTTGTGTGATAGATGTAAAAGTAGGCCATGCACCTTCCTTTAACTTCCTTGCTTTCTATTTTAGGATGATCTTTGCGGAGTGTTCACCAAACACATGCCCTTGTGGTGACCAGTGCTGCAATCAGCGGATACAGAGGCATGAATGGGTGCAGTGCCTGGAGAGGTTCCGGGCTGAGGAGAAAGGATGGGGTATTCGTACCAAAGAACCCCTGAAAGCAGGACAGTTTATCATTGAATATCTGGGAGAAGTTGTTAGTGAGCAAGAATTCAGGTAGAAATATTTATTTGCTGCTTTAGCATGGGAGGCTCAATAAATGACTTTAGCATCTATTATCATTGCTGGGAAACCCTTAGAAACAAAGGGGAGAGGAGGTGGGGAAAGAATGCCTTTCTGGTCACAGCCACCAGAAGGAAGGCCTAGAGTTCAGCTCTTTTGATCCACCAAGTGTTTCTCAGTCAAATAGAGAGGCATGGTTAGTGTTTGGAATGCATCATCTGCCACATCTGCTCTAGAAATGCCAAATGCTACAAGTGCATGTGAATTTTGTGTCATGATGAGGACTGTGCAGGATTTGAACTGTGCAAGATAGAACTGAGGGGCAGAATGGAGCAGGAAGGGTGGTTCAGCTTCTGCAGATAGGTGTGAGAAAGAACAAGTGGGAGCATTAATAATGAATGTAGTCTTTTAACTCCATGGCATCACAGGACAATTGAGATTGGAGGGACATACTTGCTCTTAGAGACTCGTCAGAAGACAGATGCAATCTTCTCATGCAGAAATACCTGCTAACACAACTGACTCTTGTTGCTCTCTTGCTAAAAAGAGGAAGCTGTAATCCATGGATGTCAACCCAGCAATTGTGTCCAGTCCCAGCTAATGAAAGAAGCTGATTGTTGTTCACATGCATACAGATACACACCAAAGAATGTATACTTGCATTTTCTCTTCCATACACAGGTTATCACCATGAAATGTAGACAAATAATCTGCAGAACCCAAAAGGGAGCATTCCAGAAGAGCAAATTTCTAAATTCTAATGCAAGCTCTGTCAGTGGCCTTGACTTATAAAAATAGGTATAAAAATGGTTTTCCTCCATCTCGAGGTGTATGGTTCTATAAAATCAAAGATGATCATTGCTTTTCCTTCCAAACCCTCTCTCAGAATTCCCAAATGCTCTGTGACTTTGTTACTCCCTGTTTTGCAGCAACAAGCAGAATCACAAATAACTTTCCTGTGTTGCTTCCTAGGAACCGGATGATTGAACAGTACCATAATCACAGTGATCATTACTGCCTGAATTTAGACAGTGGAATGGTGATAGATAGTTATCGTATGGGCAATGAGGCTCGTTTTATCAACCACAGCTGTAATCCTAACTGTGAGATGCAGAAATGGTAAGAGAAACATTTTGTGTTTACTGGAAGACGGGGATGGCAGTGACTAACATGTAGATAACCAGAGCATCAAGAGAATCTCGTCTAAAAATAGGGAGGGGAATCAAGCTGAACACTGTAAATAACATTTCTATGATGCTTGCGTTGCACAAGACGAGTGATGTAATGTGTTCAAGCATTGGACATTTTGGAGGCAGGATCTAAGTTTACTGGCAAGGCAAACCCAACGTTGTTTGTCATACTGTTAATCTGCTCCACATTTTGAAGCCTGGGTAATGCCAAAAATAATCTCTGCGTGTCTTTTCGTTCCTTCACTTCAAATACTCTTTTTTTAAAGCAAGCAAAGAGGGAAGTAGTCTGATTTCAGCAAACCCCGTGTCCTATCAGTACTCTGTTATCAGAAGCAAGCCAGCGCCAGACTAGTAGGAAGCACTTCTGAGAAACCTGTAGGGAATAACGTAGAGTGAAGTGGCAGATGGCTGTGATAAGGTGGTGGCAGAGAAGCTGGTGATTCCCAGCTAATTCTAGTGGATTTCAGCAATAGGAATCGAGTCCTACACTGGAAAATCCAGCACAAAAAAAGTAAAGGTATTGGAGAGGCAGCTCGCTTTAGTGTGTGTTGTGAAATGAGGTCTGATGGTCAAGGTAAGCTTTTGATTTAAGGGGAGGGCCTGAATCTTGATGGTTGAGAAGCAGGTCTGCCACAACAGCCAGTATAATTTGGAGCTTCTCTATTTGAAGCACAGCTTCCCCCTTTCTATAAATCCAGGATTCACTTTTTTGGCCACCAAAGTTTGTTGCAAGAGAGAAACAAAAGAATAGCACGAATGAAGAAGCAGCATAATGCAGGGCAGAGCAGAAGGGTTGCTTCCTGTCTCTTAACTCTTCCACTATGTGGACAAAGCCTTTTCTTTTTAATTCTTGGGAATCTCTCCTTGTGTTTTCCCTGCAGGTCTGTGAATGGTGTTTACAGGATTGGATTGTACGCACTTAAAGACATGCCTGCTGGTACTGAACTGACTTATGACTACAATTTTCATTCCTTTAATGTTGAAAAACAGGTAAGGCTCCCAGTGGAAAGCCCTGAGAAAACTCAGCCAGGACAAACAGTTGTGTCAAGATGAAGGTCGCTTGACCAAAGCTTTTGTGTTGTATTTGACACAGCAGGTTCTGTAGAATACTGAGAGAGAACCTACATGTTCTGGGGGTTATTTTCAAAGGGTATTTCTATTTTCTTTTTCAAAGCAACTCTGCAAGTGTGGTTTTGACAAATGCAGAGGCATAATCGGGGGTAAAAGTCAGCGAATGAATGGGCTTTCAAGCAAAAGCAATCAGCCTGTGAGCACCCACAGAAGGCCTGGACGGTCAAAAGAGAAAAGGAAGTCAAAGCACAAACTAAAGAAGAGAGTAAGTAGTAAACCCAGCTTTTTTATGTGAATAAAGGATAGGAAGTGGGTTCATGCCGTCAGGGCAAAAAACCCTGTATTTGTGTATTTTAAACTTCAGAGAAATGCTATAGAGAAATAGTGCAGGTCCTGTCTCAGCAGCTGCTTCTAGTGCTTTGCCAAGTTCTTGGCACAGTTTTTCCTGTCTATCAGAATGATGTGTTTTCCAGAGGGGTCACATCCCAGAGGAGCCCAGTGAAAGTGTGAACGCACCAACAAGGCTGACGCCACAGCTGCAGATGAAGCCCATGTCGAACAGGGAAAGGTGAGGAATTCTTTCAGTGGGATTCTCCTCAGAGATGGAGCCTTGTGCAGATGTTGTTTCTGTGAGACAGGGCCTCATGAAATGCCTGAGTAAGCAGTTCTTAGTTCTCCTTTAAGCAGCTGGGGTGGAATTCCTCTCCACTGAGGAGAGAAGGAATGGGTTTTACAGTAGGAAGGTGATTCTTGAATGCTTTCCTAACTCCCATAGGAATTTTGTGCTGAAACACCATGTATTTTTGGTACGAAACTGGGAAAAGATTCGACAGAAGCAAGAGGAAGTGAAGCACGTCAGTGACAATATCCACAGCACATCACTGTACAACCGCTGGAACGGGATCTGTCGGGATGATGGGAACATCAAATCTGGTGAGGCCAGCACAGGTTCCTCAGGTTGCTGCTTTGAGAACCTATGTGAGAAGTTTAAGCTCTGTGTATAAATCAAATGTAGAGTTACTACAAGTTTATAGCACGTACAGAGAATGCTATACAGAGAAAAATACCTACATACATGTTTGTGTATGAATGCCTTTATCTTTACATAGCAGGGTAAGACAGAAGCCCTTTCGCTGTTTCAGTGGGGTTTCTGCATAATGGGATTCTGCAGTTTCCTCTGAAACACTTCATGCTGTTTGCTTAAGGATGAGAATTTTGGACCCTCTGACCCGTAGGTGGGGTTGCTGGATCCGTTTCTGTTCCTCCAGCAGCCCTGTTGTCTCAGTCCTGGTAGAAGTTGTCCTGTCTCGTGTTGCATCAGGAGTGGTTTATCAGAAGAGGAGGATGATATTTAACATCTTCCATGACTGGACCCTCACAGAGAAGGGCTCTTTACTGCATTCTGTGTCCCCAGAAACAGTTGTGCTGACTTTGACAGTTGTCATTTATCCTCATAATTCAGTGGCATTCAGGCCTTTAGAGAACAAAGCTTTTTGGCGTGCAGCTATGGGAGCGGGACAAAACTCCTGCTCCAAAAACAGCACTCTCTCTTTGCAGGACCATAATCTTCACAGCCAGGCAGGACTGGGTCCCTCTGTCAGGTGCAGGCGAAGCTGGGAAGTGTTCTAGGTGGATTCAGTGACATGCTGTATTTGTTCCAGCAACATAAAATGCTTTGCTAACCAGCTTAAGCATTTAGATGAGCTCGAAGCAGTGAGAGTTGACCTGGGGATATGAAACTGAAGCTTTTTACTATTGTAGTAGCTTAGAAAACACATTCATTTTAATAACTGAGGGAGCTGCTGGATGGGAAAGGAGGCTGTGATTGGATCTCTCTTTTCCCTCTCTCAGATGTGTTCATGACCCAGTTCTCAGCCCTTCAGACCGCCCGCTCCGTGCGAACACGCCGCTTGGCTGCAGCTGAGGAGAACATTGAGGTGGCTCGCGCTGCCCGCCTAGCCCAGATCTTTAAGGAAATATGTGATAGCATCATCGCCTATAAAGGTGAAGGTAACAACACTCCTTAAGAAACTTCCCTGAAGACTTTCTCCGCCTCTGAAGCAATGAACTGCATGGCACATCCTAGGAAAAAAATCACTTTTTTCAGGGTGTCAAAGAGCCTTCCTTCCTTTTCCCCCCTTTCTCCTGCTACCAGTAATGACTTTAAATTGCTTTACTTCATCCCCAACCCCTTCCTCTGCCACCAGAATCTGCAGATGTTGCTATCTTTTAAGTTGCTTTTTGAGTGGTTCAGCAAAATGGTACAGCTGACAGAATTACAAGGAAATATCATCCATTTCGATACTTGTAGTCCCATTACAGCAGCCAACTTCTAGAAATGCAAAAGCATTTCAATTCCCTCTGCCTCAGATAGCAGAAGAGCCTTTTTTTAACCTAGGTGGAATGTTGTTAGGTACTTGTCTTTTGAAGTTTCACTCAAGTAAATGTTGAACTCTGTTCCTGTTACAGACTCCTCCAGGCAGGCTCTTGCAGCTCCTCTCCTGAACCTACCCCCAAAGAAAAAGTAAGCACTTGCTTCCCAGAGCAACCCGTAGTTTTCCATAATGGATTTGCACAGCTTCGGCTTGCTAGTGAAAATGACATTGTGCATGCATTCCCATTGTAGAAATGCGGACTATTACGAGAAGATCTCTGATCCCCTGGACCTTGCCACCATCGAGAAGCAGATCTTGACTGGCTATTACAAAACTGTGGAAGCTTTTGATGGGGACATGCTGAAGGTCTTCCGGAATGCAGAGGTGAGGCTCTCTCTGGCCTTAAAGCTATTGCAGAGACAGTGGGCGTGTAGCCTCATTTAATGCTCTTGGTGATTTACAGTAATAGGAGAAGAAAACTGTTTTAGAAGAAGAGACCTTGTGCTGATCTGTTTCTGATGAGCAGACATTGACAGAATGATGGAATCCCAGCCTGGTTTGGGTTGGAAAGGACCTTAATGGTTGCTTTGCTCTGGTTTCACACAGAAATACTATGGGAGGAAGTCCCCGACGGGGCGCGACGTGTGCCGCCTGCGGAAGGCGTATTACAGCGCCCGGCACGAGGCAGCGGCCCAGATCGATGAGATCGTGGGGGAAACAGCAAGTGAGGCTGACAGCAGCGAGACGTCGGTCTGCGAGAAGGAGAGCGGGCACGAGAAGGACGAGGACGTGATCAGATGCATTTGTGGCCTTTACAAAGATGAAGGACTCATGATCCAGTGTGAAAAGTGCATGGTGAGGCAGGGGGAACACAAAACAGAGCCTGGTGCTCTTCTCCGTGCCCAGTGCAACATTTACTAGCGGTTCCCTGTAGCTGGTAGCATGAATTACTTCTGCAGACCTTCACTTCCTCTCCAGAGGAACTGAAAGTCTGCTTTCACAGAAGAAATGCAACTTGCATTTCTCTACAGAGGAGCTAGCACTTCCTGAGACCATCAGCAGCTCCTGTCCTTGGCGAGCAGAATTAACTTCAACAATTCAGGGCCCACGGTTGCATGTGGATCTTGTCTGTCTTCTGAATTCCCTTTGGGAAGCTCGCTTGCTTGCTTTCCTCCATGTTTGCTTGAGAAAATGCCAGTTGTCAATGCAGTCTGTCACAGGAATTTCTAACTGGGGTTTATCTGGTTTTCTAGGTCTGGCAGCACTGCGACTGTATGGGGGTGAATTCGGATGTTGAACACTACTTGTGTGAGCAGTGTGAACCTCGGTCAGTGAACAGGGTAAGAAAAAGTCTCCTCTTCGTTGCTAAACTAAAGCAGCTCTTGCATTTATATTTATTATTGAGACTGGCCAGAACAGCATGGGGTTCTCACTTTATAGAGTAGCTTCCTTGGTTTAGGTTTAACCACCTTAAGTACCAATTCTCTGCCTACTTCTGCAAAAGGATTTCAGCCCCATCTTTGCACTGATTATGGTGAGCATCACAGCATTTCCTTCCTTTTTTCTTTCTTCATCCAGGAGGTGCCCATGATCCCTCGTCCCCACTATGCCCAGCCTGGCTGTGTCTATTACATTTGCTTGTTACGGGATGATCTGCTGCTGCGCCAAGGTACGTGCTAACCCTGGCGGCTGCTGTGCTTTCCATCAGATCAGAGCGTACAGAGATTTCTGGCATCACCCTGTTGAAAATCCTTTTATCTTCTTACAAGTAGAAAGCTGCACTCTTTGCTATTATGGGAGTGACACATAGTAAGAGTTCTCACAGGCTGGTTGATGAAGCAACGTAATTACCTTTAGCACAGATAGGGCTCTCCTCCTGGCCAGAGAAGGAAGATGCTGAGCCAACTTGTGGTAGTTAACATTTAGAAGTAAAGGCAAAGAAGGCTATTAGGTCTTCAGTGTTTTAGTGTAGAATGGTCATTAAAACATCAGCTTATTGCTTGTTCGTTCCCTGAAGTGTACCTTTCTGGACATTGCTTCAAAACCCTGAGTCTGTCGGTGCTGATCTGTGCATCTTCTTGGAGTTCTGCTGGAATGTTAGCTTTAATGACAGCATTTGCTCTATTTTTGGTGCTGGACTGATGACAGGTTCTTTAGAGGTGTGTGTTTTGTGCCCATTGCCAGGTGACTGTGTTTACCTGATGAGGGACAGCCGCAGAACTCCGGATGGCCACCCCGTGCGGCAGTCCTACCGGCTCCTGTCCCACATCAACAGGGAGAAACTCGATATATTCCGCATCGAAAAGCTCTGGAAAAATGAGAAGTATGTTCAAGGCATCTCTTGAAGTGGGGACATTGCAGATGCAGTGATTTTGCAGAAGTCTGATCATAGCTTGAAAACACAGGACTGAACACGGTTCAGTTACAGAGGCTTCATCATGCCTCTGCTTGTGCTTCACGACTGCAAAGTAATAGCATCTAAGTTTGGAGGTTTAAACAAGGAGTAAGAGCTATCAGTTGATGCAGTTTCCTCAGTTAGAACAGGCCGAGACTACACACTGACAGCTCATGATCACTGCCTAAGCCCCTGTAACGGGATTAAATGCCCCAATGATAGCAGCATAGTAAGCCTGCTGTGTTCATAAAACTCACACTAGGAGCATTTCCACTTCGTGAAGGGGCTAAAGTTGAAGTGTAACGTTCTGTGACTTCGCTTTTCATCACAGTCACTGCAGAAATGCAAGACTGTTCCAAGTGAGGTGGAGGGCTTGAAGGGAGGTTGTACCTGGGCTCATAGACGTAATCTCTTGCCTTTTTTCCCTCCTGTGTCTCTCACTTCACCCCTGCAGAGAGGAGCGGTTTGCCTTTGGTCATCACTATTTCCGTCCACATGAAACACATCATTCCCCTTCTCGAAAGTTCTATCACAATGAGCTCTTCCGGGTGCCACTGTATGAAATCATCCCCTTGGAGGCTGTGGTGGGCACGTGCTGTGTTCTTGACCTCTACACCTACTGCAAAGGTAAGGAGAAATGAAATACAATGCACCACTGCTGCTGTGGTTTAACCCCAAGTACCATGAAGCTGCTCACCCACCCCACAGTGGGATGGGGAGAATCAGGAGGTGGTAAAACCCATGGTTTGAGATAAGAACAGCTTCATAATTGAAATAAAAGTAGAAGAGTAAGTCATCAAAATACCTTCTAATTTCCTCTGCATAATCACAGAATCCCAGACTGGTTTGGGTTGGAAGGGGCCCTAGAGCTCATCTACTTCTAACTGCCATCCCACCGAGCAGGTCTGCCAGTCCCTGTGCCTCGTTGACACTGTGGATGGCTTGCTGTGGTTCTGCTGTACCATGAGCGTCCTCTTGAATCTCACTGGCATTTTTTCCTGCTCTGTTTCCAAACGCAGGGAGGCCAAAAGGTGTGAAGGAGCAGGATGTGTATATCTGTGACTACCGCCTGGACAAATCAGCTCATCTCTTCTACAAGATCCACCGGAACCGCTATCCTGTCTGCACCAAGCCCTATGCCTTTGACCACTTTCCCAAGAAACTCACACCCAAGAGAGACTTTTCAGTAAGTATTTCTTCCCTTGGCTTCCTTCCTTTTTGCTACAAGACTGGCCATACTTCTGGAAAGCCCCTAGCTCCCTGTGAGTGAAGCTTGGTAAACCAAAGGAAGCTGCCACATGAGCGTACACAGTGTGGAGAGAAAGTTGTCTAGAAAGCAAGCTTGGAAAGCAAAAGTGATTGGAGATAGAGAATGTGCAGTTCAAAGGCCAACAGATATCGACTGAACGGTGATGTGTAAGTTTGGAGATTGTGGTTTCTGGCTGAAATGTAGGTGCTGATTTCATTTAAGCCACTCCTAGAGTCATAGAATCCCAGACTGGGTTGGGTTGGAAAGGACCTTAATGCTCATCCGATTCCAGACCCCATCCAGCCTGGCCTTGAACTCTGCCAAACTTCGCTTCCTGAGTGAAGGAAATCTTAAAACTCACTTTTTGGTCACAATTCTGGGACTGTACAAGTATTTGATGTGTTTTAGAGCCTCACACAACACCCAGGCCCATGTGAGCTGGTCAGGCTGGCTGTGTCACATTCTTCCACTGTGAATTTTCTTTGGTGTTAACCATACTCTTTACTGTTCTTGCAGCCTCATTATGTACCAGACAACTACAAGAGAAATGGAGGCAGGTGAGTTTTACCTACCAGATTGTTCATTCAGAAGAGGTGAGATCATCCTGTCCACTCTTTTCCATACCCACTTCCTCTGGGTGCTATGGAAATAAGAAGTTTAAATTATTTAAAGCAATCTCTCTAAACGAAGAGCTAAAGAGGGAACAGGTGAGGAAGGACAGAATGTAGAAGCAGTGTTAGTGTTCCTTAATAATGGAGGTAAGGAAGAGTACGGAAGCTGTTTTGAAAGGTAGCAAAAGCAGCTGAATGTGGGAGATGGCAGATCCCAGGACAAGAGCAGCCAGCCTTCCTGCACTAAGGGTTTGAATGTACATAGTAAGTCAAGTGACTGAGATTCCAGAACCCACCCTGGCTGCTGACAGGTCCTTGGCTCACTGGTAACTGACCTTTCCATCTGGAAAACTGCGGTAGTTAAACCCTTCTTTCCCTCTAGATCATCCTGGAAAACAGACCGCTCCAAGCCGCAGATTAAAGACTTAAACCAAGAAGAAGATTCTCTTCCACTGATGGAGGATGTATTGGGAAACCAAGAGCAACCCTCCAGTGAGATGCCTGCCCTAGAGGAGTCAGAAAAAGAGGCAGCCTCTGGTGAGGGCTGTGAAGCTGAGAAGAAGGTAGAAGAAAGCAGCTCGGACACGAGGCAGCTCTGCACTCCAGAGGAAAGGCGGCATATTCAGAGGGAGAGACTGAATCAGATCCTGCTCAACCTCTTAGAGAAAATCCCAGGGAAAAACGGTGAGATTTCCCTCAGAAGCGTTGTGTCTGCAGGCTTGTCTTCCGTTCACTGCAGGCTGTGGAGATGAAATAAACGGGTTTGGCTGAAGTCATTGCTAGTGGACATTACTAGGACTGCGTTTTCTTTGCAGCAATGTTTTCTATTGCAACAGCAGCAATTCCCACTAAATCCCAAAGAAATTTCCTACCACTGTCACTGTGCTCACACCAAAACTCTCTGAAGACAAATTCCCCCCATCATTCAGCTCAGAAACTGAACAGAGACACACAGTGAAACTGAAGAGAGTCTGGAAAGTCTCTTTTGACCTTCCCTGAGCTTTCCATTGGGTTTTAGGTAACTTCTGTAGGCATTGTCTAAGCTGCAGGACTGGGGTGCAGTGGTTGCACTGGTTAAATGTGTCTGGTTTTGATTCAAAGCTTGGGATGAGCTCTGTCCAGCCTCCTTTGTATTCTGGGTGTTAATGCAAAGTACTCACGGAATCATCAGTTAGATTGGAAGGGTCTTTGGAGATGGTCTGGTGCAAACGTGACTCGGGGCAGGCTAACTCCAAACTTCAGCCAGGTTGCTCAGCACCTTGTCCGGTAGAGTTTTGGATGTTGCTATGGATGGAAACGTCCTTGGAAGAACCATGAGTAGGGAAGTGGGAAAACTGTTGTTGCTGTCACCTTCCTTTACCAAAAGCCTGTGCTCTGTTGCAGCTATTGATGTCACTTACTTGCTGGAGGAAGGATCAGGAAGAAAACTGCGGCGGCGAACTCTGACCATCCCCGAGAGCAGCTTCAGGAAGTGATGCCACCAGAAGAGGCTGTGGTCTGGAGTCTGCTACAAGGTCTGCTGAGGACTGAGGGCAGGAGCCCAACTTCCTCTGCACCAGCCAAGGAAAAGAGGGCAGCAGCAAACTGACAAATATACAAACAGTTAGCACTTAGATGTCTGGGTTGGCAGGTTGCCCTGCCCTGCTCTGCAGTGCTCTTATGGTGTGTGTGTTGTTGGGCGTGCCTTGTATTGATGTTAGGTACTGAGAAAAACCTCGTGGTTATTGTCCAGGATGGTCAAATTTAATTTATTTTTGCTTGAGATTCCCACTCAGAGGAAAAAAAAAGAAAAAAAAAAGAAAAAAAAAGAGGTAAGAAAGGACAGGAATGGGGGAGGTGAGAAGGAAAAGGACTGAGCTACTCTGAGAATATTCCCCACGTTCACCACTTAACCTGTGATTGTACAAGATCCTGCTGGCACCACCGTGGCCCGTGACGGTGAACGCAGTCAGATGGGAGGGTGAAGGCCCCGTGGCTTCCAGCGTAGGGCGGCCCTGGAGCCGTGGCCTCTGATTTGCACAAGTTCCAAGCAGAGAGCAGCGTCCGTGGCGACGCGACAGGGTCAGCGCGGAGCGGCCGGTGCGCCCGTGGGGTGGGTGACAAGGAGCAGCCTCCCGAGCGCCCTGGGAGCCAGGCAGGAGTTGCCTGCTCGAGGCCCTTGTTGTGCGGCGTGGAACGGGGAGGGGGGGGATTCTCTTTCTCGCATGCTTCCTGCAGAGGTTTTCTAACGCAGGTCAGGCCCCGCCGTCGCTGCTGCTGGGCTGGAGAAGCTGTGGTTCTCGTGTGTCTCGTGTGTTGTGCAAATGGAAACCTGTTCAAAAGAAGCAGCCCCCCCCCCTAAAACCAGAGGAACCCTTCACTACATGAACCATCGAGCAGTATTCCCAGCGAGTGTTTGTTGTGCCCTGTAGGATATAGCAACTGCTAACACTACCCTCGTGTTCTGCTTGTACAGCTTAACCTGTCCGTCTCCGAGCTGAAGAGCCAGCGTTCCCCGCGCCGCCCTCCCTCTGCCCTGGCGGGTGTCAGCCCCACGAGCGGCCCCCAGGCCCCCGCTGCTCCCTGCATGAAGCCACAGCGTGCCCGAGAGTGGGGCTGCCCCGGGACACGGAGCAAAGGGAGGGGGGGGTCGGCGATGCTGCCCCTTGGAAATGGCTTTGCTTTTTTGTCCTTCCGACGTACATATGCAGATACAGTCCTGTTTTAGATGTTCTTCGAAGAAAACCGGTTTTTAATGTGCCAAGTTGTATATATCTGCTGCGTGGATGTAAAGCAATACCGTAGTTACATGTTCCTTTTTAATGGACCAAGCTCGTCCTAATGTACATTCTTGTTACTATGATTATTTTACTCTTAGTGGAACATGGCTCATTCCATTCAACTTTTCCGTGTTGATTTCAAAAGGACAAAAAGAGATTAAAAAAGAAAAACCACGAAAAAAAAGGCAAAAAAAAAAACCCTTTGAGAAAAAAAAAAAGTAATAAAAACCACAAATATTTTATTAAAAAAAAAAAAGAGAAAAAAAAAAGACAAAACCTAAGGAAATAGTTTGGAATATTTTCTTACTGTAGAGAAGCACTGTACAGAACCAGGAGCCCTGAGTATAAAATACTCGTGCGTGTAGTAGGAATATCGCATGTCCCCCCCCTTGAGTTGTCTCCTTTAGTTCCAGCCCCGAAATCATCGTCTCCAATGGTGTTAAACACTAAAAGAAAGAAGTTTTTAAGAAGCCGAGTGCGTTCGGAAGCGCCACCCTGAGCTCTCTCATTTTATCTTTCTTTTGTTGAAAGACTAAACCGAGATGTTTTTTAGACAATCAAACCTTAGGTAAGTGCAAAGACTTCGTTTTTTCTTACTGGTGTAGAAATTAAGGACTTTTTTTATTTTGGGGTTATTTTATAATAATGAGAAGACCGGAGGGTCGCCAGGATCGCTGTTTTCAGACCAGGAAGCACTACATTACTGCAAATAGATATGAACTCTTAGTCTGCATGGGTGTAGGCTGTGTGATTGCTGAAAATAAATGCTGCTAATATATTTCCTTTTTACAAAGCATATCTAAATAGATCATTGTTTTGATGTTAATCTTTGTAAATTATGTATTACCAATTTTAACATTGGATGTAATTGCATAAAAAGCCTGCATCTCAATCCTGAGAGAGTCTAGTATTAAATGGAAAATCTTTTCCTATCGGTGCCTTCGTGGGCTTTTCTTGCTCTTGGTCCCACTCTTCCCATTGCTTTGCCAGGGGTCCTTGTCCCGGCTCTCCAATGGGTGATGGAGCTTGCGAGGGTTTGGGTTGATGCTGATGCTCTGGTGGCAGCGTGGATACAGGAGCAGCAGCCTCCACGGGTACCTGGACCCTTAAACCTGCAGCTTCAGTGCCTGTTCCGAGGGGGCAGCCCCGGGCACCCAGAGCCATCCCCTCCGGGCCTGCAGAGGCCGCAGCCCTCAGAGGTGGGTGCCGGGGGTGTTTGTGACTCTTCACGTTCTGGATGCAGCCGCTGCTCGATGCCTCCCCTTTCCTGTGACCTGGTTTTCCTCCATCCCCCAGCCTGGACCACTGTGGTCCCTGCCCCGTAGACCCGTGTCCCTTCTGAACCAGAGCCACCAGCCCAAGGGGTGAAGAGCTGGCTTCACTTAAACCCATCTGAGGAACCCATTTCCAAGCCCAGTGGGGAACTCAACCAAGCCCCCTTAAGGCAAACCCCATTCCCGTTGAGATCCGATGTCCCTCAGCTGAGAGGGAAGCTCCCCAAAGGCCCAGCACCAGCTTCCCCCCGCAGTGACCCATCCCCACATGCAGCCACGTGAGTCACAACCTTTATTCCCAGCTTTTCCCCCTGGAATCAGCGCGTTCCCCTGGGTACAGCCATGGAGAGAGCGCGGCCGGGCCTGGGCTGCGGGGCACGGGGCAGAGCGGTGGGGGGAACACAATGGCAGGGGCATGGAGCAGGGACAGGGACCTCCCCGGCCCTGGCGCAGGCTGGGGACACAGGAGCGTGAGCAGGTCCCTCATGGGAGCCGTGGTGGGGCCGGGCACGGCGGTGGCGCGGGCTCAGCGCCGTGGCACAGGGTACGGGCATGCGAGCGAGCAGAGCCAGCGAGGGATGCTCTGAGGGCGGTGAGAGCGTGGCAGGAGCCGGTCCCTCACAGGATGAGGGATGTGTAACCCACGGGGACCAGGCCGGTGCTGTTGCCATGGCAGCAGCGGATCCAGTCTTCATCCACGGTGCAGAGCAGCTGCAGGATGTCCCCCTTCTGGAAGCTCAGGTGCCCGTCGGCCGTGCCCGTGTGGTCGCACAGCGCCCGGACCGCCCTGCAGAGCAAACAGCATCCGGACTCACCCCCCAGCGCCACTGGGAGAGGCTCCCACAGGATGCTCCTGGAGGAGCCGCCATCGGACCATGGGTTCGATCACATCCATAGGTTCAAATCCATCCATGGGTTCAGTCACATCCAGGACCCAGGACCAGACACACACACCCCCCACACCCCCCCTCCCGGCAGCTTTCCAGCCCCAAACACGGCAGTGCCCCCATCACCTGCAGGGCTGGGGTGACTCCAACACCGTCCCCTCTGCCTGCTCCTGAGCGCGGCTCTTCTCAGCCGCCAGCCCCTTCACCACCGCAGCCAGGACACGGGCGCCGGGCGAGAGCCACCTCGAAGGTCTCCTGCGCGCAGCAGAAGCTGCAGGCTCAGCCTGGTCTGGGGATGCGGGAGCTGACGGGGGCCCTGCACGGGGCCTTACCTGGACCTCGCTGAGGCTGCATCGGGGCTGGGAGGGAAGCTCCTGGCAGAGGGGCTGGGGGCCCCGAAGAGCCGGCCCAGCCAACGGCCCCCGTGAGCGCCGCGGGGCCCGGGAGGCGCTGCCCGGCTCCCATCCGCACCCGGCGATGCCCGAGGGCTCTCTCCAGCGGCGGGATCAGACGGCGCAGGGGATGCTCCGGCTCCCGCGGGCAGGATGAGGGCTTCGGGGGAGGAGGATCCGGAGGTGCCCGCGCTGCTGCTGGGCTGCGGAGGGGGGAGCTCCGGGACAGCTTTGGTCTGGAGCAGCTGCAGCTCCGTGCCGCCGGGCTCCCCCAGGGCCGGCAGAGCCGGGCCAGGGCTGGGATCCGCCACAGCCGCCCGCAGCTTCGTCCACCAGACCGAGGGGAGCTTCTCCTCGCTGGGCTCGGAGCAGGTCCTGGAGGCCCGGCCCAGCTGCCCCCACCACCCCCCGGGACCAGCCCCAGCATCCCCAAGGCTGTCGGCCCCCAGCAGCGTGCGGCTGAGGCGGTCCCCCCAGCGCAGGACGTGCTGCAGGGTCTGCTGCAGAGCGGCCCCCACCTGGGCACCAGGGACCAGCGCAGCAGCGCGGGGCTGGGGCCTTGGGCTGCCCCCTGCGCCCGCTGCCCTCCCCACGGCATCAGGGGGCGTCTGGTCCTCCAGGCCGGCCCCCGTGGTGCTGCAGAGCCCCCCCAGGGAGCGCTGACCGGGACCCGGAGCAGAGCCATGGGCAGGACACGGCGGTGACTGCGGCCGGCGGCACAAGGGCCGTACATCCATGGAGAGGTGGTGGTGTTCAAAGAGCAGGTCCAGGTGGAAAGTCAGCACGGAGAGGGGCTGGATGAGCAGCAGCAGCTCATCAGCGAGGTAGGGCAGAGGCCCCTGGCTCAGTGCGAAGAAGGCTGTGGGTGAGTACAGCACGGAGATGACACCTACGAGAGACAGAGGGTGCTGGAGGGTGCAAAGTGCCCTGGCAGGGCCAGCAGGGCTGTCCCAGCCGGTCAGAGGAGCTTCTGCTGGGAGCTGTATTAAAGGCACACCATGGAAATGATGCCTTCTCCACTATGCAGATCCCAGCCAAGCACCACGGGTGGGACGGGGCTGGGGTTAGACCTGTTCATATGTTGTACCTGATTATACCCTGGCAAGCAAGAGAGGACGTGGATGTGGAGCTTCTGGACATTGTCTCCTTACCTGGGCTCTTCTGCAGGTGGGAAATCCACTGCTCCAGCTGTTTAATGCTAAAGAAGGCAAAGGGAACCCACGTTAGAGCTCCTGGGACTCCGTCCCAACCAGCAGCAGGGGCCAGCGGGGCCGGAACTCACTTCAAAAGGCCCAGAATAAAGGCATGGAACTTCTGCCGGGTGCTGTGGAGCGGGGCCAGCCCAGCCACGTGCCCGTACAGCGAGTGGAAGGAGCGGGCACCGGGGCCTGTGGAACACAACGGTCACCGCTCCGGGCCCCGATCCCCCCAGCCCGGGCTGGGGAAGCATCCCAGGCTCCCCGAGATGCCCCCAGCTCCGGGAGCCCCGCACAGACCTGTCCTCACGGAGGCTTCCACCACGCTCCATGGGGAATTCCTCCTCTGGCCGGTGATAACGTCTTTCTGGAAGGGCTTCAGCCCGTCCTCCACCAAGGCGTAGAGCGCAGGGCACAGCGTGTGCAGCAGCAGGTACCCCACGTCAGGGCTGAGCCGGCTGTCGCCCAGCTGGGCCTGGAGCACAGGGAGAGGAGAGGAAGGGAACGGCAGCACCTACCCCCGAGCCTGCAGGGAGGGAGGAAGCCCCTGGAGGCCCCCAGGCCCCTCCTGCCCACCCCAGCCCAGAGCCTCACCTTCTGCACCAGGTTCCGTGCGGAGCTGAAGTGGGCAATGACCTTATCCACGGCGGCGCTGATGGCGATGAGCAGGGCTGGGGGGCAGCAGAAGGGAAGGTGTCAGAGAGAACGACTCGGAGCAGCCCCGAGGAGGACTTGGGGGCGTTGGGTGAGGAGCAGCTCCCCATGACCCGGCTTCAGCGAGCGCTTGAGCCCGGAGCCCCCCCGTGTGCTGGGCACCAGCCGCAGCTCCGGACACCAAGGCACAGGGGAGCGCTGGGAAGGCTCAAGGAGCATCCAGGCTGTTGCCATGGGAACCGTGCCGGGATGAAGGACCCGCGGCTCCCAGGGGACCGGGCCAGGATGGAGGCGAGGGCGGGGACCGGCAGCGCCGCGCCCCCGCTCCCCGGCTCCACCACGGGGCGGGGTCGCAGCCCCTGCCCGCCCCTGCCCGCGGCCCCGCTCCGGCCGCTGCCGACCCCGGCCTCCCCCCGCGCACCGGAGCCCGCGGCCGTTACCTCTCATCTGCTCCCCGCGGGCTCCCTCCGTGCTCCCCGCTCCGGGCGGGCCCGCGGCGGCTCCAGCGGCGGACGGCGGGGGTTTGGCTGCGGGGAGCGCGGCGGCCTCAGGCGCTGCCGGGGGGAGGCGGTTACCGGGCCCGGGCCCTGCCGGGCCGCGCTCGCCCATGGAGCCGGAGGCCGCGGCGGGGCGAAGGGCAGCGGCTGGGGCGGGCCCCGCCGCGGCCCGGAACGGGGCGGGGGAAGGCGGCGGGGCGGCCCCCGGGGGGTTCGGGACCCGTCCTTCCCCCAGCCCGGCTCCGCGCCCGCGCAGGACCCCAGCTCTTACCGTCCTGGCGGGGCCCGGCCCCTCTCTCGCCTGCCCCGGGCCCCCGCGGGGCGCCGCCGGGTCCCCTGAGCCTCCGAATCGCGGCCCCGTTCTCCTCGGGAAGGGCGCTCTGCAGCGGCGGCCCCGCTTCCTCAGCGTCCCCGGGCTGCCCCTCCGCGATGGGGAGCAGCCCCGGCCGGGGTCTCCTCCTCTTCACCTGGTGGCCGTCCATGGGCGCCAGCAGCTGCCCCCCCAGCGGCACCGGGGGCACCCAGCCTGCGCTGCCGCTGCCCAAGGCCGCCTCCGGGAGCGCAGGGGGATGCTGCGATGCCGCCGGCTCTGCCCGCTCGCCCGCTGCCTGCCCCTTGGCCTTGTTGGAGGCGCTGCGGTACCGCAGCTCCTTGAACGTGGTCACCTCGCGCTGCCTGGAGCCGGGGGGCCTCGGTGGCGGCTCGGGCTGGAGCTGGGGCCGGGCCGGCTCCTGGCCCGTGGTGCTGGAGAGGAGCTCGCTGGGGGGAGGCAGCTCCGTGTCCGGTGAGAAGACGATGAGCCAGTCGCTGCGGTCAGCCCTGGCCTGGGCAGGAGCAGGCCCAGCGCCGTTCCTCTTCCTCTTCTGGGCCAGCTCGTGGAAGGAGGTGATGGTTTTCTTGCCCACGTCTCTGCAGAGGTCTCCCGAGCCGGGCTCCAGCTCCAGCGGCCCCGCAGGCAGAGGTGGCTGCTCTGCCCTGTGCCCATTGAGAACCTGCAGGCGCCTCCGGGGCCGGGGGGGCACTGGTGGGGGGATGCTTCCAGCCCGGGGCCGCAGCTCCGGAGCTCGGCTCAGAGCAGGATCCCTGCGCCCCGGTACAGGCGGTGCCGGGGGGGCAGAGTCAGCCTCGGGCAGGGGGTTGCAGTTGGGGTCGAGGTCGGTGCTGAGGTCGGTGCTGATGCCGGTGCCATCCCGCACGCTGGGGGAGGTCTCATCATACCGGGAGTCGAGCGAGCTGCTGCTGCGGAGGCTGTCCGGGCTCCCTCCGGTCAGCGGGGCCGGTCTCTGGGGCACCGGCGGGTTGAGGTTGGCATCTCTTCCATCACACGTCCCACCCTGGTCACCAAGCGACTGCGCATCCTGGGCATCTTCTGTGGGAATGACGCTGGGCGGATTCTCGAGGGGTCGAGGCTCTTCTCTGGGGAACCCTTTGCAGTACACGGAGACTGGGGAGTCATCCAAGCTGAAATCCGAGCAGCTACTGACGGAGGAGGAGGATGAAGAAGAGGAGGAGGAAGCCAGATCACAAGGGGAAGCCACCTCCTCCCCAGCGTGCAGGCAGGGGAAATCCTCTTGAGCTGTCTGGTTCTGGAGACCCAGCGTCACTGCCTGCTGAGGATGGGACTCGCAACACCGGCATTTCAGGGAGGGATTGTTGGAATTGGCATCCACTTGCTCGCAGTTCTCCGCGCAGTCGCTGCAGCCGGTCTGCTCCCCTCCACCCGTGGAGCCAGAAGTCTCCTGGAGCTCCGGGTGCCGGGAGAGGTGCAGCCCCAGGGAGATGTGCTGCAGATGGATGTGGTTGAGGTTGCAGAGGAGGCCTTTCTTCGGAGCCAACATGGTGCTGCCTCACTGGTGGTGCTGGGGCTCCTCGGAGAGCCCCACAGCTCCTGTCTTCAGACCATGCAGCTCCCTGCAGACAGCGAGCACCCCTTCAGCGGGCAGGGGAGAGCGCAGAGCACGAACCTGGAGAGGAGCAGACGGGGCGGGAGGGATGACGGTGACCTTGCGGCAGCCCCCGAGCCGGGAAGGGCCGGATGCAGGGGGTCGGTGTAGGGGCCCTGTGTTCCGAGATGGGAACGTGCCCAGCAGCGAGGGGCAGCCCCACAGCTCCCCCCTGCGCCCGGGTCTGCGCCGGGCAGGGGCTGGTGGGCGACTCCCGAGCGCGGTGCGGGGGAGCAGCGGGCAGCGCAGGGGGGGCTGGATCCCGCCCAGAGGTGAGGAGCACCCGCGGATGCCACCGAGGAGGAAACGCCCTTGAACCCCCACCGGGGTCGGAGCCGGGCCCAGCCGAGGGGCGGCGGCAGCGCCGGGGCTGCAAGGCCGCGGCAGGACCCCGGTCCTGGGGGGGAGCCGCCCGCCCGCCCGCAGCCTCCCGCAGCCCCCCCCCCCGCCCGGTGCGGCCCCGGGCACCGCCCGGCAGCGGCGGCAGCGGCCGCGGAGCGCTGAGCATCCCCCGGGCCCTGCGCTGGAGCCGCCGCGGCCGCAGGGGTGAGGCCGCCCCGAACCCCCCGCCCGGCTCCGGCCCCGCTCACCTCGCGCTGCGGCGGCGACTGCGGAGGGAGGAGGAGCCGCGGCCCCGGCCCCGCCCCGGAGCCGCCCCGGGACCGGGCCCGCCCCGACCGGGAGGAGGCGGTGGCGCCGCGGCCCCCCCCACCCCGAGCCCCTGCAGCCGGAGGAGCCGCCTGTGCCCCCCCCGCCCCATCCAGCCCCGGCTCCAGCCCCCACCCGGCAGCGCTGCAGCCGCAATCACGGCTGGGGACTGGGGTAATCAATAACTTAACGTTTATTGACAACCGCGATTCAAACCCCGCCTCCGACCCCAAAACCCGGTTCACAACCAGCCCCGGATCCCACCCCACGGGGCAGGGGGCAGGGATCAGTTCCAGCCGGGGGCAGACCCCAATGGCCACCAGCCCCCTTCAGCAGAGGCGAAGCAGTGGAGGGGCAGCCCCACCATCACTTCTGCCGCTTGTAGATCTTCTGAGCCAGGCCAAGGAAGATGGCCTTGGGCAGGCAGTGGCTGTGTGTCCGGATCAGCTCCTGCAGGCGCTGGTAGCTGCTCTCCTCGTACTCTTGGAAAGCAGCCCTCATGCCCAGGGTGTCATAGAGCTCCTTCACCTTTGCCACCTTCTCAGGTTCCTTACGGCCATAGTTCTCCTGAGGAAACACCAGGCCAAGTCAGGCTGAGGTCCAGCATCTGGCCCCAGCCATAGCTGGTCCTTCAAAGGGTAGCAGGAGTCACCTCTTGTCATCCCCGCTACTGCCCCAACCACTCACAACAACCAGGCTGCAGGGTGTACAACAGGGCACTACAACCCCTCTACACCACATCTCCCCTCCTTCAGGGGGTTGTGAACCTGGTGGCGTTACCTCCAGGATCTGCCTCTGCTCTGGCGTGACCCGATGCAGACACTGCACCACCAACCAGCTGCACTTATTGTCCTCGATGTCAGTGCCAACCTTCCCTGTCACCTTTGGGTCTCCATAGCAGTCCAGGTAATCATCCTGCATGGAGATGGGAGCACATGAGTGCCACAACCAGCACCTTATAAGCACTAAGGGACAGGGAAGCAGCACCTACCTGGATCTGAAAGAATTCACCCATCTCCAGCAAGATGGCCTTGGCATTGTCATGCTCCTCCTTGCTGTCAATACCAGCCTAAGGACGGAAAAAAAGAATGAAGCCTTCCAGTACCTGCCTTCCACCCTTTCGTGTCTCCCAAAGCTCCTGCCTTCCTTGACAGCAAGGGCAAGTCCTAGGACAGTGACCAAGGACTCACCATGTACATGGCAGCAGCCACAGGCAGGTAGAAGGAGTAAAACGCCGTCTTGTACTTCACAATCGCCTTATACCTGTGGCAGAGGAACCCTGCTCAGTGCCAGGGCGTCCCAACAGGGCTCTGCAGACCAGGACCAGCATCTCCCTTCAACCCAGCCCACAAGCTCCAACAGCACGAGCAAGACCTGCTCCGCAGAGCTTGGCACGATGTTATCCCTCCTACACCGTGTGGAAGGGACCGCGAGCAGAGCTGCGCTGCCACACCTCCATCACCTCCTTACCTCTGCTCACTGAAGCGGTTCAAATCCACCTGGGAAATGGGAGCAGTGATGAGGTCCAGCGTCTGCCCCAGCTCCGTCTGGTAGGCAGTCTGAAGAGGAACGGGGGGATTTGTTCAGCCCCCCAGCAGAGTCCCAAGAGTGCAGTGAAACCCCCAAACCCCAGCCCGGTTTCAGCTCCTCTCCCAGTGCGAAGGGCAGGGTGCCCAGGAAGAGCAGATCCCAGGGTACCTGTGCAAGGGGATGCGGGGGCCGGGCTCACCTGCAGGAAGAGCTCCAGGAGGTGCACGTAGTAGGGATGCTCCCCGCAGTACTTCTTCAGCAGCCGATAGACGGAGGACTCCAGGAGGAGGGCATCATTGATGGCATCAAGACCGATCCCCTCCTGCACCGGGCGGGTAGGGAGGGGTCACAAAACACCCTGACCCCCCCGCACCTCCCCGGGGACAGGGGCCTCCCAACGGCCTCACCTTCTTGTACCAGCAGAGCTGCCCCCGGCGGGTGAGGGACGCGTCCATGATGTCGTCGGTCACCAGGAAGAACGCCTGGAGCTGCGAGAGGCCGGGTTAGGGGCAGGGGGGTCCCGGGGGGGGGGGGGGTGTGCACCCCCAGGCCCACCCCGTCCCGGCTCTCACCAGCTCGATGCACCAGCCGACGACCAGGGCGCACCGGAGGCTCTCCGCACCCTGCTGCCCGGGGCCCGCCAGCTCTCGGTACGCGGCCAGCACCGTCATGCCCCGGTTGCACTTCCCGCCCGCCCCGTTGTACTCCAGCACCTGCGGGCAGACGGGAACGGGCAGCCTCGGACAGGACGGGCAGGGGATGGAGCCGGACCCCCCCCGCGCCCCGCTCACCTCCTTCAAGCGGGACACAGCATCGCCCACCTCGGGGTGCCCCAGGCCGCCCTCGGTCAGGTCGCGCACGATCTGCGGGAAGAAGCTCATGAACTCCTCCCGCTCCGCCGCCGCCCGCTCCCCGCCGCCGCTCATGGTGCCCGCAGCGCTCCCGATCCACGCCGCAGCCCCGGCGGCCCCCAGGGGCGCCGCGTCCCGCCCCGTCCCGTCCCACCCCGCCCCGTCCGGTCCCTCCGCCGGGCGCGGGGGTCGCCGGGAAGCGCAGTCCCGCAGCCCCGGGGGCAGCCGGAGCCGCCGCCGCCGCAGGACTACAACTCCCGGCGTGCCCCGCGCGGGGCGGAGCCAGCGCCCTGCCTCCGCCGGGGCGCCCGCGCTCATTGGTCCGCTCCATCGCATGAGGATAAGTCCGGGAAGGCTGAGCCAATAGAAGCGCGAGGAAGGCGGGCCCGATGCTGCTGATTGGTGGAGAGAGCGAATGGAGCGAGGGCTCGGCCGAGGCGCGGGGGCGCGGGGCGAGGCTGCGGAGGAAGGCGCGGGGTGCACGGGGGGTGCGGACAGATCGGGGTGCATGGGGGGGGTGCATGGGAACTGGGGGTACATGGGGGGGTGCATGGGAACTGGGGGTGCATAGGGGGTGAGGGCAGCTGGGGGGTAATGAGGGATGCAGGACAGCTTGTGCAGTGTTAACATGAGGGGTGCAGTGCAGGGGGTGCAGTGCAGGGGGTGCAGTGTTAACGTGAGGGGTGCAGTGCAGGGGGTGCAGTGTTAACATGAGGGGTGCAGTGCAGGGGGCGCAGTGCAGGGGGTGCAGTGTTAACGTGAGGGGTGCAGTGCAGGGGGTGCAGTGTTAATGTGAGGGGTGCAGTGCAGGGGGTGCAGTGTTAACGTGAGGGGTGCAGTGCAGGGGACGCAGTGCAAGGGGTGCAGTGCAGGGGGTGCAGTGCAGGGGGTGCAGTGTTAACGTGAGGGCTGCAGTGCAGGGAGTGCAGTGTTAACGTGAGGGCTGCAGTGCAGGGGGTGCAGTGTTAACGTGAGGGGTGCAGTGCAGGGAGTGCAGTGTTAACGTGAGGGGTGCAGTGCAGGGGGTGCAGTGCAGGGGGTGCAGTGTTAACGTGAGGGGTGCAGTACAGGGGGTGCAGTGCAGGGGGTGCACCCCACACCTTTGTGCACAGGAGAGAACCCCGGATCCAGGGACAGGGCAGGGGCCCCATCACCCACCCGGGCCGAGGCCTCAGTCAGTGGCGGGCACAGCGAAGGGCACCGCGGCTCCCTCCGGGCCCCGCTGATTGCCGATCTGCGCTTTGTCTGCTGCGATCCCCTAATCCCCGCTAACCCCGGGTTAATTAATCTCTGCTTTGCGGCCTGCTAATCCCCCCCCACCCCTACAGCCGGCAACGCGGGGGCTTGGGGACGAGCCAGCCCCGGGTGCCCTTGCAGAGCCTTGTGGTCCCTTCTGCTCCTCCTGCCCCCGGGTGCGCTGGGTGCCCGAGCAGCCCCAAGCAGGGATGCGGAGGCTGGGATTGTGCTTCTAGGAAAAAGCTCTTTTCCCTTTCTGCAGTGGCAGAGCCAGGCTCTGGCAGCACATCCCAGCCTTCCAGCAGGGCGCTGGGGCAGGGGACTGTTGGCTACACAGGCTCATAATCAGGATGGCTTCGGTGTAAGCTGAAATAATCAAATTAGAAAGAAACTGCTAATCAGCTCTGATCGCATCGTTGTGTCACAGAGCCTAAGTCCTGCTGGTGGGAGGGCAGGGGCTGCTGCAGGGCCCTGCGGGTGGCCGTGGCGGGGGCTCTGTGCCACCAGCAGCCCATCTCGTACTGCACGACCTTCATTTAATCTAGTTAATGCCCAGAGTCTGCTCCGCAATCAGGCGGTATCAAACCTCCCCACCCCCCTCCCGGTAAGAAATGGAAGGGGAAAGTAACTGCAGATTAAACATTAATCTCCCCAGGGCCTAAAGGGGACGGGGTGGGCAGGAGAGGGCTCCCACTGAACTGCCCGGGGCCGGGGGGCCGGGGAGAGGCCCCTCAATGGGTACCCAAGGATGCTCCACAGAGCACGGGGATTGGATCCGCAGAGCATCCCCCTGCCCCATCCCATCCCCGCGGGCAGGCGGGGTGCTGGGGGTGCCGGCCCCAAAGGAGGCTCCCCCAGAACCAGCTCGGAATCTCTCTTTATTATTTAAATCCATTATGTACAACGACCAAAAATAAAAAAACGCTTTTAAATCCTCTGCGATATGAAAACTACAAGCTCTGTACATGGACTGCCGTGAGTGCGAGTGGAGGAGCGTGGTCTTTGGTGCCTTAGACTTGTGCCCGCGCACGCCGCGGAGACACCAGCACCCCCGGCGGCCCCTCCTGCCTCCACACCGGGGGTGGCTCTGGCCGCAACGGGGGCAGAGCTGAGCTCGGTGCCGTCCGGGCCAGCCCGCGGGCTCTGCGGGGACACCTAAGGATGGGTTAACACATCTACAGCACACAGCCTGGGGACGCCTGACTACACGGCCCCGCCGCAGACCCCTTCCCGAGGGGCTGCCGGGGACACACCGACCATGGGGATGGAGCGGGATGCGGGCAGGGGAGAGCTGAGGTCCATGGGAAGAAGGCAGTGCTGGACATCCCCTCCGCTGGACGCGCTGGCGGGATCCCGGCCGGGCTGCGGTGCCCTGCGGGCTGCACCGGTCCCGACGTCCCAAAACGCGATGGGGGGGGAACTGAAGACCTCACTTTGAGAAAGGACCACGTAGAACAAGGCCCTCGCCCGCTGCACGGGGGCCCTTTTCCGTGGCAGCCAGGCCCCAGAGCACAACTACAAGCCATGGTTCCTGACCCCGGTAGTGGGAAGCAGCTTGCGCAGCGTGGTGGGGACGGGGGGGGACGACACACTACTTTAACCAGGACTGGTAACACGGGCGGCCCAAAGCGACACTGCAAGCAGAGCTCAGCGGCTGGGCAGAGCCACAGCTTGAACATACATTGCTGACTACTGGTTCCCGAGGGGTGGTGTGGGCTGGCCATGGGGAACCCAGGCTCCTGCCCCCCAAAACAGAGACCCAGAAGGGTGAGGGGAGGCAGCTCCACAGCCCCACACTTCACCTGGGCACTGCATCTCCTCCAGACACCCTCATGCTCACTGTGGTGCCTGGAACTGGGACCACAGCACAGGGAGGGAGTAGAACCCAGGCTGAGCATCCCCTCAGGCAGCGGGGTCACCCCAGGGCTGCCCCCTTGATGGAGCATGGAGAGGGGCTAGGTGACGGCACCTGGACCCCTTGATGGAGGCAAGATGCTCCCCCAGGCTGGGGAGAGGCACCTCAGGGTGCCTCTCCATGAGAAACCCATCTGCCCCCAGCTCTGCTGCCTGGCACTCGTCACCCCAGAGGGACCCTGCCTGGGACCCCCGGGTCTGGGCACTGCGTCCAGGGCCTCAGAGAGGGGGACCTGGCTCCTGCCATGGGCTCCGAACCCCTCACTCTGCCCCAGCACTGGGGCCTCTCCCTCCTCTCCCCAAAGCAAAGGTGCTGGCAGAGCTGTCTGGGGACCGAGGAGGGTGCGTGGCAGCCCCTGCTGTGACAGGACAGGCTGGAGGAGACCCCAGCACTGGCCTGGCCCCAAGGAGGGGCAGTGGGGAGCGAGGGCAGAGCACGGTGGGGCACGGACCCCACGGAGCAGCTGTGGGGAGATGGCTCCCCAGGAGTCGGGCGAGGGCTCTGACCCGTCCTGCTGCCTCCAGGAGGAGGGTGGGTGGTGATGGAGCAAGGGGAGAGCCCGGGTGGGACCCACAGGGCAGTCGGCAGAGCCCCCTCCTCACCCAGGGGCTGCCCCACACCCGGAGCAGCCGGTCCACAGCCACGGCGCCGCCTCTCACCTCGTCTTCCCTCCCCGCCTGTGCCGCCGGGTGCCCGGCTCCCTCCTGCCTGTACCCGGGACTCACATGTTGGACTGGAGTTTGGGCTTCCCCGTTTCCACCTCGGGGCTGAAGGCCACGGAGCCCTTGCGGGAGGGACCTGCTGCCTGCCGGGACGCGGACACCGGGGACTGCGGCGTGGATGCCCCGGCCACGGTGCGGCTGGGTTGAGCCAGCGATCCTGAAGGCATCTGCTGCGAGTGCTGGGCTGGCAGCCCCGGGCACGGCTTGGCCAGGAGCCCGGCGACCGAGGGCGAGGACCGGCGGGCCAGGCTCCCCGCGGACTTCCTGCCCTGCTGCAGGGAGCTGCCGTCGCCTTGCTGGGCCACTCTGTTGGGAAGGGAGGGCTGGGATGCGGAGAGGAGCCGGACGTCCTGGGTGAGCCGCCCCACCGGCAGGCCCTGGATGCTCCGGTGCTTCACCAGCTGCTGCGGCTGCATCAGGAGCGAGATGTGGGAGCCGGTGGCTCGGGACAGGCTGTAGTGCAGCGTTCTCCCGGGCGGCAGCGCCTGCTCCGAGCTGGGGGACGGGGCCCCGGCCGCCTGCTGCAGCAGCGACGTGGACACCGAGGCGCCGCGGGACCGGGAGAGCTGCGGCTGGGGGCCGGCCGGGGGCTGCTTGGCCGCGGGGTCCCCCTTGGGCGCCGGGCGCGGAAGCGCCGGTGCCCCGGGGCTGGGTCTCTGCCCCGAGCCCTCCAGCGGCTGCACCATGGGCGAGGACGGGGACCCGGCGGCGGGCGTCTGGAGGTGGGACTGCGGCGCCGACGGGGAGCTCATGGAGGAGGGCCGGGAGCCCCCCAGGCTGGGCTGGGAGCGGCGCACGGGCTTGGCGAGCAGCGTGGCCTCGGGGGAGAGCGGGCTGGCGATGGAGGAGGGCGGCAGGAAGATGTGCGCCTGCAGGCTGTGCTGGTGGGTCAAGGCGATGGCCACGTTGGTGGTGGCGGCCGCCGTCTGCAGCGGGGCGTGCACCAGCGGCTCCCAGATCACCGGCTTGCCGCTGAGCTCCCGGCCCATGGCCATCTGCTGCAGGTCCTGGATGTTGTGCGCCATGTCCTGGTCGTGCTTCACGATCTGCTGGATCATCTCGTTGTTCATGGGCCCCGAGCTGTGCTCGGCCCGCTTGCGGAGCAAGATGGAGTTCTTCTTCCCTGGGTTGGGGTGGAGGCAGCAGCGTCACTGGGAGCGGCGGTGGGGAAGGGACTGTAAAGCCTCACCCCTGTGGCCCTGGGGAGGGTTTGGGCTGGAGCAGAGGGGGAAGCAGGGACAAACCAGGGGAGTCCCAGCTCCAAAGGTTGCAGGCTGGAGGCTGGGGGCCGTGGTCCTGCTTTGTCCTCTGCAGGTGAGGGGGGTGAGGACAAGCAGCCGGGCAATGCCAGTGCAAAGATGGGAGAAGGGAGTGGGTGACAGCCCCCCGTCATACAGCATTGCCTGGGTCTTTCTGGGAGAGAGAGGGATGCTGGAGGCAGGCTCCTTCCCTGTGCTCCCCCTCATCCTCATTGCGGGGTACCCACAGGGCTGCAGTGCCATCAACCATGGGGCTGGGGTGCCATGGTTCGTGGGTGGCTGTGCTGGGCCCAGGGCCACTCCTCACCTATGCGGTCCAGCCGGTCCATGGCCACGGTCTCGAAGGCCCTGCGCATCATGGGGTACTCCTCCAGCACCTCGTTGAAGTTATCCACGGACAAGGAGTAGAGGCGGCAGTAGGTGTCAGCGCGCACGCTGGCCGTGCGCCGGCCCCGTGTCAGCAGGCAGATTTCTGCAGGGACACAGGTTTGGGGGTCAGGATGATGCATCCATAGAGCCATGGAATGGGTTGGGTGGAAGGGATCTTAAAGCTCATCCAGCTCCAACCCCTTGGCATGGACAGGGACACGTTCCATTAGAGCAGCTTGCTCCAAGCCCCATCCAACCTGGCCCTGGCCACTTCCATCTATCCCCTTCCCAACCATGTCTCCAGATAAGGGCAGCAGGAATGGGGACCGAACTGCCTGGCACTCCCACAGCCTGCACAGAAACTGTGACTCAGGACGAGGGACAGACCCTGGAGCCTGGACACGCTGTGTCCTCATCCAGGCCATGGAGACACTGCTGGCCATGGCTGCTCTCCCAGATACCAACTGGCTCAGATGCTCAGCTCTAAACCTCCCTCCTTTCCGGCCAGATGTGGGGTGATGCCCCCTCTGCCCAAGCCAGACACAGTTCTGGTCCCTCTGACTCAATCTTCTGGACAAGGTACCCCATGAGAGCAGCGGTGGTGGAATTGTGAGCCCCAGAGCCCAGCGTGAGCTGGATGCCCCAGTTCCTGCCCCCCCGGCAGCTCTTGCTCCCCCCTGCTCCCCAGGCAGCCCAGCTCAGCCTCACCCCCAAAGTAGGAGCCATCAGACAGCTTTGTCTCCTTGTTGCCCTTGGTGAGGATGCTGACCACCCCGTGCTGGATGAAGTACATCTTCTTGCCGACGGTGCCCTCGCGGATGATGAAGTCCCCGGGCTGGAAGACCTCGAAGCGCAGCTTGGTCAGCATGGCTGTCACAAAGTTGGGGTCCGCGTTGGCAAACAGGGGCATGTTGGCCACCAGGTTGCGGCAGTTGAAGTTGATGATCTCCTGTGGGGTTGAGGAGCACGTCACCAACAGGGACATCGCCGAGCCCGGCCCCGGCAAGCACCCGAGGCACCGGCAGTGGGTGCCTGCCCATACCTCTTTGAGCGGCTCGCTGAGCTCCCCCAGGATGTTCTCCTCGTCAAACATCTTGCCCTGGTAGCGGTGCTCGTAGTACTCGTGGATGCGCTGGCGTGTGTCCCCAGGCAGCTTGTGGAATGACATGTACTGCTCCACTTGCTTGTACTGCGGGGACAAGGCAGAGCTGCACAGGGTGAGCCAAGCCGCACTGCGGGGCTGGGTTACAGACCCCCCCAAAAGCCATGTCAAAGAATCATAGCATCACTGGTTTGGGTTGAAGGGACCTTAAAGCTCCTCCAGTTCTGACCCCTTGCCACAGGGAGGGACACCTTCCACTGGAGCAGTTTGCTCCAAGCCCCTGTATCCAACCTGGCCTTGAACACTGCCAGGGATGGGGCAGCCCTGTGCCAGCGCCTCAGCACCCTCACAGGGAAGAGCTTCTGCCTTAGATCCAACCTGATGTCCAGGGCAGAGAACAGAACCCTGTGCCCTCAGGATGCAGAGGGCCCCGGGGCAGAGGCCAGGATGGGGCCTCACTCTGCTGAGGTGACCCCCAGCACTCCACATGGGGCATCTCTCTGCGAATGGGCAGCCTGGTGCCCCCGAACACCCCTCCGGGTGAGCGACAGAGATGAGGGCAGGAACCTGCAGGGCAGGGACCCACCTTTCCCCCGTGCTCAGGCACCCAGCGCCCATCGCACTGACCTTCTCCTGGTACTGGCGCCGGGACGAGTCCAGCGACTGGATGAGGGCGGTGGCGTGGCCGATGAACATGGCGTAGCACGTGGCGCCCACGATCATGCTCAGCATGGTGAGCCACACGTCGGTCATGCCCTCCGGTGCCTGCTGCCCGTAGCCGATGCAGAGCATGTGGCTCATGGCCTTGAAGAGCGCGTGCGAGTACTGCTTCCCCCAGGAGTCGTTCTGCGGGCCAGGAACAGCAGGGCTGGGGGTTGCTGGAAGGAGCTGCGGGGCTCAGCCCTCCAGCCCCACCAACCCCAGCAGCAGCCACAGCGGGCTGAGACAGGAGGGCGATGCAGAGATTCCCTCCGCCCCAGGCCACTGCTGGGACTAGAAGAGGGACGCTGCTCTGAGCGCATAGATCCAAGCAGCTCCAGCCTTCGAGTACAGGATGTGCGACCAAACCCTCTCCTCCCTACACGGCTGGTATCACCCCTGCCTGGCACACTCACCACCATGTGGTTGATGGAGACCCAGCAGTCCTCGGGGAAGTCTTGCAGCATGGGCACCAGGAACTGGAGGCAGCCGTCCCAGTGACACAGCAGCAGCATCATGCCGATGAGGTTGAAGATCCTCACCACAGCGCTGGCCAGGTCGTATGTCATGTGGAAGATCTGCAGAAGAGGCAGGAGTTGGAGCTACAGAGACACTGGCACTGGAACGGGTTGCCCAGGGAGGTTGTGAATGCTCCATCCCTGGCAGTGTTCAAGGCCAGGTTGGACAGAACCTTGGGTGCCATGGTTTAGTGTGAGGTGTCCCTGCGCATGGCAGGGGGCTGGAACTGGATGACCTTAAGGTCCTTTCCAACCCAAACCATTCTATGATGCTATGACACTCCAACCAGCCGTACCCCACAGCCAAGGGTCCCCAGCGCGAGGCCCTGAGCAGTGGCCGTGGTCCCCAAGGGGCTCTCACCTCCTCCCACTGGTGGATGTAGCGGATGAGGCGCGAGAGGCGCAGCAGGCGCAGGAGGCTGAGGATCTTGGTGAAGCGCACGATGCGCAGTGCCCGCGCTGTCTTGTACACGTCAGAATCCACCTGCGTCTCCAGGTCGACGATGAGGAAGATGTAATCCACCGGGATGGAGGAGATGAAGTCAACCAGGAACCAGCTCTTCAAGTACTTCATTTTGATGGTGTGCGGGTCGAGGATGATCTCTGTGTTGTCCTCCACCACGATGCCTGTCCGGAAGTTCAGCACCAGGTCAGCCAAGAAGAAAGTGTCCGACAGCACGTTGAAAACGATCCAGGGAGGGGTGTTCTCATCCTTGAAGAAGGTGATGCCCACGGGCAGGATGATCAGATTCCCCACCATCAGCAGCAGCATGATGAGGTCCCAGTAGAACCTGCAGGGGCGGAGCACAGGGGGTGGGAGAAGCAGGGAGAGGCAGGAGACAGTGGGTTAGAAGCAACCCCGAGTTCAATGCAGTGTGGAGAGACGGGCGCGCAGGACATGCACACGTGCCTGCCCACACGCATGACTGATGCTGCTGCTCGGCTGGGACACACGTGTGTGGGGAGGAGCAGCTCTGCACCGGTGGGTCTGGGAGAGCAAACATCACCCCATGCGTGTGGGAAGGGAGGGCTGCAGCTCGGCTGTTGCTGCCCCCTCTTCTGACCTGGGGCCACTGAATCTGTTGGGATTGCAGCATGGGGGAGCCAGGCAGCAGCCAAGCAAGGCTAGGGAAGCGCCATCACCATAGGGAAGGTGGGAGGAACATCTAACCCCAAAGGGGCTACTCATGGGCACTGGGCCTGCAGGACCCCTCAATCCACCTCCTTTCTCTGGGAGTGGACAAGCTCAGAGGCTTCGGAGGCAAGGCCAAGAGACACTGGGCAGCAGCTGATTGGTGTTAACCCAGCATCCCCATTCACATGCAAATGTGTCTGGGATGTTTTCATTCCTCACACAAACACATGGACACACTTTGCTTCACAAGGCCCGCGATTGCTCCTGCGGCAGCTTGGTGGACTCACTGGGCTCCAAGGCTTTATGGGTGCCTTGAGAAGCAAACCCAGCTCCCACCTTTGGATGCTCCGTTAGCCCCAGCCCCGGTTGCGGGTAAAGACCCCAAGTCTTCAAAGGTGACCTCAGGGCAATTCTTTGATCCAAAGTGGCCTTTGCAATGAGAAGAAGCCTGCAGGCGTTTCCTCCCCTGGGTCTTCACCAGGCACCACTTGGTGCAAGTGGTGGAGAAGAGGAGGAAGCAGAAGTGATGATCTTAAGGTCCTTTCCAACCCTAACTGTTCTATGATTCTAGGTGATGGCTCCTTCAAGAGGGAGCACCACGGCAGGGACGGGGCACCACCAACGTGGGGGCTCCCCCAAGACCCAGAGGCCTCGCACACGTCAACACCCTCTTGCCCATGGCCAAGATAGGCTGGGGAAGGCAAGAAGATGCTGGTCAGGGCAGAAGGGGCCTGACCTGGCTGAGCAATTGCCTCCTGCACCCCGCGCTGTGCCCCGAGCCCTGCTCACTGAGCAGGGAGCCGCCAGCCCCCACAGCAGCCAGAGCTCTTGATTCAGCCTCAGGCTTAAGCTATTTAGGGCAAGCCCCGTCCTCTGCTCTGTGTCAGGCCGAACACGCAGGGCCCTGATCTCACTGGCCTTTATGTATCCCTATTATGTGATAAACACCGGCGTAATCCCACCAGCTGTCTACCTGCCAGCTCGCCCCATGGCACCGCTGCACAAGCTGCTCCTGCCGAGCGCAGGCTCCCGAACTTCAGGGCAGCTTCCCTGGGAAAAGGGCTCCGAGGGCTGCAGGCCCCCGGTGTCAGGCTCAGGAGCTGGCTACAGGTACCGGGGTGCTCGCCGGGCTGGGGACATCAGCCGTGTCACAGCTTGCCGCGGGAGACGACTGCCATTCCCCGTAGAGAAAGCCCACCCTATATGACTCAACATCCCCGTGACACCCAGTTCCTCCCACATCATCCGTCCCTGAGCCCTCCCCGTGATCCCGGTGACACCGTGAGCCAGGCCCGGCTCCGTGCTGGGCGTCCTGCCCCCTGCCACCCACTCCCAGGCTCTGCAGGCAGCTCGTGGGGCCCGTGTCCCCACCGGGGTCACGCAGCTCCTCACCAGACACGGACAAACAGCGTCGGGAAGCGGGGGGCTGTGTGGATGAAGGCCGGCGGACCCTGCCTCCTCCTCCTCCACGGAGGAGCCCCGGTTGGGCTGGGTTGCCCCCGGCCAACGGGAACCCCGGGGCCCGGTGGTGGTGGTGGGGGGACTGAGGCAGGAGAAATTCACCGGTGCCCCCCCGCAGGATCACCCAAGGACGGCGCAGGGGCTGGGGCTACGCGGCCCCGGGGAGCGGAGGGCCGGACCGGCGGGTGCGGTGCGGGAGCCGCGTCCTCCCGGCCCGGTGCTGCGGAGCCCCGGGTGCCCGTCACTTGTTGCCCCGACGGAGCCGGGGCGGGGCGGGCGGAGGAGCCGCGCTCAGCACCAGGGACAGCGGCACGGGAGCGGGTCCCACCTGAAGTCGCTGTAGGGATGGATGATCCAGGCACCGGCCGACTTCACCCGTTGCCGTTCGATCTCCACGGCCCGGTGGCTGCCGAACATGCGCAGCGAGAACTTATTCACGGCGGGCTGCAGCATGGCCCCGAGCTGCCGTTGCACGAACGTGCCCGCCGCCGTCGCCGTGGCCGCCGCCTCGCCCTCCGCCACGATCTGCTCCGCCGCCACCGGCGAAGCCGGGGCCGCTCCCGTCGCTTCCCCATCCAACACCGGCGGCTTCTCCCGCGGCTCGGGGCTCCTGCCCGGTGCCGCTTCCATCCCTCCGCCGCCGCCTCACGTTTCCTTCAAACGCCCTTGCCCGGGCGTTCTGCCCGCCGCCCCGTCGCACATGCCCGGCCCCGGGCGGGCGCGCCTTCACTTCGCCGGTCCCGACCGCTCGCTCACCGCTCACTCCTCCGTTACCGGTACCCGCAGCTCCACGGGCCGCCCGGGGGCACTGCGCACCCCGGGGACGAAGCACCGGGACCCCGCCGCTAACGGGGATGCACCGGAGGTACCGGAGCGGCGGAGGCGGCGGCGCGGGACCCCGCGGGCGGGGCGGGGGGCGGGGGGGACGACGTACGTCGTCCCCCGGAGCCCCGCCCACCCTAGCCCCGCCCCGTGTGACGCAGTTGCGTACGTGCGTACGCGGCCTGGCGGTGGGGACCCGGATCGACCGCGGCGGCGGCTGCGGGGCGCGGCGGAGCTCGGAGCACTCGCAGCGGGGCCCGGGATTCCCGGGGGCTCCACGGCCGCCATCACGGATTTCCTGTGGGATAAACGCACCGGGCTGGCTGCGAGGACGGTGCGGAGCGCGGAGGATGGGGGGGGTGGTGGTTGCGGGCCCTTCCGGGGGTGGGGTGTGAGGGAGGTGAAGGCCACGGTGAGGCCTTGCTGTTGCTTTCACCCCCCTTCCGTCAACTCCCCGTTGTCTCTTCCGTCGGTGCCGGTGCGTGAGCGCCGTTCTGCCGCTTCGCGGCCTGGTGCCGTCCCCGCTCCTCCCGGTGCTTCCGCTGTTGGCGCTCGGCCGCTCAGGCCCCACCCGACAGCGGCGGAGCGCGGCCGCCATCATCGTCCCCAAACCGGTTCCAGAGCTGCTTTAGGAACGCGCCGCTGCGGGCTTTGCCTGCTGGGGAAAGGGGTGCCGGGCCTTGGCCGGCCTCCAGCGCCGCCTTCGTGCGCTGCCCTTAATGAGAGGTTGGACTCGGAGCCGTCGGCCCCGGGGTAGGGGGGGTTGGGGGGGGGAGAACCGTGAGCGGGTTCTCCAGTCGCCACCTCGCCCTCCCGGTAGCCGGGCCTGTAACACCGGGGCGGGTGTGCAGCCGCTGCGTGTGTGCCTCTTGGTGGGGAGCGCGGGAGGAAAGTCGCCATTAGGAGGGCTGTGGGCAAACGGAGCTCCGGGCTGTTGGCTTTGGAAGCAGAGCAGGTGGAGGTGTTTGATGGTTTGGAGCTAAAATACGTGTGGGGAATGGCTTAGAGCTGGGGATGGGAGCAGGATGCTCTGAACCGGGACTCAGGGTGGAGTCCTGCTGAGGGACAGACTCCTTCCCTCTTGGCTCTTGCATCCCATCACAGAGGTGGAGGTGAGCGCTCGTCCCACTGAGGAGGGCTCTGCAAGGCTTCATGAATGCCTTTGCATGTGGACAGGGTGGATTTGCTCCCTGGATGGGGCAGAGGGAAGCGTGGATGTCTCTTGCTCAGCAGTAAACCAGAGGCATCTCTTCAGGAGCTCCTGTACAAAGTCCCTGTGCAGCAGTACGGGGGTGCAAGGACTTTGGGCCAAGCACTTGCTGATATCCTGAGCTTCATTTCACCTTCAGTTTTCCTTGGTGCTGCTCTCTCCTTTCTGGGGAGCACCTTAGTTTAAAGAGAGAAGAAGGTGGAAGCTCGGAAGGCTCGAGTGCTGCTCCTGGAGCTGTGGCCAGTAGAGATGAGTGCAAAGAGGTGAAAGTAACCTGAAAACCAGAACTGCAGCAAGCACAGCCCATATGGGTGGCCACATCCTCTCATATGGGGTGCTGGGGTCTCTCAGAAGCTCATACCCTCCCTCTCAGGTCCTCCCCTGCATGCTCAGACACTGCTAGTGGCCTCCCCTCTCCTTGCCCTGGCAACTCCTTGGCTGCGGATGCTCTGCGCTGGTTTCCCTCCCTTGCCATTGCCTCTCACGGTCCTCTCCTGTCCCTGCAGATGCCTCACTCCCGAAGGTACCGCTCGTCGGAGCGCAGCAGCCGGGGCAGTTACCACGAGCGTTACAGGAGCCGCAAGCACAAGCGGCGGCGGTCGCGGTCCAGCAGCAGCGAGCGGGACCGGCGGCACCGGCGGGAGGACAGCTACCACGTTCGCTCCAGGAGGTGAGGCTGCAAGGCCGGGGCAGGGCCCCTGACCTGCGGGGTTCCTCCAGGGGCAGCTCCCCTGCTCTGCGCTGTGCTCTGAGCTGGGTTGTGTTCCTAATGCAGTCCCTGCCTTGTTTGCCCTTCCCCAGCTACGATGACCACTCAGCAGACAGGAGGGCCTACGACCGGCGTTACTGTGACAGCTACCGGCGGAACGACTACAGCCGCGAGCGGGGGGAAGCCTACTATGACCCCGAGTACCGTCACTCCTACGAGTACCGGCGCTCCCGGGACCGTGAGGGCAGCTACCGGAGCTGCAAAAGCAGCCGGCGTAAGCACAGGCGGAGGCGGCGCCGCAGCCGGTCCTTTAGTCGCTCCTCATCGGTGAGTATCCTGCTGTGTTGGGCCTGCCCTGTAACCTTTCTCTCCCAGGTGCCGAGCTGGGTAAGTGGAAAACTCACTTTCTAACTGCTCTCTCAGACTCGGCTTGAGATGTGCATAGAGAAACCTTTGGTGCAGGTGGCAGCTCGTGTCCACCGTCCTGCTGCGCCTCAGCAGGGGCTGCCCTGTGCCAGCCCGGCCCAGGCAGCTCAGCCCCTCTCATAGTGTTGCCTGCTCAGAGGTGGGAGGAGGACAGGCTGTGCCTTGCGAGGCTGGCGTGTCCCCCCCGGGGTGGTGCAGCAGGCCTCAGCTCCTTTATCCCTGCAGAGCACTGTTTTTGTTCGGTGGTGCTCATTAAGAGCTGTCTAGGAACCCCAGCCAAGCAGTCTTTTGTGTGAGGTCCAGCTGATCCTGGTCCCAGAGAGCTCATCCTGCCTGCCACAGGCAGCTCGGTCCCTGGTTCTGTGTTCCGTGGCAGGAAGCCTCCCTGTCTCTGAGGGTTACGTCCTGCAGCAGAGCAGGATCCTTCTGGGTGGGCTCAGCTGATGTGGGGTGTCATGTGAGGGGCTCTGCAAAGGAGTGAAACTTGTGGACTGATCAATTCAGGTGGAGGCAGCAACCGTCACAGGCTCTTCCCAGCAGTGTCCCTGCCGTTCTCTTCTTGTCTGTTCTGCTGTTCACCTTCCACTTCTGTTAGACCCAGACACGTTCTCTGCTCTGTATGTGGAGCTCTCAGTGTTGTCCGGTCTGTTCTGGCTGTATGTCCAGGGATGGGACTGGGGGCTGGATTCAGGTCCCAGGTGTGCTGGCCGGTTGGTTGCTCCCAGGTGTGGGGATATTTAGCTGAAGAACTGAAGGCAGGAATTCTCTCTTCTCTGGCATAAGCCTCTTATCTGCCTCATCCCAGGCTGTCCCTATTCCCTATTGGGCCTCTGCTTCTCTCCTGGAAGCTAGTCCTTCCAGGATCAGCTTTGTTAGGGGAGGGTGCAGGCAGCAAGGTCACATCTTCCCCAAGGCAGTCGCAGTCCTCTCTGGTTTGGACGGATCGTTGTACTGAGAGTTGCTTCTGAAACCTCTGAATTCATCTTTGCCTGAGTGTTGGGGCTGGGGGACGCTGTCGGGGGGCTGTTGGAATGGGATGTGGGGGACAGCCCGGGCCTTTGCTTGTGCAGGACTTGCCAGCACCCACCTTCTGCTGCCTTTCCCCAGCGGCTGCATGGGGCTGAAGGAGCCTCTCCCCGAGGCTCTGCCGCGCTCTCTTGGCGTCACCAGGACCCGAAGGCCAGTGCCGATGCTCTCGGAGCCCCGCTAGGAGTGAGGGCAGCTGCCCCCTTGCTCTGCCCTCCACTAGCCCTGTTGTGACCGTCTCTGCTCTTGCACTGGTTCGGGTGGGGCTGTTTGTAGGTTCTTTTTTTTTTTTTTGGTTCTTTTTTCTTTTTTTCCTTTTGGTTTTCTTTTTTTTTTTTCTTTTTGGCTACAACGAAAAGCAAACTGTTTTTTTCTTTTCTGAGCTAGTGTGTTGTATCTTGACATGTTCCCTTGCAATATCCCTATCGTTATATATTCCTCTGTGCCGTATGAATTGGCTGGGAATCTCCTCCTGCAACCCCTCCTCAAACAACCATGTGAATTTCCAAACCAACCAATGCGTGACGCTGGCTGCTGCGCTGGGTTGAAAATGTGATTGGTGAATGATGAATTCCCTGTCTGCCTGGGCCAGCAGCGGAGTCGACAGAGCAGCAGAAGGGCCAAGAGTGTGGAGGACGACGACGAGGGGCATCTGATCTATCGCGTCGGCGACTGGCTACAAGAAAGATGTACAGCCAAATCGTAACATAATTTAGCTCTCTAGTTAAGCTCCCATCGCAGTCGCAGATCTGTCTTATCTTTCTGTTTCATTTTATTTCCATTGTTTATTAAAGAGAAACCCTCTCCTTTTTCCTTCCCCTTTTGTTAAAGCTACGTTTATATTTTGTATTGTTACTGAAGTGCCAGGGAATTAGGGCTGTTGCCTTGTGCAGCCGGTGTCAGCCTTCCGCTGCTCCGGCCTCTCAAGCTGTGTGCAGGTTAGGTGTTGCAATGCATTCTCCTCTGCCTTGTGTATGCACTGCATCCAGGTCGTGCTCACTCTCTCATCTGCTTTCCTCTCCTTCTCTCCCTCCCAGATGAGATTATTAGCACCTTAGGGGAAGGCACGTTCGGCAGGGTGGTGCAGTGCATCGATCACCGCAGGTACGTGGCAGGGATGTGGTGGTGAGGGGTAAAGAGAGACCGTAGCTGGCAGTGGAGCCTTTCGTGTTCAACGTGGGAGCCTGGGGGTGAAATGAGCCTCTTTGTTCCCAGGATTCCTCAGCTGGTCTGGGCACTCAACCTCTCGGGTTGCCCATGTGTTGGAGAAGAGTGGGGGGAGCTTCTGGGGGGTGCTTGTAAGGAGGGAAAAGGTGCTGCTTTGGTGGATGGAGCAGCTTCCAGTGTCTGAAGGGGGCTACAAGGATGCTGGGGTGGGACCTTCATCAGGGACTGGAGTGATAGGACAAGGGGTGATGGGTTCAAACTGAAACAGGGGAAATTCAGGTTGAATGTAAGGAAGAAGTTCTTTACTGTGAGGGTGCTGAGGCGCTGACAGAGGTTGCCCAGAGAAGTGGCAAATGCTCCATCCCTGGCAGTGTTCAAGGCCAGGCTGAACAGTGACTTGGGCAACACGGTCTAGTGTGAGGTGTCCCTGCCCATGGCAGGTGGTTGGAACTGAATGATCTTCAGTTCCTTTGCAGCCCAAACCATTCTATGACAGCCGTTAATAAAAGCCACCTCCTGGCTTGGGAAGGGTGGTGGAAGGCTGTGCTGCAGAGGGTGAGGCTGATTCAGAAAGCCCTTTTTGCAGGCCACGGGCTCTCTGGCCCAGCTCAGAGCTGATCTCGAGCTTTATCCCCGTTTCTCCCCCAGGGCTGGTGCCCGTGTTGCTCTCAAAATCATTAAAAACGTAGAGAAGTACAAAGAAGCTGCTCGGCTGGAGATCAACGTGCTGGAGAAGATCAACGAGAAGGATCCCGAGAACACCAAGTGAGTGGGCTCCTGGCGTTACCAATGGAAGGGGAAGCCTTGCCTTAGCGCAGTTGCAGGGATGGAATGCGAGAGGTACTTGATGTTGGGTGACTGAATCTGTGTGTGGCTACGTTTTGGAGGCATAGTGGCTTGCTGTGGGATGAGAAGGAAAGGAGGAAGCAGTCACAGGGATAACAGCGGGGTGGTTTGTGCAGGTCTGTGTCAAGCCTCATGTTTTTGCCCTCAGTCTTTGCGTCAGGATGTTTGACTGGTTTGACTACCACGGCCACATGTGCATCTCCTTCGAGCTCCTGGGGCTCAGCACCTTCGATTTCCTGAAGGACAACAACTACCTGCCTTACCCCATCCACCAAGTGCGGCACATGGCCTACCAGGTGTGCCAGGCTGTGAAATGTAAGTGCTCCCTGCGCTTCTCCACTGCTCCTTGGCTGACCTGGAGGGCTGTGCAGCTCCCAGCAGTGCCAGTTCTGAGCCTAAGCCTTGCACTGCCTCCAGTGGTGAATGCATGCTTGGAAGGGATGCTTGTTTTCCTGATTGTAATGTTTTCCGGTGCATGTGGGCTGGCAGGAGCTCAGAGCACTTGAGCATCCACCCCCCTACGCGTTTGGGTGATCAATATGATAAATGTGCTTCTGACAAATCATCTTGGCCTGGAGCAGCCTGTTCACACCCCGTTGTAAATGTGGGCTAAACTGGTGCCAGTGTGAGCAGCCTGAATGAGTGATGTTCGCTCTTTGGGTGGGTGTAGCCTCACTTCGCTTCTGCTCCATCACCCGACTCTGTTTGCCCCCTCAGTTCTGCACGACAATAAACTCACCCACACCGACCTCAAGCCAGAGAACATCCTCTTTGTGAATTCTGACTATGAGCTCTCCTATAACCTGGAAAAGGTAACGGTGCTTCTGGGGTTCTTGGGTTCTGCGGTCCCTGGCCTTGGCAGCAGGAGGGAGGAGTCGGAACGTGGAGCCAGGAGACACGGGGTTCACCAGCTACGTTCATGCACACGTTCAGGGCCTGTATCTTGCACGAGCTGCCTGTGTGGCCTGTGAGGGAGCCATAGGGACCACAGGCTTACCTGGCTGATGGTGGGAGCGTGTTTGGGGCTGTGCTAGCACTAGTGTAGCCTCTGGAGCCTTCCCCTGCCCTGTGGTGAAGCCTTAGCTGTGTAAGGAAGGGGCTGAGTCTATGTCCTGAAGCTCCTGAGTAACTGATGCTGTTCTCCCTTGTGAAGAAGCGGGATGAGCGGAGCGTGAAGAGCACAGCCATCAGAGTGGTGGACTTCGGCAGTGCCACGTTTGACCACGAGCATCACAGCACCATTGTGTCTACCAGGCACTACCGAGCTCCAGAAGTCATCCTGGGTATGTTCCCCTTGGTTTCTCTGCAGAGGCAGGTGTTTTCCCTGGGGCACTGGGTGCTGCCTCCTGGATTAAGGAGCATTTTACCTTCACATCCTTCAGTAGCTGTTCTGGGTTTACCCTGGGAGATGAGAAACACTTTGTTTAACATGTTCTACAGTGCTATTTTGGGGGGGGGGGGGGCGAGAGCAACTCCTAAGTTGCTGTTTTGGCATTGCCACCAGCTGGGCAGTCTGTTGCCACTGGTGTATCAGGAGCCTGGTGGGAATGGGAATTGTTTTTCCAGTTGTTTGTTTCTAAAAGGGAGAGGGATTTGGAGTCTTAGGCTGTAACTGGATCTTTTATTTAAAACACATTGTTTTCTAGAGCTTGGCTGGAGCCAGCCCTGTGATGTGTGGAGCATTGGCTGCATCATCTTTGAGTATTATGTGGGTTTCACCCTGTTTCAGGTGAGAACTGTATGCTGTATGGCTACCTCACAACTGGTGAAAGAGGATGCTGGCTGTTCCCCAGTACAGCCAGGAGCCTCTGGGAATCATGGGCTTCCCTCCATCACTGCAGTCTTGTAGAGACAACCAAGGTGTTGCCCAGCAAGGGGTTCTGAGCAGGGGAGTACCCAGGGCTGGAGCTGGAATGATTGGAATCTGTTCCATGCCTTCCCTTTATGTTTCTCCCCCTCAGACACATGACAACCGGGAGCACCTGGCCATGATGGAGAGGATCCTGGGGCCAATTCCATCTCGGATGATCCGGAAGACGAGGTGGGCAAGGCTGCTTGGGTACCACAGGCTTGCTCCTGCTTCAGGGTAGCGCTTCTCTGAGGGGTTGAGCTTTGAAGCTGCCTGCTGAGCATGTTGTTGTTGCTGCAAGGCATTTGGTGTTGGGGGTAACCTGTTCACACCTCTTACTCTGTCAGGAAACAGAAGTATTTCTACCATGGCCGCCTGGACTGGGATGAGAACACCTCTGCTGGCCGCTACGTGAGGGAGAACTGCAAACCACTACGGGTAAGGAGGGGTGGGCAGGAATCCTCCTTGCTGCAGCCTCTTCTCATTGCAGAGTCTTTTAGCGCCTGCCCCAGTTGGGAAGATCTTCCTGGGGGCAAGGTTGGGCCACCAAGAGAGTCAGACCAGTGCATTCCTGAAGGAGCATTGGCTATCCCAGACATAAATGAGGAAGGCTGCAGCAGCCTGAGCGTAATCTGAGGTGGAGGAGGAGGGCATGGAGACCTTGGGAAAGATGGCAGGGGGAGCTCAGCAGTTCCGTGCATGGGGCAGTGGTAAAGCGTAGAGCTCAGGTCTGGGATGAGTGATGGTCTGAACAAACCAAACCTTCCCACGTCTTGGCCATTCAGCCCAGGGAGAGCCCTGTGAGCGGGCTGCTTGCAGCATCCTCAGCACTAACCTTCCCCTTCCATCTGCCCAGCGATACCTGACCTCGGAGGCCGAGGACCATCACCGCCTTTTTGACCTCATCGAGAGCATGCTGGAGTACGAGCCCTCCAAGCGCCTCACCCTGGCCGAAGCCCTCAAACACCCCTTCTTTGACATGTTGGAGATGGAGCCCAGCACAAAACTGTGGGACTCGAGCAGGGACATCAGCCGGTGACGGCCCAGGCACCAGCCTGCGCTCACATTCTAGCCCCCGTGGAGGCCTGTGTCATTTCTATTCAGACTTTTGGTGCTTTTGGTTTGTTTTTTTTTTATACATGAGTAAAACTCCCCTGGACAAGTTTGTAAAGCTGTTAATATGTGAGATACTGTAAATAGCCCGTATTCTATAGCGGCCTCTGAGCACCACGGGCCCAACCTCCTACTGTTGCTGCTGCCGTTATCATGAGGTGAGGGGGCCTGTATGTCCATATGTAAATACCTCTGTTAACGTGTTGCTCTGTCTCCTCCTGCCCTCCTTGGTGTACATACTCCAGGACTCACAGCTCGCTGTAGCTTATCTGTTTCCCTGTAAGTTATGAAACTGGTGGGACTGCATGGGAATTATTTTTTGGATCAATGTCATAGCCCATCCCCACACCAGAGTTTTATAAGGATTTTGTACAGTCTTTGTGGAGAAATAAATATGAAGTGAATAAAGCCCCGGGTCTGGGTCTGAGCCAGCAGCAGCCGCTCTCGGTGATGGCTGTAGGAAAAGAGACGTCGAGCACCCGCCTCGGTGTCTGTCTCTGGCTCTTACCAGTGCTGCCGTGGGACTTCCTGGGGCTGTTTCAGACGTGGTTCCAGCTCAGTGCAGGTGCTTTGCCCGCGTGTCTGGGAGAGCCATGCTGGGGGGTGGCAGTAACAGAGCACTCCTGGTCTGTTCTGGGCTTAGCACTTGCCTGGGGCACCATCTGCCTGTGGCAGGCGCTGTCCTGGTACCGCGCAGAGGGATGAAGGGGAAGCCTGGCTTCACCTCAGTGAGGGACCTGAAGCGGCTCCGGGAGCGGGGCTTTGGGCGAGGGATGCGGGGACGGGAGAAGGGAATGGCTTTGAGCTCCCAGGGCGGGGATGGACGCGGGGTCAGAGGCAGAACCGTCCCTGTGAGGGTGCTGGGGCGCCGGCACGGGGGGATCACGGGGTCGCCGGTTCCCGTTACCGGACAGCTCCGATCACGTGACCGCCCGGCCCAGCCCCGCCCCGCGCGTGTGCAGAGGAGCCCCTGCCGCAGGGCTCGCCGGCGCTGGTGACGTCAGGGGCGGCAGCCAATCGGCGGCGGCGGGAGGCGGGGCTGCGGCTGACGGGGCTGAGGCGGTCGCGGTCGCGGTCGCGGTCCCGGTCCCGGTCCCGGTCCCGCCATGGCCCAGCGCGGCGGCCCCGCGGTGCTACCGGACAACCCGTTCCAGGTGCGGGGCCGGGGCAGCGGCGGCGCGGGTCCCTCTTCCCCCCGTCCGCCGCCTCACCCCGCCCGTTCTGTGTTGCAGGACCCGGCGCTGCTCCCGCCGGGGCCCGGCCCCGAGAGCGCGGCGCTGGACGCGTACAACCCCTTCGAGAGCGGCGCGGTGAGGCCCCGGTGGGGCGGGGGGGCTGGGATGCGGCGGGCGGGCCCTCACCGCGCTCCTCTGTCCCCCGCAGCCGCCGCCGCCGTACCAGGCCCCGGCCCCGGCCGCGGCCGCGCAGCCCCCGCGCAGAGCCAGCCCCACCGAGCCCCGCAACTACGGCTCCTACGGCACGCAGGTACCGGGGCGGGCGGCGCGGCCTCCGCGGGAAGGGCGCGGGGGAGCAGGCGGCACCCCCAGCGCCTGCGCTTCTTTCCCCCCTGCCCCGCAGGCCTCGGCGGCAGCGGCCGCCACGGCCGAGCTGCTGAAGCGGCAGGAGGAGCTGAACCGGAAGGCGGAGGAGCTGGAGCGGAGGGAGAGGGAGCTGCAGAACGCGGCCCTCGGCGGCCCCGCAAGTGAGTGGCCGGGGGGGCCGAGCAGGGACCGTCCCCTCGGGGCTCCCCTGCGCGGGCACCGCCGCTCTCTGCCTGTCGCCTCCTTCCCCCTGCAGCGCGGCTCAACAACTGGCCCCCGCTGCCGTCCTTCTGCCCCGTGAAGCCGTGCTTCTACCAGGACATCCCGGTGGAGATCCCCGCCGACTTCCAGAAGACCGTTTCCACCATGTATTACCTCTGGATGGGTGAGTCCCGGCGGGGAGCAGGGCACCCAGTGTCCCGTGTGCTCTGCAGGAGCTGGGGTTAACGCGATGCGTGCGGGACTGAGCGCCCTACTGACATCGCCTCTCTCTCAGCCAGCACCATTGCCCTCTTCCTGAACTTCTTGACCTCCCTGGCCTGGTTCTGTGTGGAGCCCTCGTCTGGCTCTGGGTTCGGGCTCTCCATCCTCTGGGCTCTCCTCTACACGCCCTGCTCCTTTGTCTGCTGGTACAGGCCCATGTACAAAGCCTTCAGGTGTGTATCTGCTCCCGGGCCAGCAAAGCAGCGCTGTGGGGAGGCTGCATCATGGCTGGGGCTTGGAGATGGGGGCATGGGGCTGCTCGTTGTGCCCCGAGGGGGCAAAGATGGTGTCCCAGCTCCTTTGGTGGCCTTTGGGTCTGGGGCTGTTGTGATTCTGCTCTGAGCTTCATGTTCTCCTTATGCCCCCCCAGCTGTAAGGGAGGTTTTGGGGGTTCTTCCCTGTGGCCTGACCTCGCCTGTCTCTTTCTCCCAGGAGTGACAGTTCCTTCAACTTCTTTGTCTTCTTCTTCGTCTTCTTTGCCCAGAATGTGATGTATGTGCTGCAGGCCATTGGCATCCCCAACTGGGGGTTCAGGTGTGTGTGGGGCAGAGCCGAGGAGCTCTGGCCAGCCGAGTACTCCAGAAAGAGAGGAGGCAGGCAGGCAAGAGGGAACCTGTGCTGTCCAACTGCCTCTTGTGTTGCAGTGGCTGGATATTGAGCCTGATAGCGCTGCGGAAGAACACAGCTGTGGCGGTGATGATGATCCTGGTGTCCTTGTCCTTCACAGCAGTGGCTGTGCTGGGCATCATCATGCTGAAAAAGGTGAGTTTGAATCAGCCCTCAGGGCTCTAGCACCTTTTGGGGTGGCTTTGGCAGGCACGGACACAGCTCTGCTCACTGGGGTGCCCTGGCCCTGAGCCCCTCCTCAATCCCAGATCCACTCCCTGTACCGCCGGACGGGCGCCAGCTTCCAGAAGGCACAGGAGGAGTTTGCTGCCGGGGTCTTCTCCAACCAGGCTGTGCGCAACGCGGCGGCCAACGCCGCTGCGGGCGCTGCCACCAACGCCTTCCGGGCGCCCTAGGGCAGGGCCCCGGCTCCTCATCGCACGTGGGCTCTTCCCGAGGGAGAGGAAATCCAGGTTGCACTTTCATTGGATCCCCGTGTGTCTGCATCAGCTCTCAGAGGCTGCCTCATCCCAGCTTGGAAGTGCTGGTGCCCGAAGCGTTTGCTGCTCTAACCCTTTCCTCACGGATGGAGGATGCGCTGGTTTGTGCTGGTCCCTCCCCTCAGCGGACTGGGGATGGAGCGGGGTGGGAGGCGCTGTGGCCAAGCCCTGTGCTTGTCATCGCCCTCCCTTCCAGCACTGAGCTGCTGGGGGCAGGAGGCTCCTCCAGATGTGTGACAGGGACCGAAATGGCTGCTCCCATTCCTTGGGCATTCCCGTTTCCCCATCTGTCTGCCCTGGGTTCCCCTTGTGCCCCCCAGGTTCTCCCTGGGGGCTTTTCCCTGCCTTCTCTCTGCTGCAGGACCCGATTCTCTGCCAGGAGCATCATCCGTCCGCTGCTTTCCCCAGGAGCTTGCTCTGGTGGTGGGGGGGCTGGTTCTGTCCCTAGGGTGCTGAGCTGGGGGGCAGCCCCCATTCTGTCCCCCTTCCTTGTCCCTGTCTGTTCCAGCTGAGCCTGCTCCAGGCACAGGAATAAGGACTGTGTGATGCACCCGGGCAGCGGTGTGGGTGCTGCTGGCCTTGAAGCCGTGTGCCCCACAGCAGCTGAGCCAGGCCTGTGGTGGAGCCCAGAGCCGGGCTGGGCACTGAGGAGGGACCCCAGTACCCCTAAAGCCCCCTCTCACTTTCATCACCTTCTTGCCCCCCTGCCCAGCACTCTTCCCCCGCAGCCTGTCCCTCCCTGTGCCCCCCCACCCCACCCCACCACCCATCCCCTCGGGGAGCCCTGGGCTGGGTCCTGCTCATTCTGCTTTGCCCCATCTCCTCCCAGTGCCCCGGGTTTGTCCCTTTTGTTCCGGGGCTGGTGGGAGGGTTCGTGCCTTCATCCATGGGGCCGGTGCCTCTGCCCCGGGGGGGTCCCTGCTCCCACCGCTGCCGCCCCACCGGTGGCTGCTCCTGCCGCGGCCCCGCGTGTTGCTGAGCCCGACGCCGCCCTCGGCTTTTATTTAAGGAATAAATGAAGTTTCTCTCCGCGCCTCCGTGCACCGGGACCGGGGGGGGCGGGACCGGGAGTGGTGCCGCAGCCCCGGCGGGGCGGGCCGAGCCGAGCCGCGCTCCAGCTCCCGGCGTGCCACGGGGAAGCGGGGGGCGGGAGCGAGCTCGGAGCGGGGAGCGCGGGGGCCGCCGGGGCTCGGCGGGGGGCGATGCGCAGCACCCGGCACCGGGGGCGCTCCGGGCAGCGGGACCCCCCCCCCGCCCCGCGGAGGATGCTCCTGGGCGGCGCCCGGGCCCCCGCCCGAGGCTCCCGACTCCTGGCGCTGCCCCGGGGGCCCGGGCGCCGCGTCCCGGGCGGCGGTTCCCGGCCTCGGCATCGCGCTATGAGCCCTCCGCGGGGGCCCGGCGAGAGAGGAGGAAGCCGCGGGGCCGCGCTCTGCCGCCCGCCGGGAGCCGTAGGCCCGGCTCTGCCCGGGATGCGGAGGTACCGGTGAGGCGGGTTCTGCTCCAGGACAGCCCGGGCAGGGCAGCGCCGCCGTCAGCATCCTCCGGGAGGCGAAAGGTGGAGCCCGGCCCGTTCCCGCAGAGCGCCCGCTCCTGCTTCCCCGGGGCCGGCGCCGTCCTGGCGCGGTGCCGCCGCTTGCCCCGGGGCTCCGGGGCCCGCAGCCGCCGCTCGCCGCCCGGGGCAGCCATGCCCTCCCCTAGCGAGTCCAGCCGCTCCTTGACCGGCCGCACGTCCCGCAGCCTCACCCACCTCCGCGTCCAGCGGACCTGGCTGCAGATCCTGCTGGTGCTCGGCTTCATCCAAGTCATCCTGGGCGTCCTCATCGTCACCTTCAGCCTGGTGGCCGCCACCATCACGCCCTCCGCCAGGATCCGGCACTCCTGCCCCTCCTGGGCCGGCTTCTCGGTGAGTCCGGGGCCGGGGCAGCGCAGAGGGGGTCCTGGCCAGCCCCGCTTTGCCGGGTCCCTTCAGCGCTGTCCCAAGGGAGTGTGGCCCCGCTGCTCCCCCATCCCTCGCCTGTGCCTGCCGTGGTGCATTGTGGGAGAATCCCAAGGCTTCCTCCAGGGTGACAATGTGGGATGGTGACCCCAGGAACGGGGCGGGGGGGGGCTCGGTTCTCTCCAGGCCCTGAGCAGTTTGTGCTGGGAGGAGGGAGAGTGTGGGGTGCTGCAGTGGTGGCGGGGGTGGGAGGGCAGACTGGGCGGCTCTGCCCTGCTCCGCAGCCCCACACTGGGGTTCTCTGCCCGCTGCGTGTGTGGGGTGAAGGTAGGACCCCCACAAGCCCCACGGTGCCCCTGCGGCGCAGAGCTGCCCGCAGTCCCCAGGCTCCCCGGGGCCCTGAATCAGCAGTTTCGCCCGGCTTGCAGCAGCGCTGGGGCTGCTTGAGCAGCCCTGGGCTGGCTCCAGGCCCACGGGGCTCGGGGGGCTCTGCCAAGGGGTTTGGGGGGCTGCTCTGGGCCCCATTGCCTGGCAGAGACCCCTCCTCATCCTCACCCCTGGGCCTGTGCATCTGCAGCTGGCGCTGTCCGGCCTTGTCGGCATCATCTCCTGGAAGCGGCCCCTCACACTGGTGGTAGGTGCTGGGGGGGACCAGGGCAGAGCAAGGGGTTGAGCATCCCTCCCTACCCCTGTGGGTGGATGCATGGCTGCACGCACCAGCTCCCTGTGCCCACAGATCACCTTCTTCACGCTGCTCTCGGTGCTGGGTATCATGCTGAGCCTCGCCGGGTCCATCCTGTCCTGCCAGAACGCGCAGCTGGTGAAGTCCCTGCAGGCCTGTGAGAGGGTGCGATGGGCCCCGGGGCAGTGGAGCACGGCTCAGCCCTGGCTGCCGGGCTCTGGCCACACGGGGAGCTGTGGGGCAGGGGTCCCGTGGGGCCATGTCCCGGTGGCTCTCAGGGGTATCCCTCATGGTGCTCCTTGTCCCCAGGAGAGGGACTCGTGTGTCTGCTGCCAGGCCCGCCCGGAGCCCCCCCCCGCCTCCTGCAGCCGGCAGAGCGAGATGCTCACCATGTTCCCCAACCCCGACTGCCGCAGCATCCGTGCGGCGCTCAAGGTGGGGCACCCCGCGCGGGGCCAGGGCTCCCTGGGGCACCCCACCATGCTCTGCGGGCGCCTGCGCTCACCCCGCTGCCCCCCAGGACCTCCTCTTCAGTGTCTGCGGCTTGACCGTCTTCTCGACCGTCGTCTGCACGCTCTCTGCTGTTGTGTGCTGCATCCAAATCTTCTCCCTCGATATCGTCCATGCGGTGAGTCCCAGCCCTGGCCCAGGAGCAGACGGGGCTGGGACTGGCATTCCCCGGGGTGCCAGGGCAGGACCTGGCCCCAGCCGGATTAAGGCTTGGGATGCGCATCCCTTGCCGGATGCCTGTGCAGGGGGTCCCAGCTCTTCCTCCTCCCCTCTCGCTGCAGCTGGTGCCGCAGCGCTCGAGCTCCGTGACGCTGGAATGCACGTCCCCCCCCGACACCTTTCTGCAGAGCATGATGGACTTCGAGGAGTTCGTGCCCCCGGTGCCGCCACCCCCCTACTACCCCCCCGAGTACACGTGCAGCTCGGAGACGGATGCGCAGAGGTACCTGCCTGCTGGAGCCGGGGGTCTGTGAGCCCCAGGCAGGGCTTGTCCCACCCAACGCAGCTTTTCTGCTCCTGCCTCCGCAGCATCACCTACAACGGCTCCATGGACAGCCCCATGCCCCTCTACCCGACTGACTTCCCCCCTTCCTATGAGACTGTGATGGGGCTGCGGGGGGACAGCCAGGTAGGAGATGTGGTCCGGGGATGGGGCAGGCACGTTGGGCTCCTTCCTGCTCTGCCTGCGCCCTGACTGTGTCACCCCGTAGGCCACCCTCTTTGACTTGCCGCTGACGGACGGCTCACACACCTGTGCCTGCGACCGCGTCCCCTCCATCGTGCTCAGCGGAGAAGGTGCTTGTGCCCCACTGAGGACTGGGAGAGGGGCCGCGGGGGGACTCTTCCTTCCCAGCAGCTCCTCACTGCCACCCGCTCCGCTCCTTGCAGTGTCCATGGACAGCGGGTCCCTCATCATGTCCGAGATCATGGACATCCCGGGGGACAGCAGCCCCTCGGAGGACTCGTGCCTGCTGGAGCTGCAGGGCTCCATGCGCTCCGTCGACTTCGTGCTGTTCCGCTCCATCCAACGCAGCCGCGCGGGTTACTGCCTGAGCGTGGACTGCGTGCAGTGCAGCCACCACCCGCGCAGCCCCATGCTGGGCCTGCAGGGGCCCTTCGAGGAGGTGCCGCAGCCGCGGGTGCGGGGGGAGCGCTCCTACTCCTGCTCCACGGCGGCGGACCCGGGCCACGACGGCGTCCTGGCGGGGGGAGCCGTCACCCACAGCTGCAACCGCCTGGAGGGGCTGTCCCGCTGCGCCGGGCCCTGCTTCCCCGAGGTGCGGCTCAAGGACAAGGGGGAGCCGCGGGGGCGCTGCCGCCCCTCGGGGCTCGGCCCCGGCCGCCTCGGGCAGCTCCGGCGCAGCAGCGAAACCTCCTGCCCCGCGTCCCCGGGCCCCGCGCAGAGCCAGCGCCCGCTCGTGAGGGCGCACAGCGACCCCGGCGTCCCCGCGGCCGGACGCGCTGGTAGGCGGCGATGGGCGCGGCAGGGGGATGCTCTCCTGCAGCCGGGGCGCAGCAGAGGCGGGCAATGGGGCTGGGTCAAATGGTGTTGATTCAGGATAAGTGGGGTTAAATCCCTGCTCCTGCCGCTCCAGACCCTGGGGTTTGATCCCTGGGAAGAGATCCGGGGAGACCTCAGAGCAGCTCCAGTGCCTGAAGGGGTTACAGGAAACCTGGAGAGGGGCTTTGGGCAAGGGCCTGTAGGGACAGGACAAGGGAATGGCTTTAACCTGACAGAGGGGGGATGGAAATGGGATCTTAGGCGGAAGCTCTGCCCTGTGAGGGTGGTGGGACACTGGGATGGGTTGGATGGAGAAGGTTTGGATGCCCCATGCCTGGCAGTGTTCAAGGCCAGGTTGGACACAGGGGCTTGGAGCACCCTGCTCCAGTGGAAGGGGTCCCTGCCCATGGCAGGGACGGGCAGGGTGGTTCTGCTGTGCTGGGAGGAGGGTTTGCTGTAGGGTCGTGCTGCCTGGGCTGTTGCTGGTGTCTGCACAGGGGTGCAGGATGCTGCCAAAGCCTGAGACCTCTTTCTGCTCCCCGCAGATTTCAGGGAAGTACTTTATACCAAAGCACTGGAGGACACCACGTCCAGCTCCTCGGCGGATACAGGTCAGGGCACTGGGATGTACTGGGCTATACAAGGGGCGGGGGGGGGTGTGTTTCTGTAGCCCGTGGGGGTCCGGCTCACTCTTTTGGGGCCTGGGGACAGGTCCCGTTGGGAGCAGCCGTCCCGGGTGCGATGGTGCTGTCCCCGCAGGGCTGTGCTCCGAGGCCTGCCTGTGCCGCCGCTCTCACTGTGACTCCCCGCCGCTGCTCCGGGCTGGCTCAGCAGGGAAGAGCAAGGCGCTGCCCTCCAAGGTGACGGAGCAGCTCTCCAAGAGCACGACCCGATCCCTGGGGGACCTCAAGGTCTGCAGGGGCACCCGCGGGCTCGTGGCCAGGTTCCTGCAGAGACCTAAGCGCAGCGTGGAGGTGCCCGGGCACAGCTCCCAGGGGCACAAGCAGGTGGGTTACAGTGGGGCCCCATCCACATCCTCTTCCTCCCTCTGCTCCCCATCTCCACACCAGCGCTTCCAGGGTCTCTGTTCCCATGCCGTGCACCCCACGGTGTCAGCACCCCAGCTCCAGGCAGGGGCTGTGGCCAGAGCTTCCCTCCTGTGTCACTGTCCTTGCCCAGCCCTCCTTGGCGTGACAGCTCCTTCCCTTAGTCCCCAGCTGTAGCCATGAGTGGGAAAATCATGCGTGTCGCAATGGTTTTAGCTTTGCCCCTGAGTCACCAGAGCCCGGAAACAGCCACTGGGATGTCCCAGCCTTAAGGGATGTTGGAGATCTTGCACAGCCCAGGAGGCCCTGATGGGGCTCCATCAGAGACTGCAGTGATAGGACAAGGGGCGATGGGTTCAAATGGGAAGTTCAGGTTGGAGATAAGGCAGAAGCTCTTCCCTGTGAGGGTGCTGGGGAACTGGGATGGGTTGAATGGAGAAGCTGTGGCTGCCCCATCCCTGGCAGTGCTGAAGGCCGGGTCGGAGCACCCTGCCGTGGCTGCAGCCTGTCCCCATGGGGCTGCAGGTTCCCTGGAGCGCCTGGTCCGGAGCAGAGCGGCCCCACGACGGCATCCACCTGCGGAGCTGCGGGGACCTGAGCTCCACCTCGTCCCTGCGCCGCCTCCTGTCCGCCCGCCGGCTGGAGCGGGGCCGCCCGCGGAGCCTCAGCGGGACCTGCAAGGACAGCGAGAGCGTCCTCTGAGCGCGGCCCCCCCCTCCCCGCTGCCCCAAAGGGGGGCCCCGCTCCGCGCCAGGGCCCTCGGACGTGGCTGCCGCCCCGGGGGGGGGGCCGGGTCCGGCGCCGCTGCCCCTTCCCCAGGGTTAGGGGCTGGTCCCCTGCGGCGTCTGCCCCGGGGCCGCCGTGCCCCCAGCCCTGTGCCCTGCGCCAGCCGTGCCTGCGCCCGTCCCCGGCCATGCCTGTGCCCCGCACCAGCTGTGCCTGTACCCCCGGACGGCCGCGCCTGTCCCGTCCCGTCCCGTCCCCCGCTGCCCGTTGCGGGGCCGGTCCCGCAGCGCTCGGGCCGCGCCGCCCCTCGCTAGAGACCGAATAAAAGTGATCGCCGCCTCCACCGGGGCCGTGCCGCCGGGGCCGCGGGGGAAGGGGAGGGAACGGGTCAGCTGACGCCGGTCATATGAGGGGCGGGGCGGGCGCCTTGTCCCCGCTGGACGGCGGGTACCGGCGGGAGCAACGGGGACCCAGGGCCGTGCCCGAGCGGTGCTCGGAGCCCCCGGTGCCCGGGGAGGGGCTGAGCGGCCCCGCCGTCCGTGCGGCTCCCCCGGCTCCGCTTCCCGGTTACCGTGGCGGGGTAGGGCCTGGCCCGCGCCCGTTGCGTTGCCCAACCAGAGCCCGGCCCGCCCAGAGCCGGTGCCGTTCCTGCAGGGCGGGACGGGAAGCCCGGGAGCCTTTAAAGGCTCGGCCGGCAGCGGGCCCGGTGCTGCGGGCTCGGCGGGCAGCCAGCGCGGTGGGACCGGACCGGACCGGGGTGGCACCGGGACAGGAGGCTCCGTACCCCGGGACCTGCCTGGGGACACGGAAGGGGCCATGGCGGCCACCGGGGCCGGTGCCCTGGGCTGGCGGCTGTGGCTGCTGCTGGTGGCCGTGCACTGGGCTGCAGGTGAGCCAGGGGGTGGAGGCACCAGGGGCAGCACCGGAGCTGGGGCACCGGGGGTGGTGATGGGGGGTCCAGGGTGGTGATGAGGGGGCCAGGGTGGTGATGGGGTGGCTGGAACGGTGATGGGGTGGTTGGAACAGTGATGGGATGGCTGGAGCAGTGATGGGGTGGCTGAGGCAGTGATGGGGTGGCTGGGGGAGTGATGGGGTGCCTACCACAGGGGCAGAGGCAGCACCCAGGGCAGGCAGGATGCTGTAGCAGGGACAGCCCCAGCCTGGCCGCTGCCCACCCCATGCCCATGCTTCCCAGGGGCCCGTCCCTGCAGCCCCAAGTACTTTGGCCGTGATGCCATGGTGTGCGTCTGCAACGCCACGTACTGCGACACGCTGGACCCCGTGGTGCTGCCGGTGCCGGGCACCTACGTCAAGTACGAGAGCAGCAAGGCTGGGAAGCGGCTGGAGCGCAGCGAGGGGAGCTTCCAGCGCAGCCTGCGAGCCCCAGGTACCTGCTGTGGCTGTGGGAGATGGGCAGGACCCTGCCTGCCGCCGGCCGTCACAACAGCTCCCTCCTGCAGACCTCGTCCTGACCGTGGACACGGCGCAGCGGTACCAGGAGGTGAAGGGCTTTGGTGGCTCCATCACTGATGCGGCTGCCATCAACATCTTGTCCCTGCCAGAAACAGCTCAGGATCATCTGCTGTGCTCCTACTTCTCTGAGCAGGGTGAGAGCACTGGGGAGGTGTAAAGGATGGTGACTGGGACTTTGCATGGGTGTCCTCCTGTGCCACTGCCCACCTCTGCCTGTCCTGGTCCTGCAGGGCTGGAGTACAACCTGGTCCGTCTCCCTATGGCCAGCACCGACTTCTCCCTCCATGCCTACACCTATGATGATGTTCCCTTTGACTACGAGCTGAAGCACTTCAGCCTGCGAGATGAGGACACGAAGCTGAAGGTGAGCAGCGGGAAGGAGCGGGAGGGGATGGGGAGTGCAGGGGCTCAGCTCAGCCCATCCCTCTGCCCCCTCCACAGATCCCCCTCCTGCACCGAGCCTTGGCCATGAGCAAGCGGCCGCTGTCGCTCTACGCCAGCCCCTGGACCTCCCCGACCTGGATGAAGACGAGCGAGTCCTTCGTGGGGAAGGGCACCCTGAAGGGGCAGGCGGGGGACAAGTACCACAAGACCTGGGCCAACTACTTTGTACGGTGAGGAGCACCCGGGGACAGGGGAGAGACCCTGCGCTGGGGTCGCCCCATGGCTCACCCCTTGCTCCGCACCCAGGTTCCTGGATGAATACGCCAAACACAACCTGACCTTCTGGGCAGTGACAGCGGAGAACGAGCCCTCGGCTGGGCTGATCAACAACTACCCCTTCCAGTGCCTGGGCTTCACAGCCGAGCAGCAGCGGGACTTCATCGCACGGGACCTGGGCCCCGCGCTGGCCAACAGCTCCCACCGTGGCATCCGCCTCATCATCCTGGATGACAACCGGCTCCACCTCCCGCACTGGGCCAAAGTGGTGAGCGTGGGGTCCAGCAGCACGGCGAGGGGGCAGAGCCCCCTTCCTGTGTCACAGCACGTCCCCGCGGGGCTGGTGCGCTGCCCCATGGGACCCGTGGTGGCTGACGTCTCCCTGCCAGGTCCTGGAGGATGAAGAGGCAGCTCGCTACGTCCATGGCATCGGCATCCACTGGTACCTGGACTTCATCGGTCCCATAAAGGACACGGTGCTGCCCACTCATGAGCTGTTCCCAGACTACTTCATCCTGGCCACGGAGGCGTGCATTGGGGCCCATTTCTGGGAGAGGGATGTGATCCTGGGCTGCTGGGAGCGGGGGAACCAGTACAGCCACAGCATCCTGACGGTGAGGCCCCGGTGCTGCCCCGTGGGGCAGGCCCCAGAGGGTTCCCACTGTGCCATGTCTCCTGTTGGCACCCCGGTCCTTGGGCACCCATCTGGGCTGTCCTGTTGCAGAACCTGAACCACTTTGTGTCTGGCTGGACCGACTGGAACCTGGCCCTGGACCTGGAGGGGGGCCCCAACTGGGTCAAGAACTACGTGGACAGCCCCGTCATTGTGGACAGCAGCGAAGGCATCTTCTACAAACAGCCCATGTTCTACCACATGGGGCACTTCAGGTGGGTCAGGACCCCCCCGACATAGGTTGGGGTCCCCACAGCGTGCTGCCTGGGTCCCAGCTCCATGGTTGCTGTAGCAGCTTGTCAGGACAGGAGCTCTTCTGGGGTCTGACTCCCTTCCTGGGGTTGCTCTTCGCTCCTGCCCATGCAGTAAGTTCATCCCTGAGGGCTCCCAGCGCGTGGGGCTTGTTGCCTCCAGGGAGTCCAAGAAGACAGACCTGGAGTACACGGCGTTCCTGCGCCCCGACGGCGCCGTGGTGGTGGTGGTTCTGAACCGGTGAGTGAGGCACCCAGAGTGGGGCCCTGTCCTGCTGCGCCCTGGGCACCCATGGAGCTGCTGCAGGGCTGACCCCGCTGATCCTCACCCTCCAGGTCTCCACAGAACATCACCTTCGGGCTGGCTGATGGCGTTGGCCTCATCGCAGCCGTGGCTCCAGCCAGCTCCATCCAGACCTACCTGTGGCAGCGGCAGTGATGGGGCTGGGATGCCCATGGCTGGCCAGGGGCTGGATTTTGCTGGTGCTCCACTGGCTCGGGCCTGGGACTGTGGAAGAAGAGTCCCACCACCGCAGTGGAGCCGAGTGCTTGGGCAGCACCAGGCACATGTAGGAGATGCAGGGGCACCGGTGCCCCTTGGGGTGACGCTCCCTCAGGCTGTGAACGCTGTTTCCTGCTGCTCTGCCATTAAATGCTGATGCTGCCTCGATGTCTGATGGGGTCAGGGCTGCAGGAGCATCCCAGCGTGCTGGGCTCAGGGGATGAGCCGGGTCTGGATGTGCTCAGGGCCTCCACAGCGTTCTCCTGAGGCCTTGCAGCGACAGCGATGCCGCCCCGGTGGCAGCAGCCCTGCAGTGCGGGTGCCACCCCCGGCAAGGGTGGGACAACGCGGTCCCCACTGCCCTGAGCAGCTCCAGGGTGCACCAGGGCCCTCGTGATGGAGCCGGGGCAGCTTGAGCAAGAGGGATGAGGACGGGAGTGGGCGCCGAGCGGGGCGCACCCAGGCGGGAGGGAGGAAGCGGGAGGGTGTTGCTGAGCCGAGGATTAGGGCAGGGAGGTCACGGGTGCGGAAGGGCTGAGGCAGGCGCGATGCTGGCGGGGCTGGCAGTGATGCTGCGTGGGCCGGGCGCAGCGTGGTCACCGCGGGATCTTGGCTCATCCCCAGCACACGGCCCGGGGGGGTCCCCCGCGGCCCCGCATCGTGCCCTGGGCAGAGCTGCGGAGCAGAGGGGCAGAGCATCCCGCTGCCAGCACCCCGACATCCCTGTGCCCGCTGCGGGGCTGCTCCACCTGCTGCTGCTTCCCCGCGTCCTCACTCACCGGGTGCCTTTCACGTTTTGCCATTGCTGGTCATAAAAGCTGATGGCCGGATGCTGAATCACCGCGGGACGGAGCCCTCTTCCCTGTGCTCTCTGCCGGAGGACCAAATGGAGAGGGGGGGAATCCTCCAACGTCAGAGAATCACAGAATCAGTGAGGCTGGGAAAGCCCTTTCAGCTCACCCAGTCCCAACTGCCCAGGCCACCACTGCCCCATGGCACTGAGGGTGTGTGAACACTTGCAGGGCCGGTGACTGCAGCCCTGCCCTGGGCAGCCTGTTCCAATGCCTGAGCACCCTCTGGGGAAGGAATTGTTCCTAATACCCAGCACAAAGTGGATTGAAGAGGCTCTGATGAGGGCGCCCGGCACCACCCGCTCCATGCCAAGGAGTTGCCTTTCCCCTGGGTCTCACTTTTCCTGCTCAGCAGGAAGCTCTTATCACCCGGTGTAGATAAGGACCGGCTCCAGCAGCCTCCGCAGCTTCCACCCCAAGGAGCGGTGGGGACCCGGGTTGGCGGCGGGGCTGTTGCTGGGTGGGATGCAAGCAGAGATAGACCCTGAAACAGAGAGGGAAAGGGCGTCGGGAGCACCCCGGGTGGCTGGTGGTGGCCTAAGCTCAGTGTGGGGCAGCAGTGACCCATTAACCTCTCCCAAAAGTGGGGCTCATTACCTTGGGCGTATCAGCTGAGTCACAGCCGGGGGTGGGAGAGCCACGGGGCAGAGGGACAGAGCCAGGAGCTGCCTCCGGAGCTGCCCGTCCCCGGGTGCCCCGGTGGCAGCTGGCCCGGGCTCGGCTCCAGTGGAGCCGTGGGAGCGCAGGGCAGTGCTGCAGGGAAGGAGGAACCCCGCTAGGTTCAATGGCCTCAGAGCTGCCTCTGGGGTGCCAGCAAAGGAGAAAATCCATTGGGAAGCGCTGCTGGTGGAGAGGGGGAGCCAGCGGGGGGGATTCACCCTGCTGAGCCCCGTGTGGATGCTCATGGGCAGATGGAGCAGCGGCTCCCCCCTGGGCCACCCCTGTGCGGAGATGCCGAGGGTGACCCTGCGGCAATGGGTGCACGAACAGGAGCTCCCATCCCACCCTGTCCATGGGAGCAGGCACGGAGCTGAGCTCGGCTCCTGGCACAGCCGGGGTTGGGGCAGCAAGTTCCTTTCCATGGGTCTGGCTGTATATGTATGGGTCTGCTATTGCTGGGGGTGAGGGCAGAGCCCCGGCCATGCAGGAGCTGCTGCTACTGCTGCTGCTTGTTCTTGTTCTTGTTCTGCTTGCTTGTTCTTGCACTGCTTGCTACTTGTTCTACACCTGCATGGCATGTGCTGAGGTGGGGTGAGCAATGCAGCAGCCTGGGGGATGGCAGCAGCCCCAGCTCCTGTGTGCCTGCACCTACCAGGTTGTTCTGCTGCACCGGGTGATGCAGCCACGTTCCCATCCTGGCCAGGGGACTCTGGATCCTCCCCACGCTGAGTGCATGGGGGGAGTGAGGGCACTGGGGTGATGGGCAGGGATAAACGGCCCAAGGTGCTGTTAGAGCAGGGATTCATTCAAACCCTGCCTGGCCAAAGGAAGAAATCAGCTCTTCCTTCAGGGCATTGCAGTGGGTTCAGGGGTGCCCCAAGCTGCATCCCCCTGCGCTGGGGGAGCTTTGCATGCGGTCAGAGCTGCTAAAATGGGATCCCGGCCTCTCTTCTCGGGGCCTGATCCCTTTGCATGGCAGCAGCAGGAGGGGGGCTCCCGGCACTCCCGGCCCTGTGCGGTGATGGTCCAGGACCAGCAGAAGGTGTGGGGTGGGGAGGGAGCGAGGAGGAGCTGTGGGGGTGGTTGAGGCCCTGCGGAGGGAGGTCTTGGAGCAAGGTGAGGTGGGGAGGCTGGAGCCGCCTGGGGAGGAGCAGTCGGAGCAGCCGGGGCAGAGCTGGGTGGGTGCCGGGAGCGATGGACCCACCGCAGCCTCCTGCAAGGGGCTTTGGGATGGAGCTGGGGAGCGCAGCCCGTGCCCCCATCCCCACCCGGGCTGGGTGTGCCCCTGCCCGCAGGCTCTGCCCTCCGGGCGGACACGGAGGGACCATGGGCGCTGTCAGTGCAGTGGGCTGGATGCTGCTGCTGCTGCAGGCAGTGCCCTGGGCTGCAGGTGGGTGCAAGGACGGTGTTTGGGGTGGCAATGGGGCGGCGTGGCCGGGGTGGTGGCCTGGGATGGGAGCCCAGTGCCCAGGGGGGCGATGGGGGGGCGCAGGGAGGTGATGGGGTGCTTGGGACAGCCCCAGCCCGGCCGCTGCCCACCCCCTGCCCGTGCTCCCCAGGGGCCCGGCCCTGCAGCCCCAAATACTTTGGTGGCGGGGCCATGGTGTGCGTCTGCAACGCCACGTACTGCGACACGCTGGACCCCGTGGTGCTGCCGGCGCCGGGCACCTACGTCAAGTACGAGAGCAGCAAGGCCGGGAAGCGGCTGGAGCGCAGCGAGGGGAGCTTCCAGCGCAGCGCCGTGACCCCAGGTACCTGCTGCAGCCGAGCGGGTGCCAGCGCAGCCGCCAGCAGCGTGCGCTGAGCCGGGGTCTCCATCGCAGGGCTGCTGCTCACAGTCAACATGTCCGTGTTGTACCAGCGCGTGAAGGGCTTCGGCGGCTCCCTCTCCGATGCTGCTGCCCTCAACATCCTGGCACTGTCACCGCCGGCCCAGGACAAGCTGCTGCAATCCTACTTCTCGGAGGGAGGTGAGCAGGGGGCGGGGGGCGGCTCAGGGGGTCCCCGGTGGTGGCTGTGTCCCTGTCCCCACCACTGGGACACCCATGGCCTGGCTGCTCCAGGGCTGCTCGATGCCTTTCCTGCTCCACAGGGATTGAATACAACCTCCTCCGGCTCCCCATGGCTTGCAGCGACTTCTCCATGCGCCCCTACAGCTACGACGATGTCGCCGACGACTACGAGCTGAAGCACTTCAAGCTGGCGGAGGAGGATGTGAAGATGAAGGTGGGAGGCTGAAGCACCTTGTCCCATCTTGTGCTGGAGCTCCTGTGTGTGCCGGGACCCCCGTGACTGCGTGGGATGCATGGGGACAGCCTGTGGGAGCTGGCACCTCCTCCAGGGCACGTCCCGGCGCATCCTGGCTGGCACCGGCAAGGCGCAGAGCAGGGCACAGTGCCATGGGGTGTTGCTCCCTGGTGCCGTTCTCCCCATGGGTCCTTTGAGGTGCTCCAATCCCTCCCTGGGCCGGGTGGTACCGGGGGGGAGGCTGCAGCTGGAGCTGAGCCCATCCCTCTGCCCCCTCCTGCAGATCCCCCTCCTGCACCGAGCCTCGGCCATGAGCAAGCGGCCGCTGTTGCTCTATGGCAGCCCCTGGACAGCCCCAGCCTGGATGAGGAGCAACGGGGATGTCCGCGGGAAGGGCACACTCAAGGGGCAGGCGGGGGACAAGTACCACAAGACCTGGGCCAACTACTTCATCAAGTAGGGTCCCCTCGGGGCCCGGATGGGGCGGGTGGGCAGAGGGAGGGATGGGGTGCGCAGAGGGAGATGGGGTGGGCAGAGGGAGATGGGGTGGGCAGAGGGAGGGATGGGGTGCGCAGAGGGAGATGGGGTGGGCAGAGGGAGATGGGGTGGGCAGAGGGAGGGTGGGGTGCGCAGAGGGAGATGGGGTGGGCAGAGGGAGATGGGGTGGGCAGAGGGAGATGGAGTGGGCAGAGGGAGGGATGGGGTGGGCAGAGGGAGGGATGGGGTGGGCAGAGGGAGGGATGGGGTGCGCAGAGGGAGATGGGGTGGGCAGAGGGAGATGGGGTGGGGATGGGGTGCGCAGAGGGAGATGGGGTGGGCAGAGGGAGATGGGGTGGGCAGAGGGAGGGATGGGGTGGGCAGAGGGAGAAATGGGGTGGGCAGAGGGAGATGAGGTGGGCATAGGGAGATGGGGTGGGCAGAGGGAGATGGGGTGGGCAGAGGGAGGGATGGGGTGGGCAGAGGGAGGGATGGGGTGCGCAGAGGGAGATGGGGTGGGCAGAGGGAGATGGGGTGGGCAGAGGGAGGGATGGGGTGGGCAGAGGGAGGGATGGGGTGGGCAGAGGGAGGAATGGGGTGGGCAGAGGGAGATGAGGTGGGCAGAGGGAGGGATGGAGTGGGCAGAGGGAGATGGGGTGGGCAGAGGGAGGGATGGAGCAGGCAGAGCTGGCGCGGCTGATGCTGCCCTCCCTTGCCCACGCCAGGTTCCTGGATGAATACGCCAAACACAACGTGACCTTCTGGGCCGTGACGGTGCAGAACGAGCCCCTCGCTGCGATCCTCACCCCCCCCAAGTTCCCCACCATCGTCTTCACGGCCGAGCAGCAGCGGGACTTCGTGGTCCAGGACCTGGGCCCCGCGCTGGCCCAGAGCTCCCACCGCACCCGGCTCATCATCCTGGACGACCAGCGCATCCACCTCCCGCACTGGGCCAAAGTGGTGAAGGGCAAAGCCACCCTGTCCTGCTCCTTCCTCTTCCTCCTTGCCCCGTCCCACCCAAGCCTTGGAGTTTAGGTGCAAACCAAGCCGGCGGCCGCTCCCACCCCACAGAGCGCAGCAGAGCCGAGTCTGCTGGAGCCGGCTCCCTCGGCTGCAGCCTCCTCGCAGCTGCCCGGCTGCGGCAGGGACGGGAGGTGGCATCCGCGCCCCGGGTTCCTGCGGCGCGGCGCGCACAGGAGCTGCTGGCACCGGCAGGGCTCCGGCTGCTTCGTCTCAGCCCTCGCAGCGCTCCCAGAGCCGCTTGCGGGAATCGCCGTTAACCGAAAGGACACGAAACGCGCTCCTGCCGCGGGCTCGAGCGGGGCTGCGGCTGCAGGGGACGGGCAGGGCCGGGCTGCAAGGGGGATGCGGAGGGAGGACCGGGAGCTGTGCATGGGTGAGGAGCCCAATGAGGGGCACGTCTGCCCCACACACCCATCGCTCTGGATCATGAGCACATGGCCCTAGGAGACCCCAGTACGGGTTCCATGCATCCATCCACATGGGGCCCAGGTGGGCCTATTGCTCTCTACAACTGCCCGAGAGGAGGATGGAGCCGGGAGGGGTCTGGTCTCTGCTCCCAGGGAGCAGGGGATGGGAATGGTTGGACGGGATGAGCTGAAAGGTCTTTTCCAACCCAGTCGATTCCATGGTGTGAGGTGTCTGCTCTGCTCCCCCCACCAGGTCCTGGGCAATGCCACCGCTGCCCGCTACGTCGCCGGCATTGGGGTTCACTGGTACCTGGACAGCATCGTCCCCCCGCGCTGCAGCCTGGAGGCCACGCACGAGCTCTTCCCCCACCACTTCCTGCTCTACACAGAGGCCTGCAGCGGGTTCCTCACCTTCCGCTTCTCCGTGTCCCTGGGCTGCTGGGACCGGGGGCAGCGCTACAGCCACAGCATCCTCACGGTACGGCCTCCCCCGGCACTGCCCACCCGGGGCTGGGGGCTCAGCTCTGCTCAGCCCCATTCCCTCCTGACCAGGTCCTGAACCACTTTGTGTCCGGTTGGACCGACTGGAACCTGGCCCTGGACATGAAGGGGGGCCCCAACTGGGTCAAGAACTACGTGGACAGCCCCGTCATCGTGGACAGCAGCAAGGACGTCTTCTACAAGCAGCCCATGTTCTACCACATGGGGCACTTCAGGTGGGGCACGTTTGGGAGTGGGGCGGGGGTGATGCCACCAGCCTGAGAGGGGGTCCCCATCCCTGTCCTGGTGCTGTCCCCGCAGCAAGTTCATCCCCGAGGGCTCGCAGCGCGTGGGGCTGCAGCGGAGCCGCCGGTGCCTCATCTGCCAGCTCGAGCACGTGGCCGTTGTGCGCCCCGATGGGGCCCTGGTCCTGGTGGTGCTCAACAGGTCAGTGGGGCAGGGCCCATGGGGACACCCGGCTGTGGCCAGGCCGGTGCGCTCAGCTCCTCTCGCCCCCAGGTCTGCCTGGGACGTGCCCTTTGGGATCCAGGACCCTGCCATCGGCTTCATCAAGACTGTGGCTCCGGCCAACTCCATCCAGACCTACCTGTGGCGCCAGCAGTGATGGCCGGGACGGCGCTGGGGCTGGTGCTGAGCCGGGGGGGACCTCTGGGGGTCCCCCTGCGATGATGGAAGCCGCTGGTGACCACTGCAAGGGGCTCTGTGTGCTCCCTGCGCTGCGCCCCTGCTGCTCCGGTGCTTCCCAGCTCCCCCCAGCCCCACTGCTCCGTGTCCTGGCCCTCGCTCCCACACGTGGCTCCCATGGACCCTTCGCGTGCGCCAAGCGGAGCCGTGACGCGGCCGCTCCGGTATGCGCCATCCCGTCAGCGTTTCCTCTGCGCGCTCGGAAACAGCGCGGTTTTCCTCGGGAAGGGCCGCTCCGGAGGGCTCCGTGTGGGGCTGCCATGCCGATGGCTGCAGCTGGAGCCGCAGCCGCCCGCCAGCGCCTGATGGCTTTCAGATGTGCTCTGGGTTTACCCCAACCCGCCTTCGTTTCCCTCTTTATTAAACCGAAATCCCGCTGCAGCAAAGGGAACTCGCTCTGTGTCCTCCTGCGCCAAGCGGGGCTGACGCCATCCCACAGCTCCCGCTGGCCGCATCCAGCCACCCTCCGCACAGACTCCCCTCTATTCTGGCCGTGGAGCTGGCAGCCCACAATTACCTGGCCGTCCTGTTTGCTCTCCTTAAATACCAGTTACAGTGTTTGCTCGCTCCAGCTTTTGGGAACGTTACCAGCATCTTTGAAGTGATGGAATGAGAAAGCCAGAGCGCTCCTTGGCAGCGTCCCCTGTGTGCGAGCCGCGGAGCTGCTGATGCTGGGGGAAAACTCATCAAAGGAGAGGTTTAGCAGCTGGATGGAGCGCGGCAGGGAGGTGGCACCAGGCTCCGTCTGAACCCTGCTCATGGAGCACGTCCATGGCCGGAGGGATTGCTCCCATCGCCCACGTGTGCCTGGACCAGGGTTGTCCCCTTGGCCACCCGCATCAGGGGAACACTGGGGCCGGGCCGAGGCTGCCTCTCCCGTGGCTCCTGTTTCTCCTGATGCGGGTGCCTGCAATTAGGGAGATCCCGAAGGAGGAGGTGCAGAGCCCAGACTTGTTTTGATGATCGTAAACCACTGCAGCCTGCTCCACCCAGCCCCATTGTGGGCCTGGGGCGCAGGCGTGGGGGGTACAGCCACACAGCAGGGGGGAGCAGCACCCATAGCCCCCCACTGCACCTATGGCACCCTCACAGCGGCCCTGGTGATGCCTCTGCCCACTGCTGGTACAGCCACATGCAGGGGATGGTGGCTGCTGCTGGGTGGGTCTCAAGGCTGAGCCCCCATGGGATCCTCGGCCCGTTTGGGGTGTCCCAGGGGAGATGAGGTGGCTGCTGTGGGGCTCTTCCCAAGGGGAGCGCTGTGCTGGGGCGGGGTGCGGTGGCACTTGGGGGGCACCCCACTGGGACAGGACTGGGAGCTGCGGTGAGTGTTGAAAGCTCTCGCAGGAGCCAGGTTGCAAAACCATCCCCGGGCTCCAGCTGGGAGCCCTATGGGCTGTCCCGGCCCGACTCACCTTTCCTGCTCCACCGGCCGCCGCCGCCGCCCTCCCCGCGGAGCCACGGAGCAGGTCCTGCCGCCCGCGCCCACAGAGACGCAGCAGAGGGATCCTGGGCTGCAGGTGGGTACCGCGGCTCCGGAGCTGCCGGTGGGGATGGGGACGGCCCCAGAGCAGGACAGCGCTGAGGCCGTGCCCAGGGAACGGGAGGGGATGCGCGGGACCGGCCCCGGCCCCATCCCGCACAGTGAGCTCCCTGCCCCACACCGTCCCACCCGCACTCCCCTGCAGCACCGGGTGTGGAGCAGGCTCATCCCATGCCCCCATGGAGAAGCTCCTATCCCAGGGCGGGGTGGGAGGACCAGCAGGGAGCAGGGCAATGTGGGACCCCTTGGTGCTGGGAGCTTGAGCCCCAAAGCACCGTGTGAGGACAAGCCCTGGCTGCCGCGCTTGTGGGGTTGGGAGCGTGGAGCTGTTGGCTGCGGCACCGGGAACGTGTGGAGCATCAGGACATGGCACAGCCATGGGACAAGCAAGGAGTGGGAGGGATGTGATGGGAGTGAAGTGAATCATGGAATGCAGTCAGTGAAGCTGGAAAAGCCCTTTCATCTCATCCAGCCCCATCTGCCAAGGCCACCACTAAGCCATAGCACTGAGGGGGTGTGAACACCTCCAGGACCGGTGCCTGCAGCACTCTCCTGGGCAGCCTGATCCAGTGGGGCAGGAATTGTTCCTCGGCTCCATCTAAACCTGCCCTGGTGCAGCTTGAGGCCGGTTCCTTTTGTCCCATCCCTTGTTCCTCGGGAGCAGAGCCCAGCCCCTCCTGGCTCCATCCTCCTGTCAGGCACTTGTAGGGAGCCATCAGGTCCCCCCTGATCCTTCTCCATCTGAACCCCCCAGGTCCCTCAGCCCTTCCCCATCACTTGTGCTCCAGCAGGGAACCGGTTGCTGACACCGCTCACCCGCTCCCAGCCTGGTTCTTGTCCCCAGAGGTGCGATGGGGCTGGGCAGTGCCAGGGCCCTGGGCTGGCTCCTGCTGGCGCAGGCAGCGTGGCGAGCAGCAGGTAGGTGCTGGTGCCGTGCCCGGGGCCGGAGGGCAGCGCTTTGGTGTCCATGGTGAGCCGGGCTCCCAGCCGGTGCCTCCTCCCGCAGGTGGCCGTCCCTGCGATGCCAAGGACTTCGGGCAGGGCTCCCTGGTGTGCGCCTGCAGCGCCGCGTACTGTGACACCCTGGACCCCGTGGTGCTGCCGGCGCCGGGCACCTACGTGAGGTACGAGAGCAGCAAGGCCGGGAAGCGGCTGGAGCGCAGCCAGGGGAGCTTCCAGCGCAACGCAGCCACCCCAGGTACCCGGTGGGGCCGGACGTGGGGCACGGAGCCCATCCCTGCCTGCGGCTGCGATGGTTTCTGTCCCCTGCAGATTTCCACCTCACCCTGGACACGGCGCAGCGCTACCAGAAGGTGAAGGGCTTCGGTGGCTCCGTCACAGACTCGGCTGCCATCAACATCTTGTCCCTGTCCAAGGATGCTCAGAATCACCTTCTCCGCTCCTACTTCTCCGAGGAGGGTGAGCCTGAGGCAGGGCGATGCTGCGGCGCGGTGGGGCTGCTCCGACCTCTTCTGCTCAGGGTCTGGCTCCTGAGGCCCCTGCCGAGGGGCTGCTCCCCCCAAAGACACCCCAGGGATGTCCATCACCACCCATGTCCCCAGGCATCGAGTACAACCTCGTGCGCGTCCCCATGGCCAGCACCGACTTCTCTGTCCGCCTGTACACCTATGCTGATGCAGAGGGTGACTTCGAGCTGAAGCACTTCAACCTGACAGAGGAGGATACGCGGATGAAGGTGAGTCCCAGAGGGTGAGCCCGGGTGGGATGGGATGGGATGGGATGGGGAAGGGGAGCACCTTCCCACTGATGGGGAGGGAGGGCACTCATCCTGCTGCCCATGATGCTGGCACTGAGGCATGCCCAGAGCACCGGCTGCCATCCCGGTTCTCTGCAGATCCCCATCCTCCGGGCAGCCCAGGCAATGGCCAAGCGCCCGCTGTCGCTCTACGCCAGCCCCTGGACCTCCCCGGTGTGGATGAAGACGAACGGCGCGATGACGGGGAGGGGGACGCTGAAGGGCAGCCCCGGGGACAAGTACCACCAGGCCTGGGCCAAGTACTTCATCCGGTGAGGGGCTGCGGAGCGCGGTGGGTGCCGGGGCACAGGGCCGGCGCTGCCACAACGGGGCCCCTCACCGTGTGCCGCACACCCAGGTTCCTGGATGAATACGCCAAACACAACCTGACCTTCTGGGCAGTGACAGCGGGGAACGAGCCCACGGCTGGGGAGATCATCTTCTACCCCTTCCAGTGCCTGGGCTTCTCCCCCGAGCACCAGCGGGACTTCATCGCACGGGACCTGGGCCCCGCGCTGGCCAACAGCTCCCACCGCGACGTCCGCCTCATCATCCTGGATGACCAGAGGGTGATGCTGCCCTACTGGGCTGAGGTGGTGAGTGCCCGTATCTGCTGTCATGGCCCAATGCGGCTCTCCCAGCCCTGGGCACCGGTGACCCTCTTCTCCTGCCAGGTCCTCAAAGACCCCGTGGCTGCCAGCTACATCAGCGGCATCGGCATCCACTGGTACCTGGACTTCCTGGCGCCCATCGACCTCACGCTGTCCATCACCCACCACCTCTTCCCGGATTATTTCCTCCTCTCCACCGAGGCTTCTGCCGGCTCCTACTTTTGGGAGCCCAGGGTGGTGCTGGGCGGCTGGGACCGCGGCAGCAAGTACAGCCACAGCATCCTGACGGTAGGGCTCGGCTGGGGACACGGACGTGCCACCCCCCTGCGCCCTCCGCAGCTCAGCACCATCATCTGCCCCACAGAACCTCAACAACTACGTGACGGGTTGGACTGACTGGAACCTGGCCCTGGACATGAAGGGGGGCCCCAACTGGAGCAAGAACTACGTGGACAGCCCAATCATCGTGGACAGCAGCAAGGACGTCTTCTACAAGCAGCCCATGTTCTACCACATGGGGCACTTCAGGTGGGGCATGGCTGGGAGTGGGGCGGGGGTGATGCCAGCAGCCTGAGAGGGGGTCCCCATCGCTGCCCTGGTGCTGTCCCCGCAGCAAGTTCATCCCGGAGGGCTCGCAGCGTGTGGGGCTCGCTGTGTCCAAGAGGTGCCACCGCTGTGACCTGGAGCACTCGGCGTTCCTGCGCCCTGACGGCGCCGTGGTCCTGGTGGTCCTGAACCGGTGAGTGCCTGAGCCCTGTGCCCGGCCCGGAGCACGGCTGCCTCCTGACCTGCGACCCCTTCGCCTTCCCCACAGCTCCCCTGCGGACGTGTCCTTCGGGATCTCTGACCCACGGGTTGGCTTCTTCGAGGCCACGGCTCCCAGTGACTCCATCCAGACGTTCCTCTGGAAGCAGCCAGCCTAGGATGGATGTGGCTCGTGGAGAAGGGAGCTGCTGGCACCAGGAGTGTGGTGCTGGAGGGGGGCTTGGGGACAGGCCCCTGTGTGGGGCTGGGGACACCGCAGGGGACCTGGTTGATCCAAGGGCTGTGATGCCTGCTCTTTTCTAGATGTTTTCATACAATAAACAGGTTTTCTACAGCCTCGCCTGCAGCCCCTCTGCCCTCCCTTGCTGGACCGTGCCAGGGGCCAGAGGAGGCAGGTTTGGGGCGCAGGTACCTGCTGTGAGCTCTATGGGGTTCCTGGGGGCACCCTGGGGACTGGGCCCATGCAGCAGGGAGGCAAAGGGCTGTCACCCCAAGGGACAGCATCCCCCCCACTGCAGCATCCCCTGGGCAGGCACCAGGAGCTGGCAGGGACCGGGAGCTGGGATTGAGCACAGAGCCCAGACGTCAGCAGCTCCGGCCAGAGCAGGCGGCTGCGGTTTCTGCCGCTGGAGCAGCATCAGCCCTCCCCGGCTAATGGGAACCGGGAGCGCCGGGTACATACTTCCCGAGTGACGTGATGGGGGGAGAGGGCCCGGGGGGGCTGCATTGACTCATCCCTTTCCCGTGGGGCCCCTCGAGCTGGGCCAGCACGGGGGAGGCTCCAGCGCCGGTCCTGGCACCGCGGCTTCGCTCCCACCACACCGCGGCTCCCCCCCCGCCATCGCACACACGCGGGGGGGTGGCACAGCCCGTCCCTGCCCCGAACAAGCGAGCGCTGTTTCCTGGCCCCGTTTCCATCGCAGCCGCTCGGGGTGCCCCGGGGGAGCCCCGCGGTGCTGCAGGGACCCGCGGAGCCTGGGTGGCCGCGATGCGCCCTTGGCAGAGCCAGCGGCAGCGGCTCCCCGCTGCGGGCGGGGGCACGGAGGCAAACGGAGCCGGGAGGGAGCCCTGCGGCGGCCACCGCCGCTCCTGCCCGCACCCTGCGAGCGCCGGGGGCCAGCACCGGGAGCGGGGATCCCGGTACCCATCCAGCAGCAGCGAGCGGGGCTCTGGGTGCCCATCCAGTACCCTGAGCCCGCCGAGCGAGGCTGGGACACGCACATCCCACCGCCATCCCAGGGGAAGCAGAGGCTGACGATGGAGGTGCAGTGGTTGCACAGGCTCTGCAGAGACTTGAGAGCACTCGTGCCCCTCCAGGCCATGCCAAATCCTGCCAAGGAGCCCAGGTCTTCATGCTACAGCACCCAGGAAAGCCAGGCCGGCAGCAGCGTGGGGACACACACACACACACACACACTGGCCCCCCAGAACCTGCTGCCTGCTCTGCTGGGATACTGTGGGACAGGGGAGATGATGGGCTCAGCCCCACAGCTGCTGGAGAAAGGACAGGGGATGCTGCTGAGATGCTCACAGATGCTTTCAAGAACCTCAAACCCCACTGTCCTTCCCTTCACCCCATCCCCAGACAGCCCCGAGGCCGGGGAGAAGAGCTGGAGCTGCAGGAGGATGCAGTAGTGAGACAGAGCAGGCATGGAACGGGACACCGCATCAGTGCCTGCTGCAGCTCTCCAGCCTGTGCAAGTGGGGAGACTGGGAAGGGAACCGAGCTGCTGGGAGGGCAGGTGTGATGCCGGGGACATTTATTGGCGTGGCAGCGCACTCCCCACGGAGAGCTGCAGTTCCCGGCAGGATGCGGAGCGGAGCATCCCCAGGGAGCGATGCTGCCACGCTCCGGTGTAAAAACAGTCAGTTCCAGGACCAGGGCGAGCGGCTCTTCCTCACTCCTCCTCCTCCTCTTCCTCCTCCTGCATGGCGATGGGCTGGCGGGCGGCCGGCCCCGCGCCGCCGCGCTGGATGGACACGATGCCACTGAGGAAGGCGTAGCCCAGCATGGCCGCCAGCCCCACCAGCACCGACAGCAGCTGGTTCCGCCGCTTGTGTGGGTCCTCCTCGGCCTCATCGGTGCCCGCTGCCCGGGGGGCGCTGCCCGGGTGCTCTGCTGGGGGAACAGAGCCAGGATGCGGTGAGGGCACAGAGCACCCTGAGCCCACTGGGTGAGGGGTGGGGGGGCACGCATCTCACCTCCGTCCCAGGGGAAGTAGAGGCTGAGGATGGAGGTGCAGTAGTTGCACAGGTTCTGCAGGGACTTGAGGTGCTGCTGCAGTTTCCCATTGGGAAGTTTCGCCTTCAGGAGCGGCGCCAGGCGGCTGAAGACGAAGGCGTCGAGGGAGGCTGGCCTGGGGCACAGAGACCTGCCCTGAGTCACTGCCCCAACCCAAAGCCATCAACCACATGGGCCACCCCCTGTGCCCCAGGGGAGGGCAGGCAGCACCTCCTCCCTCTCTGCTTCCAACCCCAAGGTGAGGACAGGGGGGAGCGGGATGATCCCACCCGGGAGCTGGCTCCAACAAGAGATGGGGCTGGTGGCATCTCCTGCTGCCATGGAAGCCTGGGGGCTGCGGGTCCCCTGTGGACCATGGGGTCGGTCCTGTGTGTGTGGAGCATCCTCCCCCTGCAGCCACCTACGAGTCTCCGAAGAAAAACTTCTGGGATCCGAGGCGCTGGGACAGGAGCGTCAGACATTCCCGAGCATCCCGGTACAGCTGGAGCAGGAGGAGAGAGGGCTGTCACCCCCCAGCCACGCAGTGGAACACGGGGAGCGGGACCGGAGTGCTCAGCCAGGGTGAACCCCGGAGCCCGATGAGGAGCTGCTGTGCCCGAAGCACATCCCCTCACCTCCTTCTCCAGCTTCTCCTCATCCTCCATGTAGCTGTCTCCCCACAGAAGCTGCAGCCGCTCAAGGTGTTGCTTGTGCATGCAGTTGGGCAGGAAGAAGTTCAGGGGGAAGGGGATGGTTTCCGCGTACCACTTCCGCGTGTGCTCCACGTAGTTCTTTGCGTCCACCCAGAAGGTGTGGATCTGCAGCGGGGAGCACCCCGTGCCCAGGCTATGGTGGGGCTGAACCCGTGCCCGGCACTGCTCACCCAGGCACTGAGTGCCCCAGAGACCCCGAGGGGCTGAGGGAGCAGCGGGGTCACCACTGCTGCCACAGCAGAGCCCAGCACCCCCATCCCTGCTCCTGCTGCTCCAAACCCTGCGCTTTGATCCCTGAGAAGAGAACTCACCAGCACCGGCAGCAGCTTCTCCTCCAGCAGGGACACGAAGGCCAGCGTGTCCGCCCCTTGCGCAGCAGAGAGGTCGTAGTCAGCGTTGTACTTCTGCAGGGCAACACAATGGGACGATCCAGCAAGGAAGGGCCAAATCCTGCCCCCTCCTTCCAGGGGTCTCCAGTGCCCCACGGGTGCCCCTCATTACCCCCATACCTGTTTCCTGAGGTGGGTTATGATCTGCTCCATTTTGGAGATGGTGCCGTTGTCCCTTGTCTTCAAGGCCGGCAGGCGCCCTGAGGGCAGGAGAGGGGATTGGTGCAGGCATCGGTGCCGGGGCAAGGGCTCCCTATGCTCGGGTAAGGGATGCAAGGCAGAGGGGCACACGGTAGTGCGGGGGGGTGCAATGGGACAGGGGGAGCAATGGGGCAGGGGATGCAATGGGACAAGGGGTGCAATGGGGCAGGGGGTACAATTGGGGCAGGGGATGCAATGGGGCAGGAGCGCACTGGGGCAGGGAGTGCAATGGGGGGGTTGCACTGGGTCGGATGGTCCCGGCTGCCGGGCGGTGCCGGTAACCCGGGGGGGGGGGGGTTCCTTACCGGAGGGGCTCCTCCAGGGGCTGGAGACCCGGTGAACCTTCAGCGGCGCGCCCGTGAACCGCGCGTACGTCTGCAAGGGGAGAGCGGCGGCGGGAGCGGGGGCTCGGCCGGACGGGGCGCACCGAGCCCGGCCCCGCCGCCGCCGCCGCCCCGGCCCCGGCGCCGCTCACCAGCACGGCCAAGCAGTCGGGGTCCACCGAGGGCAGCCCCCAGCCCCCGGCCCAGCAGAACAGCTCCATGGGCGCCGCCATCTTCCCGCCCGACCCGGAACCACACGGGCCAGCTCCGCCCGTCCCCACCGCGGGGCGGCTCCGCCACCGGCCCGGGGCCGCCCCTTGTCCGAGCGCAGCTCCCGGGGCAGGGGCGGCCGCTGCCGCCGTCCCAGCGCCCCGCACGTGTCAGTGGAAGGGGAACGGGGCCGGGAGGCCGCTGGCCCCGGAGTGACGGGAGCTCCCCGGGGGGGAGGCTCGGGAGCAGCCCCCGCCCCGTCCCGCCGCTGCCCGGGGCCGCTGCTCCGCTCCGAGCCGCTGGCGCGGGGCTGGGGCAGGGAAAACGGCGCTGGGGCGGCCGCGGGCGTTGTTATGGAGCCGGGGAAAACAGCGATAAACACGGCCGGGGCCGCCCGCCCGCCTTGGCCGGGGCTCAGCGGGGAGCGCCCCGAGCGGCCCCGGGCGCTGCAGCGGGCTCCGGCGGCACGGACCGGACCGGTACCGCGCGGCGCTGCCCAACCGAGGGATGCCCGCGGGGCCCCGCGCTGCTGCCGCCGCCCGAGAGCAAAGCGGCGCTCCCCCGGCGGCCCCGCTCTCCCGGCCCGGGGCGCAGGGGCAGAGCTCCCGGGGTGAGCTCATCGCGCTGCTCCGGGGCTTGGGCCGGGGCCCGGCGCTGATTTACGCCGCTGAGCGCTCCCAAGCGCTGGCTCCGCTCCCGCCGGGGAGCACCGCCCGCCCCGGGGGCTGGCACCGGGGGATACCCCGGCAACGCGGCCCCCGGCTCTCCCGGGCTGGGATGCTCCGGCGCTGCTGGGGCAGCTCTGGCTCGCTGTAGGGCGGCCCCAGACTGCCTGACCTCCCGGTGAACCGGCGCGCAGGAGCAGCGCCAGGGCCGGGCAGCGCGGGGCTGCCGGTGGCTCCCCCGGTGCGCCGCGTCCCCCCCCGCTCCTCTCCCCTCCGCCGCCGGGGTCCCCGGGATGCGCGCCCGTGATTGACGGCTCTTTGTTTCCTCCTCGCCGGCAGCCCCGGCCCCTCCCCCGTCGCGCCACCCCGCTCCACCGCGCTCCGCTCCGCACCGGCGGCACCGGCGGCATGGGGGCACCGGCGGCCGCGGGGGGCCCGGCGCTGGGCGCGCTCCTGGTGCTGCTCCTGCTGGGCGCCGCCGGCGCGGCTCGTCAGGGGCTGCAAGGTAAGGGGAGACCGGGGCGAGGCGGACGGAGACCCCCGGCCCCGCTCCCCGGCCCTGGGCCCGCTGACAGCGGCTCTGCTCGCCCCGGGAGCTCTGGCAGCCGCGCTGCGGGCACCGGGGCACGGAGGGACAGGGGGAGCGGGGCGCATTCATCCGCGGAGCGCGGGGCGGCCGCCGGGAGCAGGGAGCCGCCGGTCCCGATGCGAGCTCGGGGGCTCCAGCGGTGCGCGGCTGCCGCTTGTCGCCCGGTGCGGCTGCACGGAGCAAGCGGCGGGACCGGGCTCTCCGCGCCTCCCCGGAGCGCCCCGGGCCGAGCCGTCCCTGCAGGAGCTCCGGGTCCCGATGCGGGGCTGGGGGGGGGCAGTCCCGCGAGTTGCATCCCCGCTCTGCGGGGCCGTCCCGGGTGCGGGATGCCGGGGGCCGGCGGGGAAGCCCCGGGTGCGGAGCGGGGTGCGGAGCGGGGCAGGCTCCGGGCCGGGGTCCCCGCTGGGCCGCCGGTCCCTCCAGTGGCGGGGGCTCCGCGGGTCCCTCCCGGTGGCGCGGCCGCGGCGCTGCCGGTCCTGGAGCGCCACCGCGCGGGGCCGGCGCTGGGCGGGGCCCGGGGATCTCGGGGCTTCCCCGGACCCCCGGGGCCCGGCGGTCCAGGGACCTCCCCCGGCTCCGTCCCGTGGGCCGGGCCGGGCCGCGTGCCCCGCACCGGGCGTGTCCGGAGCTGCGTTCCCGGTTCAGGGGGCGACCCCCGCGTTTGGCTCCCGCAGTCATCGACCTGCTGCTGGTGAGCGAGGCCCGGCAGATGGCCAGCATCACACACAAGATCCGCATGGAGCTCCTGACCGTTAACGACGTTTACCTCCTCTCCACCTTCCGCCTGCCCCCCAAGCAGGGGGGGACCCTCTTCGGCCTCTACTCCAAGAAGGACAACACGAGGTGGTTGGAGGTCTCCATAGTGGGGAAAATCAACAAAGGTGGGCCCGTGATGCTCAGAAGGAAACGGGGACCGAGCCACTGCCACCCGAGGGGCCCACTAGGGATGGCACCGGGTGCACGCTGGTCCTGGGGGGCTGCCAGCCCTGGGGCAGGGGGGAGCTGACGGCCTCTCCCTGCTGCTCCGCAGTGCTGGTGCGTTACCTGCGGGAGGACAACAAACTGCACTCGGTGAACCTGCAGCACGCGCACGTGGCGGACGGGCAGAGCCACACGGTCATCGTGCGCCTGAGCGGGCTGCGCGGGGACATGCTCAGCGTGGAGCTCTACGTCGACTGCAAGCAGATGGACTCCAGCGTGGGGCTGCCCGAGCTCTCCGAGATCCCCCTGGCAGAGGTGGAGTCCATCGAGGTGCGCACGGGGCAGAAAGCCTACCAGAGGATGCAGGTGAGTGCTGGGACCCCCCTTGCTGTGCCTTTGGGGACAGGCAGAGCTCACACCCCCCCCCTCCCCGGGCTGACCGCGTCTCCCTTTGTACATCAGGGGGTCGTGGAGTCGATGAAGCTGATCCTGGGGGGGTCCATGAGCCGCGTGGGGGCCCTGAGCGAGTGCCCTTTCCAAGGGGATGAGTCCATTCACAGTGCAGGTAATGGCACACCTGCCTCTTGCACCGGGCAGAGCAGGTACGGGGTCACCCGTGTGCTGTGACACACGAGGAAGGAGGTGCCAATGTGCTGCACAGAGGGGTGCTCCTGCCCAAGTGCTGTGCATGCATCAACCAGGAGCAGCCCTGCACTGCTGGGCTCTTGGCAGCACTCAGTAACATCTCGCCTCTCTCCTTGGCAGTGACAAACGCTCTGGCCTCCATCCTGGGTAAGTCTCTGCTCCGCTTCCCTCCTTCCCTGGCATGAGGGCAATGGCAGTGTTTGGGGCTACACAAACCGCCCCAGTGCCCCACGTGCCTGCCGGCCTCAGGATGTGGTGGATCGAAGGGGTTGCTACAGGGGAAGGGAACCTGTGTGGACCAGGGAGGAGGAGGAGCCGTTGCTTGTCTTGTCCTCCCACTTCCCAGCCCATGGCCCTGGGAAGCTGCATCTGCCTTGGGCTGACCTTGTCCCTTTGCTCCTGCTCAGGCGAGCAGACCAAGGCGCTGGTGACGCAGCTGACCCTGTTCAACCGGGTCCTGACTGAGCTGCGGGAGGACATCAGGGACCAGGTGAGGCGGGGGGGGTGGTACCGGCCCTCCCTGGGCTGGATTTCCCAGGAGCATGCTGCCAGGGGACGCTGCCCCCCTGACGCTGCGCTCCGCTGCCGCAGGTGAAGGAGATGTCCCTGATCCGCAACACCATCATGGAGTGCCAGGTCTGCGGTGAGTGCTGCGAGGCTCTGCTCCCACCTCAGGGGGCAGAGGGCGGCCCTGTCTCACCCCTGCCCGGTCCCCCCTCCCCTCAGGCTTCCACGAGCACCGGTCCCGCTGCAACCCCAACCCCTGCTTCAGCGGCGTGGACTGCATGGAGACCTACGAGTACCCCGGGTACCGCTGCGGGCCCTGCCCACCGGGGCTGGAGGGCAACGGCACCCACTGTGCCGACATCGATGAGGTGGGTGCGCTGCAGCTGGTGCTTCCTCTGGCCGGGAAGGGCTCCACTGGGATGCCCCGGGGCTGTGGCCATCCCGAAGTGTGGAATGCCGTGCTGGAGGGTGAAGGGGTGTTTCTCCCTCTGCAGTGTGCCCACGCCAACCCCTGCTTCCCTGGCTCCAAGTGCATCAACACAGTCCCTGGCTTCCGCTGCGAGCCCTGTCCCCGCGGCTATCGCGGCAACACCGTGTCCGGTGTGGGAGCTGACTATGCAAGGGCCAGCAAGCAGGTGAGTGTGGTGCTCAGCCCGATCCCTGTGGATGCTCCTGGCTGCGGAGCTGCGGGGACGGGTGGAGGATGCTGCTGGAGGCGGGACAGGAATGGGCAGGGCTGCAGGGAGCAGCCCCATGTGATGGCTTCTCCCACCCTGCTCGCAGGTTTGCACGGATATTGATGAGTGCAACGATGGGAACAACGGGGGCTGTGACCCCAACTCCATCTGCACCAACACGCTGGTGAGCAGAGCTGCCCCATGGCCTGGCACCTGAGGCTGCTCCGCTCCCTCATCCCGACCCTGCCCTCCCTCTCCCAGGGCTCCTACAAGTGCGGTCCCTGCAAGTCCGGGTTTGTGGGGAACCAAACGTCCGGCTGCATCCCGCAGAAGTCCTGCAGCACTCCCACCTCCAACCCCTGTGACATCAATGGCTTCTGCGTGTTCGAGAGGAACGGGGAGATCTCCTGTGCGGTGTGTGAGGGGCCAGGGGCAGGAGGAGGGCGAAGCCGAGGGGGGCACGGGCAGCGCTTGGTCCTGCCATGGCCTTGTCCTGCTTCCCAGCTCCTGATTCCTTGTTTCTTCAGTGCAACGTGGGCTGGGCTGGCAACGGCAACGTGTGTGGGCAAGACACCGACCTTGATGGCTACCCTGATGAGCCCCTGCCCTGCATTGACAACAACAAGCACTGCAAGCAGGTGGGTACCAGCGGCACGGTGGGGCATGGGCTGTGCTTCACACCTCATCTCCTCCTCTCTGACACTGTCCCTGCAGGACAACTGCCGCCTGACACCAAATTCGGGGCAGGAGGATGCTGACAACGACGGCATCGGGGACCAGTGTGATGATGATGCCGATGGTGATGGCATCAAGAACGTGGAGGTGCCTGTGGCTTTTGGGGTTGTGCTGGGCAGGGGGCTTCTCCCTTTGCCTTGGTGCTGACTCCTTCAAGATGCTTCTCTTAGGGCTCTGGGATGGTCATCACTGGAGATGTCCTGGACTGAGCCCTGAGGGACTGTGGCCTCGCCCACCAACCACTGCAACGTGGGCATCCCTGTCCCCTTTCTCACAGGACAACTGCCGGCTCTTCCCCAACAAGGACCAGCAGAACTCGGACACCGACTCCTTCGGGGATGCCTGCGACAACTGCCCCAACGTGCCCAACAACGACCAGCGGGACACAGACAGCAACGGCGAGGGGGACGCTTGTGACAACGACATCGATGGGGACGGTGAGTGGCTGCGGGGCTGCCCTGCCCTGCTGCACCCCGGACTGTGGGCATCCACCCAGCGCTGTCCTTGCAGGGATTCCCAACATGCTGGATAACTGCCCCAAGGTGCCCAACCCTCTGCAGACAGACCGGGATGAGGACGGGGTCGGGGACGCCTGTGACAGTTGCCCTGAAATGAGCAACCCCACTCAGGTATGGTGGGGGCCCGGTGGGGAATGGGGGGTCCTCAGGCAGCACTGAACCAGGGCACTGCTCTCCTCCAGACAGATATGGACAGCGACCTGGTAGGAGACATCTGTGACACCAATGAGGACAGGTAGGGACCACGCGGAGGTGGGGTCACCACCCTGTCCCATCCATTCCTGGCTTGGAGGCCTGGGAGAGGGGATGATGAGGTCTTTGGAGATGGCAAGGGTGCTGGGACACGGTGCTGGGACCCCAATGTGCAGCACTGCTGTGACCCTATTCTTGCTGGCAGTGATGGGGACGGGCACCAGGACACCAAGGACAACTGCGCCGAGATCCCAAACAGCTCCCAGCTGGACTCGGACAACGACGGGCTGGGGGATGACTGCGACAATGACGATGACAACGATGGCATCCCCGACTACACAGCGCCTGGCCCAGACAACTGCCGCCTCATCCCCAACCCCAACCAGAAGGACTCGGATGGTGAGGGCAGGGTGGGCCGGAGGAGGCAGAGCCACACACGGGCTCATCCCAGCCTGACTGGGCTGCGTGTCCGCAGGGAACGGGGTGGGTGACGTGTGCGAGGAGGACTTTGACAACGACACAGTCGTGGATCAGTTCGACGTGTGCCCCGAGAGCGCCGAGGTGACACTGACCGACTTCCGAGCCTACCAGACTGTCATCCTTGACCCCGAGGGGGATGCTCAGATCGATCCCAACTGGGTCGTCCTCAACCAGGTGTGGGTGCTGCCCCCTGTGTTTCTGGGGCCGGAGCTGGCAGAGGGGGAGCAGAGCAGGGCCCGGGGGTCCCTGGGGACTCCCCTCACCCGGCTGTCCCCATCAGGGCATGGAGATTGTGCAGACCATGAACAGTGACCCGGGCTTGGCTGTCGGTAAGAGATGTTCTCCCACCTCTAGGTCCTGTGGGGCAGCCCCTCTGCTCCTGTCCCCCTGTGCTGGGGGGGTGAGGGCAGGTTCTTTGCCCCACAGAGGAGTGGAGGGAGCTGGGGTGGGGGGTCCCGTGCTGGGGGAGCGGTGTCCTTGCAGCGTTTGCCTGCCTGTAGGCTACACAGCCTTCAACGGGGTGGACTTCGAGGGCACCTTCCATGTCAACACTGTCACCGACGATGACTACGCTGGCTTCATCTTCAGCTACCAGGACAGCGCCAGCTTCTACGTGGTGATGTGGAAGCAGACGGAGCAGACGTACTGGCAGGCCACCCCTTTCCGTGCCGTGGCTGAGCCGGGGCTGCAGCTCAAGGTGGGTGCTGGCCACCCCTGGCGCTGGGTCGGGGTCCCTCCCCACTGACTCCCTGTGCACCCACAGGCGGTGAAGTCCTCGACGGGCCCCGGGGAGCACTTGCGCAACGCGCTGTGGCACACGGGCCACACGCCCGACCACGTCCGCCTGCTCTGGAAGGACCCGCGCAACGTGGGCTGGCGGGACAAGACCTCCTACCGCTGGCAGCTGGCCCACAGGCCCCAGGTCGGCTACATCAGGTGAGCAGGGCCCGGGGTGATGGGTGATGGGATGCGGCTGCTCCTGCCATGATACAGGGGGAGGATGCTGGTGCTGGGGACCGGTCCACCCCGTGGGACCACAGCAGCGGGAGGATGCCCTGGGGAGGGGTCCAGCCCCCAGTGTGGTCCAGCTCTCGGGGGGGGGAGGACGCTGTCGGTGGGGAGGGGGGGTCCCTCCCGCTGGGACCGCGTTTCCCCTTTAAGGCTCCCGGCGGGGCGGCCGTCGCGGGGGGGCTCCGCGGGCCGTTCCTGTCCGCCCGGCCGGGCCCCCGTGGCCATTGTCCCGTCTCCATGGCGACCCCGCGGCCGCCGGAGCCTTTCACATGCAAAGCGCCCGACAAAGGCGGCGGGGCCGGGGCCGGGGGCTCCATCGCGGCCGCGGCGGGGGGCCCGGCCCGGGGCGGGGGGTTCACCCTATCCCACCCGCCGCGGGACGCCCCGTTCCCGGGCCGGCGCTCGCATCCCACCGCGGGCCGCGATGCCCCAGCTCGGTGCCGCCGTCCCCGTGCCCCGCTCCGGCCCGGGTCGGGGTGCCCGGCGCTGCCCCCGGTGGGGTCCCGCTGACCGACCGGGCCGCACCGTTCCCTCGGCAGGGTCCGGCTGTACGAGGGCCCGCGGCTGGTGGCCGACTCCGGGGTGATCATCGACACCACGATGCGCGGGGGGCGGCTGGGGGTCTTCTGCTTCTCCCAGGAGAACATCATCTGGTCCAACCTGCAGTACCGCTGCAACGGTGAGCAGGGCCCCCCCGGCAGCCCCCCGCTTTACCCGGCCGAGAGCTCGACGAGCACCTCCTGCGGGGGGTGGCTCGGTCCCGCTTTACCGGAGCTCCCCCCCCGCTGTGTCCCCGCAGACACGATCCCCGCCGATTTCGAGCCCTTCCGCCGGTTCCTGCTGCAGGGACGCGAGTGAGCGGCCGCGCCCGGCCCGGTTCCCCCCCGCACCGCGCCGGCGGCACCGCTCTGGGCCCCGCTCCCGGCCAGGCCCCGCTCCGGGCCCCCCGCGGACTTTGCACTGCCGGTACCGGCGCGGCCCCCCCCGCTGCTGCTCCGGTCCCTGCCCGAAGTCTGGCCATAAAGTTTTAAGTGTTTTCTAGCCTGCGCGCCCCGTTCCTTTGGGGGAGGAGGGGGTGGTCCCGGTGCCTCGAAACGGCTCAGACCCCCCCCCCCCCCCCCGATGTTCTCCGGTCCGGTGGTCGCGGGGGGGGGGGTGTGCCACCGGTGCCACCGGCGGAGCCCGCGGCGGCGGGAGGCCGGGACGAGTGCAATATTGGTAGGCGAGCGCACAACACTGCACCGCATCCCGGCCCTGCCGCCGCCGCGGAGGACGCGCACCGGACCCGCCGCTCGGGCCGCTCCGTGGGAACTGCGCGGTGCGCGCCGAGCCCCGGCGGCACTGCCCGGTCGCCATGGCGACGGCTGTCCCGGCAACGCTCCGGAATGTGCCTCCCCCCCCTCCCCTTCCGTCCCTGCTCCCGCCCGCCCGGGAGCGCGCGGGGCCGCCACCGGCCCGCCCCGCGGCGGCGGCACCGGGCCCCGCTCTTAAAAGGGCAACGCGGTGGGCGCGGGGCTGCCCCGCCGGGACCGGCACCGGGGGCAGTGCCCGGGGCAGCGCTGCCAGACCCCGGACCGGGGCCGCGGCGCGACCGGGGCGTGCGGGAAGCGGGGGGCGCCGCGCGGTGCCGAGAGCCCCCCGGTCCGTCCGGTGCAGGGCGCGGCGGGGCTGAGCCGCCACCACGCACACACAAACCCCCCCCTGCCGCCACGGGCACCCGCGGGCTCCGGTCCCGCTCCCGGTTCCCGTCCCGGGGCGTGTCGAGAGGACCGGGTCCGCCAGAGGGCGCCGGAGCTCAGTCGCCGCCGGGGCTGGCGGGAGCCAACCGGGACCAGAGACCCCTCGTACGGCGCCGGGGCCGGGGGTCGCTGCCGCGGGGGACGGGACCCGTGTGTCCCCCCCCCTACGGCGAGTGCTCCATCGGTTCTACCGAGGGGAATGTTGAACCGGGGGTGGGTCCCGGGTACCGGAGCTGGTGCAGAGCAGAACGCGGGGGGTCAGCTCGAATGGGGGCGTCCGGGGGGGGATTGGGGGGAGGAGGGGGTGTCCTGGTCACCCAGAGCTTGCTGCCTATCCCTTGCCGCATCCCCCCTGCTGGCCCCAGGGCAGGGCGCCCCGTTGGGGACCGGGGTGCAGCCGGGTCCTGTCTAACCCGTGCTGAGGCGCCGAGCACCCACCCCGTGGGCACCGCGGAGGGTCCCGTCCCCCCCCCCGTTCTGCTCCCCTTTGCACTGACCCCCCCCCCGCTCTCCGCGCAGGGCAGGGCAGGGCACCCGGAGGGGGGGCCCTAGCCAAGCCCTTCCTGAGACCTGGGGCCTTTTCTGGGAATCGGGGCTCTTCCGCAGGGCAGGGGCAGGGAGGGACCAGAGCGGTTGCTGTGGTCCGGCCGTGCCAGGAGCACGTGTCGCCGGGCAGGACGGGGGCACCGGCGGCACCTCGTACCCCTGGGGTGGAGCATCAGCATCCGGCTTGGCACCGGGCATGGCCAGGGGCTGCGTCCCAAGAGGGATGAGGGTCTTACACCTGTTGTGGCAGCCAGGACCGGGAGGGGGTGCACTGGGACCTGGCAGGGAGGTTACTGGGAGGTACTGGGATTTTATGGGGCCCCGGTCCCCACCTGCGTAAGCGTTTCGGGGGGGTATCACCGGTGTTTATTTGAGTGTAGGGCGAGGCAGGGGCCGGCCGGTAATGATTAACTCTGGGCTGAGCCAGGAAACGAGTCCCCCCTCACCTGTACGGGGGACTGGGGGGCTCTGTCCCCCCTTGCTCCCCACCATGTCCTGGGGGCCGCGGCATAGTCCATGGGGTTCATGTGGGTTTAACCCCCAACCCCCCTGCCCGGGGATCCCAGGCGCTGCCCCTTCCCTCTGTCCCCACCCGCGGCTCGGGGATGCTGCTGGTGGTGCCCCCCCAGCCCGGGACCCAGCCCCGGCGGTCAGGATGCTGCGGGAGCCCCATCGCGCCCCGTGCCCGGTGCGAAGCTGCTCGGAGGGACATCCCCCCCCCCCCGTCCTCGGTGGGGCCGGCGGCGGGGTGGGGCCTCCCCTCCTGCCCCAGGTGTTTCTATAAAGCTGCCGCCAGTTCCTGCTGCCGGGACCGGAGCGAGCCGACGGCGCGCACGGGAGGGCTCCGGCGGCCCCGGACCAGCCCCATGGCCAACGCCACCCTCCTGCTGCTGCTGGCGCTGGGCGCAGGTGAGGGGCTGCGGGCGGGGACACCCCGAACCCGACGGAGCGGGGCTGGGGCGATGCGGGGCGGGAGCCGAGCCCCCGGGGCTGCTTCTGAGCCGGGACCGGGGGTCCCCGGCACCAGCGATGTCACCGCCGCTCCCTCTGCATCGCTCCGGGGGTGGTGTCCCCAGCAAAGCCGGGACACGGGGGTCTGCACCGCCGCTGGCTCCCGCCGGCCGTGCTGCTGCAGCCGGAGCCGGCTCTGCCAGGGGCTGGAATTCAGGCGTGTCCGTGAGCAGCGGGACCACGGGCTCCCCTCCAGCGCCTTCTGTGGGGCAGGGTGGGGACCCACAGCAAAGGGGGCTCATGGGGTGAGGATCTGGTTGGCTCCTGAGGTCGTGGTGGCTCCCGGTGCCCAGGGAGCGTCCAGCCAAGGAGCCGTGTTGGGTGAATCATTCCCAGCCGCTGACTCCTGGTGTTTTCCTTTAGGTACCTGTGCCATGACCACCACCACCGAGAGCACCACGGAGACCACTGCCACTGACACAACCACCACAGAGACAACCACGACCACCACGGAGATGACCACCGAGACGACCACCACCACCACCACCCCCATGACCACCACCCTGAACATCACCATCACAAGCAGCAATGGGACGCAACCACCCTCTGCTACAGCCTTCCCCAGCACAAGCAACACCACAAGCTTCCAGCCCAACACCACCACTGCCAACAGCACCATGGTGCCTACCGCGGTCAGCTCTGCCGCCCCCTACACCAACACCACCACAAACAGCAGCAGCTTGGTCCCCACCTTCAGCACCAACAGCAGCACCGTGGCTCCCACCTCTGCCACCAACGCAACCAACAGCAGCACCGTGGCTCCCACCTCTGCCACCAACACAACCACCATCAGCACCGTGGCTCCCACCTCTGCCACCAACACAACCAACAGCAGCACCGTGGCTCCCACCTCTGCCACCAACACAACCAACAGCAGCACCGTGGCTCCCACCTCTGCCACCAACACAAACAACAGCAGCACCGTGGCTCCCACCTCTGCCACCAACACAACCAAGAGCAGCGCTGCAGCTCCCACCTCTGCCACCAACACAACCAACAGCAGCACCGTGGCTCCCACCTCTGCCACCAACACAACCATCAGCAGCACCACTGCTCCCACCATTGCCACCAACACAACCAAGAGCAGCGCTGCAGCTCCCACGTCTGGCACAGATGGTGGCACGGTGATTCTCACCTCCAGCACCAAAAGCAGCAGCACTCGGACCGTCCCCACGCACACAACTTCTGTCACAGCCCCTGCGGTGGCACCGGGCGGCAGCGCCGGTCCCAGCCCCAACACCGCCACCGCGGTGCAGCTGCTGCTCAGCATCCCCCTGTCCTTCCGCATCCTCAACAGGAGCTTCAATGAGAGCCTGCGCAACCCCGCGTCAGAGCAGTACCGGAGCCTGAGCCGCACCTTGCTGGCCATGGTGAGTCCCAGAGCAAAGCTCCCGGTTCTGTGCCCTGTGTAAGTGCCCCCGCTACCCTCTTCAGCAGCGCCGGTGCCGTGATGGGGAGCACCAAGGGGATGGGATGGATGGATGGAGGAGGGATGTGGTCTCCATCACCCACATGCTCTGTTCCAGTTTGACCGTGTCTATGGCAGTGGGCAGAGCTACAAGGGATGCAGTGAGCTCCGTTTCAGGTGAGTGGGGCTGCACCACGCAGAGCCCCTGGTGCTGGGCACCACCTGGGCACTGACACTTCTCCCATGGGCAGCCAAGGTTCCGTGGCCGTGCAGTCCACCCTCGTGTTTGGCCAGGACAGCACCATCACCACCAGCACTGCTGGGCAGCAGCTCAGGAACAGCCTGGACCAGAACGGCTTCATCATGGGCCTGCAGCTGGATGACATCTGGAGTGAGCAGGAGCTTTGGGATGGGGATGTGAGGGAGGATGGAGCCCAACGGGGGTGCTTTGGAGGTCTCCCTGGTGGTGGGGGGCAGCCTGCAGAGCCAAGTCAGGTTCCCGGTGCTCTGGGAACACCAACTGGACCCAGTGGAGGAGGCCCCATCCTGGGGGTCTCTCAGGGCTGTTGGTCCTTGCCAGCCCCATGGCTCTGCCCCAGTGCAGACACAGCTTTGGTCCTCTTTCAGGCAACACGGAAGGGATGTCCCCAGCTCCGGTGCCAGGCTGGGCCATTGCTCTGCTGGTCCTGGTCTGCATTCTGCTGCTGCTGAGCATCCTCACCTGCCTCCTGCTGGTGAGTCCCCATCCCCATCCCTCCTGCCGGTGGGTCCCTGTCCCCATCCCTGTGCCGTCAGTCCCTCAACCCCATCCCTGTGCCCCCAGACCATCTGCACCTGCCGCCGGAAGACCCGTGGGAAGCTGGACCTCTTCAGCACGAAGGATTCCTACCACCCCATGTCCGAGTACCTGCAGTACCAGAGCCACGGGCGCTACCTGTCCCCCAGCAGCAAACCCAACCCCTACAGCCAGGTGAGCGCCCAGCACCGCAGCACCCGGCAGCTCCCCCCGCCGCCGGTCGCTGGGACCGGCAAGGTAACTTTCACGCCTGGGTGGAGCAGCGGCACCGGTGCTGGCAGACCCGGCCCGGCCCCAGGGAGCTCACAGCCTCGGGTGGCTGCTGCTGCTCTGCCCCTTCCCGAGGGCCGTGTCCCAGCCAGAGCCTCGCATGTGCTGGTGTCAGGGCATCCTCCTGCATGGATGGGGAGTGGGACTGGCTGGGGGCTGATTCCTGTACCCAGCAACTGTAACCAGCACCACATAACCTGCACCCCATCTCCTGCACCCCATAACCTGCACCCCATCTCCTGCACCCCATAACCTGCACCCCATCTCCTGCACCCCATAACCTGCACCTTGCGCCCAGCACCACCTAACCTGCACCCCATCTCCTGCACCCCATAACCTGCACCCCATCTCCTGCACCCCATAACCTGCACCCCATCTCTAACCTGCACCCCATCTCCTGCACCCCATAACCTGCACCACCACCTAACCTGCACCCCATCTCCTGCACCCCATAACCTGCACCTTGCGCCCAGCACCACCTAACCTGCACCCCATCTCCTGCACCAGAAGCTCTGTGATCGGAGCTGCAGGACAGTGCCCGGAGCTGCCTGCACACACGCATAAGCCCCAGCTGCCCTGAGCAATATGGGTTGCAGGGGCCACCCCCGTGCCCCCCATGCTCTGCCCATGCACTCGTGCTGCGGCGGGAGCCACATCCAGCTGCGTGGCCCCATCGAGCAGCTCCCCCTGAGCAAATACCAGGGGCCTGGGTAAATATTTACCTTGGCTCTGCCTGGGCTGGGCTTATCGTGCAGGAAGAGGGACATGGCCAGGGCCACGGCACGGCTCCTGTGCCCAAGGTGCCCATGGGGGTCATGGTGGGCTCAGTGTGCCCATAGGCAACTGTAGGTGCCCACCATGCAGGGTGGAGGGGGACACGCATTTAGGCTGACCCCGCGGTGATGGGGGGGTTCCGGCACTGAGGAGGGGGCTCATTGCAGGTCGCGGGCAGCAACGGCGCGGGGACCGGCACCTTCACCTACACCAACCCTTCCGCTACCTCCGACAACCTCTGAGTGACACCGGGATGCACAAGGATAGGGCTGGGGGGGGGCAGCACCGGCCCCGGGCTTGTGTCCCCATCCTCCCCCCCTCCGCCACGGGCAGCAGGAGCCGGATGGTTCTGGAGCGGCCGGATTCATGCGCATGACAGAACTGGATGGACAAGGATTGGGATCCAGGCTGGAAGGGGGGTCCCTGCGCCCCGGTTCCTGCGCTCGCTTGGCTTTGCACCAAGGGGGGGGTCCCGGCTCCTGCTCCCCCCAATTCCCCCCTCAATTCAATGGCTCTTTTGTGGTGTTATTTTGTACAAATAAATCTCTCTCTGTGGGATGCGGGCTCCAGGCTCGGCTCGGGGGGGTCCTGCGAGTGCTGGGACAACCCCGACGGGGCTGCGCCGGGCTCCCCGTCCCTGCCCTGCACGGCTGCAGGCGCTGCGCCCCGTGTACCCCTGCTCACACCCGCGCTCCCGGTTTCTATCGCATGAGCAAACACGAACTGTTCGGCACAACCGGTTCCGCCGCGTCACGCAAAGGTGACGATGGGAAAGGTAACCGAGGGGCCATAAAGCATGGGCCGGGTCCGAGCGCGGCCGGGCCCGCTCCAAACCCCCCTGGTCCAGGTCTGGGATGCTCCAAACCCAGAGCGAGCCCCGAGACGCCTTTGGAGAGGGAGGAGAGGAGCAGGGCAGGGCTGGGGGGCAGCGGGGTGCAGCGGTGGGGAGGGGAGTGGAAGGAGGACCTGGCCTGCTTGCCATGGGGCAGAGAGTGGGGCACTGATGGGGGCAGCCCCACAGAAGCCCCACTTTGGGGCTGGGCGCTGGGAAGGTTTTGGCAACCACTGGAACAGCAAAACGAGGAAACAACCTTCCCCAACGTGATCCCTTGTGAAGGAGGGCACGGGGCCAGCTCCTGGCTGGTGGGGGCCCGGGGGGGGCTGCCCTGCTGGAGGTGGTGGCACAAGCCCCAAGGCTGTGGGGGGGCAGGTAAGGGGGTGACTCTGCTGCTTCTGGTTCTCCCTGTGCCGTGCTGGTAACCGGAGTTGCCAACAGCAACAGCGGGACCAGCATCCTGCCAGCGGGGATGGGGATGGATGGGGATGGGGGGGCTGCAGGGAGGGGGGGGCACGGGGGAGTGGCACAGGAGGAGAACCCTGGGAAGGAATGAGGGGACCCTGCCCCAGCGGGGGCACAAGGGCAGCACCGAGGGTGTCAGCCCCAGCCCCGCACACCCGGGGGGGGGTAATGCGGCCGGGCGGGGCGGGTCCCGTCCCCCCCTCCCACCCCGAAACCCTTCCGGCCCTGGGTAGGGCCCGCAGGAACCGAAACCGGGCACAAAGCGGCGCTTGTTCACAGGGAGCCGGCCCCGACGGCGCGGACAGCGAGGGGCCGCGGCCCCTCCTCGAGCCGTGCCGCCGCAGGTAACGGCCATGTGGGTCCAGCCCCCGTTACCACCCCAGAGGATGCCCCAGTGCCGCCCCCCCCGCCCCGGGCTGGACCCTTGTCCCCTCCCTGAGCTTGTGCAGGGAGACTGTGCTGGAGCGCCCCGATACCACGGGGATGGGCAGCAGCAGCCACGCGGCCGGGCAGGGACCGGACACGTCAGCATTGCCTGAGCCCTGCCCTGGGCAGGATTAGCCCATGTTGGCCACAGCCCCAAGGCCGGCTCAGCCCCACAGCTCCAAGGCCGGCTTAGCCCCACAGCCCCGCAGGGTGGCTCAGGAGGAGTTCGGCGTTGCAGTTTATTGTAGGAAACCATGAAAATACAGCGACTGTAACAGAACCCAAGAGAAACGACAGCAGCTCAGATGGATCCCGGTGCAGGATCACCAGTGCAGGAGCACCAGCGCAGGAGCACCAGTGCGGCATCGCCGGTGTGGGATCACCGGTGTGGGATCACCGTCCGGGCCGGATGCCGACCCCACCGTGGTTAACGGGGGCCCAGCGTGTCCCTGCGGAGCACGTGCAGGCAGGGCCCCAAGCATGGAGCTCCCTGGGGGACATGGGACCCACTGCAGCCCCCCCGCAGAGCAGGGGACACCCCCGGTGGCTGTGCCCAGGGCGGCCACGTTGAACATGAGCCATTATAAAACAAGTCTCCAACACCTTGGTCCAACCCAGCCCCCCCCATTGCCTCCCAACCCAGCTGCCTCCCCACCCCAGCCAGCACCCATTGGTGCGCCCCCCACTGTCACCCCACTGTCACCTCACTGTCACCTGCAGTCCCCCCTCCCTGAACAGCCCCGTGTCCCGCTCACACCCCCTCCCTGCTCCATCTCCAGGGCTGACCCCTGCCCACAGCCTTGAGCCGAGCTGGGAACGGGGCTTGCAGAGAGGGAGAGGAGGGGACGGCAGCACTGTCCCTGTCCCCCCCCGTCCCCCAAACCCCACACCCGGCCTGTTCCCAGCGGCAGGGCCCCCCCCGCACTGCACCCCCAGCCCCGGTGTTCAGCGGGGCTGCAGCGTGGCTCAGTCCAGCTTGGCGAAGCCCCCGATGGTCACTTTCCGCTCCTGCTTGTTGGCCACCAGCTCCTGGAGGTGCAGGGCCCCGCCGCCGATGAAGCAGAAGGCCGGGCAGACGGGCCCGGAGCAGTCCACGCCGCACTCCCAGAGCTCGCGGAAGGAGACGGCGTCGTAGAAGCTCACCTTGCCCTGCTCGTAGTCCAGGCAGATGCCGATGCGCGGGGGCAAGGGCACGGTGCAGCCGTTGGGGTCGCGGGAGGTGAGCGCCGAGCCGTGCGACAGCAGGATCTTGCCCATGCCGATGGTGAGGAAGGCGTAGGGAGGGGGGGCCTCCACCGTCGTGTCCTCCGCTCCGCTGTCGTGGCCGCTGTCGGGGTCGTACCTGCGGCAGGGGGACGGGTGAGGGACGATTCGGGGCTCCCCTCGGCACCCCATAGCCGGGAGGTCACCAGCGCTCACCTGGGGCTCACCACGTCCTGAGGCACCTGGAACCACTCCTGGAGCTTGCTCTCCAGCCCCACTCCCACCTTGACCAGGTAGGAGCTGGGGTCCACACAGCAGGCCCAGTAGCTCTTGCCCTGCGTAATGGCCACGTCGCCAATGACCAGGTCGATGGAGAGGTGGCAGCTGGTCATGAGGCGCTCGGCAGCGAAGAGCATGGGGATGCCGGGCACGCTGCGCACGGCGCGCTGGTCCTTGCTGATGGCCAGGCGGTCCCGGTTGAAGCCCCAGCGGTTGTCCAGGAAGAAGTTGAGGACTGCGGGAGGGAGGAGGAAGGGTGAGGACGGTGCGGGCAGCCCATGGGCGGCCCCGAGCCCCGGGCCCCTCTCACCTGGGGCGGGCGGCGTGTGCAGGTAGATGTCCTCGCTGTACTCCCCGAATCCCGCCTTGTTGCAGCCCTTCACCCGCAGCACGTACACGCTGTCCGTGTCCAGGTACTCCACGAGGGCGCTGGTGCCGCGCACCTCCTCCCGCCGCTGCCACAGCTTCAGCCCCTTGGCCTTGGTGTCGGTCTTGCGGTACTCCACCGTGTAGTGCCAGGCGGGCGGCGAGTGCTGCGGCAGCCGCCAGCACAGGAAGATCTGGTCGTAGGCGTAGGTGCGCTGCGTGTCGATGACGGGGGCCTCGGGGGCTGTGGGGAAAGGCACCGGCGGGCATCAGGCAGCATCCCCCCCCCCGGCAGGCGGGGAGGCGGCCAGACGCAGGGAAGGGGCATTCCGGACGGACGCACGGACGCACAACCAGGAGTCTAAAGGGATCTGACTGCAGAGACCGCGTGGAGGCACCAGAGAGGAGCGAGAGTCGGGGGGACAGAGGAGCTGCTGCTGTGGGGCTGCAGGGACCAGACAGGCTGAGTGCAAGTCGGGAGGGAGGAAAGAGAGAGAAAGAGAGAGAGAGGATGGAGGCAGTGGGAGAGGAGGAGATGAGGATGGCGGGGTGAGGGTGCCGGTGGCACGGCGGGAGCAGAGGCAGGGTGGAAAGGAGGGTGGGGAGATGAGGGGATGGCGGGGGGAAGTGGGACGAGGAAAGGGGTGGAAATGGGGTGAGAAGGGGGACAGAAATGGGGTGAGGAGGGGATGGAAATCAGGTAAAAAGCGGGACGGAAATGGGGCGAGAGAGGGACAGAAATGGGGCAAGGAGTGGATGGAAATGGGGTGAGAAGGTGGTGGGAGGGCAGGAGGAGTGGCAGCAGATGGAAGAGTGGGGCAGAGCCACTGCCTGCCACCGCCATGGGGCAGGAAGGGAATGAAGGATGGCAGAAGAGCAGGATGGGGATGGAAGATGGCAGCGGAGCGGGGATGGGGCAGGACGGGGATGGAGGATGGCAGCAGGGATGGGGCAGGATGGGGCTGGAGGGATGGGACAGAGAGAGCGGGGCGGGCTCTGGGGCAGGGATGTGACTTGCCTCAGTTACTTCAGTGACGACTCGGCAGCGGGCGCAGCCTATAAACAAAGAGAGGTAGAAGCAGGTCTGAAAAGTGCCGCCGAGGTGCGGCAGGGCCCCGCGGCTCCTGCCCGGGGGGAAGCGCTGCCCTGGCCGCGGCGCAGCCTCCGTCCGTACTCACCCTCCGGCGCCGCTGCTGCCCTTACCTGGCACCACAGCCCTGCCTGTGCTGCCTCCGCACCCGGCACGGGGCGGAGGGGGGGTCTGGGGGCTGTAGGGGCTGTCCCTGACGGGGAGGGGGGACCAGCAGACCCGCGAGCGGCCGTGGCCGAGGGGCTGCACCTCCGCATGGGCACAGCCGGTGCCCGGCGCTGCTGCCGTTACCTCGGATGAAGGCCAGGTCCGTGAGCAGCTTCAGCTCCCTGCTGACGTCCAGCTGGAAGTGGCTGAAGGAGGCTGTGGCCGCAGGACGGAAGCTCTGCAGCGAGTCGGTGGCCCTGAGGATCCTGCAGCACGGGAGAGAGGGGTCTCAGTCAGCAAGAAGCTGAACGTGAGCTGCTTCAGAGCGTGCTGGAGCCCAGAGCCCCCCCCCATGTGGTGGGAGCACCCCCAGAGCGGGAGCAGCAGCTCAGGGAGGGGATCCTGCCCCTCTGCTCTACTCCGGTGAGACCCCCTGCAGCACTGGGTGCAGCCCTGCAGCCTGTGATGCTCACCCCCTCGGCGCCCTGGGTGCCTGCAGCCCCGTACCTGTTGTGCAGCTGCTTGGCAGCCTGGACGAAGCAGGGCTGGTCGGTCTCCTTCAGCACCTCCTGGGCATAGCCCACCATGCCCGAGTTCTCCAGCATGGCCTGGTGCTCCTGGATCTGGCCGTGCAGGCTGGCCAGCCGCTCCTGCTGGCACTCCTCGATGGCCTGCAGCAGGGCGGCCCGCTTCTCCTCCAGCATGGAGCACAGCCCCTGGATCAGCTGCGACACCTCCTCCTTGGCCTGCGAGCCATTCACCTGCCCACAACGGGGGGGGTCAGCTCACTGCATGCCCCGGGGCTGAGCGGGACAGCCCAGGGAGAGCCCGGGGAGAGCCTGGCCACTGCAGCAGCCTCCATTCCCACCTCTGTGTGCTTCACCGTCTCCTCCAGCTCGGCAATCTGGGTCTGCACCGTGTCCTGGCTGCTCAGGATATAGGCGAGGCTCTTTGTCAGCTTCTCCTGCAGGCAGGGAGGGGAAGCGCTGGCAGCTCCCACACCCCCACCCCACACCCCCCATGGGGTGACACCAATTCCCCCCCGTCCCTGCCCCAGCAGCTCTTACCCTGAGGGCCTGGTACGCGCTGAGCACAGGGGTGATCTTGTGGCTGGTGTGAGTGCGCCGCACGCGGCAGAGCTGGCACACCAGGCGCTGGCACGTCTTGCAGTAGTGAGTCACCTCCTCCTTGTGCTCCGGGCACATCAGCCCCTGCGTGTGGCCATAGGGGAGCTCAGTGGGGCTCTGAACCCACCCCCCACCAAACCCTCAGCACCCCAAAGGAGAGGGGAAGGAGCCGGTACCTTGGGGCGGAAGGTGAGGGTGGGCGGTGTGGGTTCGTGCTGGGCTTTCTGCGTGCCCCAGGGGTGGTAGAGCTTGAAGCACTCGTTGCAGAAGCTGGACTTGCACTCGGTGCAGCCCTTGGTGGCCTCCAGCTGCGGGGGCTTGCAGAACTGGCACATGATGGCAGCGCTGATGTTGATGGTCTGCCGGTAGCGCTCCACCACCCGCTCCAGCGTCAGGTTGCGGAAGAGGCTGCCCAGGCCCCGCTCGCCCAGGTCCACGTCCCGCCGGCACGCGGGGCACGGGAAGCTCACGCTCTGCGGGTGCACCGGGCCCCGCTTGCGCCCGGGGTAGGTGCCGAAGCCTGCGGGGGGGATGCGGGGAAGGGCGTCAGGCGGGGTGTCGCCCGCGGTGCCGTCCCCGCTGCCCTCCGGTCGCTCACCTGACTTGAGGAGGCGGTCGAGGCGGTCGGGTTTGGGCACAGCGCGGCGGCCCAGGCGGGGGCTGCGGGTGGCCGGGGTGGCGGCGGGCGAGGAGGGCTCAGAGGTGGGGTCGCAGCAGAGGTACCCGTGCTGCAGCAGCACCTCGCTGGCGCAGACGTGGCAGACGTTGTGTGTGCAGGGCAGTGCCAGCGGCTGCTTGTACATCTCCTTGCACACCGGGCACACCAGCTCCCGCTCCATGTTCTTCATGCTGGTCTGCGGAGAGAGCGGGGAGCGTCATCAGGATGGGGACCAGGGCTGGGACCAGCAGCAGGATGGGGACCAGGGCTATGACTGGGATAGGGGCTGGATCAGGGCCACAATCAGGACCAGCAGTGGGACCAGAGCCAGGACCAGCTCCAAATGTGTGAGCAGGGCTGGGAGCAGCATCAGGGCCTGGATCAGGGCTGGGGCCAGCATCAGGGCCAGGATTGGGACTGGGAGCAGCAGCATGGTCAGGACGGGGATCAGGAGCACCACCAGGGCTTGGATAAGGGCTGGAGCCAGCATCAGGGCCAGGATTGGGACTGGGAGGAGCAGCATGGTCAGGACTGGGATCAGGAGCAGCACCAGGGCCTGCATAAGGGCTGGAGCCAGCACCAGGGCCAGGATTAGGGCTGGGAGCAGCAGCATCGTCAGGATTGGGATCAGGAGCAGCACCAGGGCTTGGATAAGGGCTGGAGCCAGCACCAGGGCCAGGATTGGGACTGGGAGCAGCAGCAGCGTCAGGATTGGGATCGGGAGCAGCACCAGGGCTGAGATGGGGATAGGATGGGGGATGGGACCAGCACCAGGATCAGGCCCAGCACCAGGGCCAGGATCGGGCCTGGATCAGCACCAGGATGGGCCCCAGGGCTGGGATCGGGATGGGGCTGGGGCCGGCCGCGGTGGGTACCGGCAGCGGGCCCAGAGCCGGGCCCGCGGTGGGGAGGGGGGGGTCCGGATGCTCCGGGTCGCGGTTCGAGCCCCCCCACCCAGGGCAGCGCCGCCGCCCCGCTCGCCCCCCGTCGCGCCCCGCCGCGTTGCCATGGCGACGCCCGGCCCGGGGGAGCGCGGCCGGGCCCGGCCGCCCCGCGGTGCCCCCCTCCCGCCGCCGCCGCTCACGCTGATGCGGACGAGCGCGTCCATGATGGAGGTGAAGGTCTGCAGGTCCTCGCCCTCGGCCATGGCTCCGCGCCCGCTCCCGGCGCCGGTCCCCGCGGCGGCAGCACCGGACACCCCGCTCTGTTGCAGGGAGCGGCGGAGCCGAAGGGGAGGGCGGGGGGCGGCGGCGCGCATGCTCAGCAGGACCGGGGGCTGAGAGGGGGGGGCGGCGGCGGCACCGGGAGGCTCCCGCAGGGCCCCCGGGCACCCCGGGGCGGGTTCGGTGCTCGGAGCCCGTGCAACCGGTACCGGGGCTGGCAGCGGGGACCGCGGGGGGAAACGGCGGCGCCTCTCCCCGCCGCCAGGGGGCGCCGCAGCCCCGCGCCCGGACGCCAGGGGGCAGCAGCGGGGAGGGGCGGGGCCTCCCGGCGCGGGCGCAGTGCGCAGAGCGGCGGCACCGGGACGGCACCGGGGGGACGCCGCGGGGCACTATGGGTAACGGCGGCGGGGGGGCACCGGTAGCGATGGGGGGATGCTGCGGGAAGGGGGGGGGCTCGGTGCCGGTGCCCCCGCTGAGGCGCTTCCCCCCCCTCCGGTCGCAGCCGTAGGCACGGGCACGTCGCTGGCGCTGTCGTCGCTGCTGTCGCTGCTGCTGTTCGCCGGGATGCAGATGTACAGCCGGCAGCTCGCCTCCACCGAGTGGCTGACGATCCAGGGCGGGCTGCTGGGCTCCGCGCTCTTCGTCTGCTCCCTCACAGTATCCTTTGCACCGGGGGGCCGGGGCTGCGGCGCCTCCTCGGTACGGCCCCGGTACGGTCCTTAACCCCCAGCCAGGCCTTCAACAACCTCGAGAACCTCGTGTTCGGCAAGGGCTTCCAGGCCAAGATATTCCCGGAGAGTGAGTGCAGCGGGGCCGGGGTCAGCGGGAGCCGTGGGGAGGGGTTTGGGGGGTCCCTGCTCTGCCCTTGGGGCCGAAGGGCTGTGCTGCAGCCCGGGCCACCTGCGCTGGGGCTGCATCGCTCCCTCCTGCTCTTCCCGCAGTCCTCACCTGCCTCTTGCTGGCTCTCTTTGCCTCCGGCCTCATTCACCGTGTCTGTGTGACCACTTGGTAAGTGCAGACCCGGCTCGGGAGGGTGAGGAGGGGGAACAGGGACCCGCAGTGGGATGGAGGGGGAAGGTTGGTCCATCCCCGTGTGTTACTGCCTGAGCACCCTCATCTCTTCTTCCCCCACAGCCTCATCTTCTCCATGGTCGGCCTCTACTACATCAACAAGATCTCCTCCACTCTCTACCAGTCCGCAGCGCCCATCGCTGCCCCCGCCAAGGCCGTCGGCAAAGGCAGGAAGAGGAATTGATGTCCTGCAGCCCCCTCCCCTCCCCGCCGGGCCCAATAAAGCCATTTCTTTGTAGCTCCGTGGCTTCGGTTCCTCTCCCCGGGCTCCTCTCACTGCTGTGTGCTGGGGACCGGGCCCGCTCAGGCTGCAGCCGGTTCCTTGCTCACCGGTGGGCGATGGAGGGGGCACGCTCCATCCGCTGGCACGGCCATTGGGAACAAAGGGGCCGTGGGAAGGCTGCGGGCGCTGGGAGCCGTGGGAGGACCGGCAGGCCCCGCTCCCACGCCAGCCCCGGCACCGGACGCGGCGGAAGCCAGGTGTTTCCTGCGGCACCGGAGAGGGAACGGAGGGGGGGTGGAGGTCACCCGCCCCGCCGCCAGGGGGCGCTGCACGGGCCTCCCGCGGAGCAGGCGTTGCGCGACGTGGCGCTGCTCCGAACTACAACTCCCAGCGGCCCCCGCGCGGCTGTGACGTCACCTTGGCGACGGCAGCGGCGCGGGCCCGGGGACTACCGGAGCCGGTACCGGGGGGGGGGGGCGGCGCCCGGGGCCGGTGGCGGCGGGGCCGGGGCCGGGCTCTCACGGGCGCTCTCCCCGCAGGCCGCCATGACCAAGCTGGGGCAGTGGCTGTGCGGACTCGCGCTGCTGGGCTCCGCCTGGGCCGCGCTGGCGCTGGCGCCGCCGGGGCTGCGGTTACCGGCGCCGTTCCGCCAGGCCCTGCTGCCGCTGCCCGTGTACCTGCTGGTGGCCTTCGGCTGCTACTCCCTGGCCACCGTGGGCTTCCGCCTCGCCACCTTCAACGACTGCGAGGAGGCGGCGGCCGAGCTGCGGGAGCACATCCGGGCGGCGCGGGCAGACCTGGCCCGGCGCGGCCTCCGCTTCTGAGCCCAATAAACGGCGCGGACCGGGGGGTCCCGGGGTCCGGTGCGCGCGGGGGCTCCCGGGACGCTGCGAGGCCGCTCTCGGGGCCCGGCTCTGGGGCGGGGATGAAGGCTCCGGGACCGGCTCCAGCCCCGCGGGCACGGCGCGGGGCCCTCCGGTGGGGTTCGGGCCGGAGCTGCCGCCGCCTCGTCCCGGCCGCAGTGCCCGGATACCCGCGGCAGGAGCAGTGCGGAGCGGCCGGGGCCGGGGCCGTGCCCGCAGCACCCGGGGGGCTCAGCCCCACGCGGAGGCCGCTGCGCGGTGGCTCAGGCCGGGACCGACCCCCCCCGCGTTCCAGCCAAAGGCCTCTTGTGTTAATGAGCGCCCCGCGGCCAGGAGCCGCTGGCACGGGGCGGCAGCGCTGGGTGTAATTAACAGGAGGAGTTAATGAGCTCCTTCCGGCGCGGAGCGGGGTGGGCAGCGTGGGGGGGGCGGCGGCACCGCCCCCGGGTCGGTGCTGAGGGCAGAGAGCACAGGGCGGGAGCTGCGGCTGCTGTGGGCCGCGGTCTGGGCGCCTCAGTGCCCCCCATGTGCTGCTCACAGCCCCCTGTGGGCTACTCAGGGTCCTCCATGGGCTATTTAGGGTCCTCCATGGGCTACGCAGGGTCCTCCATGGCAGTCACCCCGCACACGGAGGGTGGTGGCGAAGTCTCCCTGCTGGGTACAGCTCCATCCTTGCCATGGGGCCACGTCCCGGTGCTCCGAGCCCACTCAGCTGGAGCCACCCGGAGCCCGCCCGCTGCTCCCGCTCCTTCTCCCGGTCCCGTTCCCAACCCCACTCCCGGTCCTGCTCCCTCCGTGTTGACTTTTCCCAGGCCACACACACAAGGTGTGAACCAGCGCTCGGGCTCTGCCAAGATCCTCGTCACTGCTTCCTTGATCCGCCTGCGTCACCCTCCCTTAATCCTGCCGGGGGGGGGTCTCTTGCCCCATGTGGGGCTCTCCTGCCCCATAGGGGTCTCTCCTGCCCCATGGGGGGGTGTTTGCTGTCACCTTTCCTAAGGCTGTGGTGGCTGTTGTGTAACTGGCACCCAAGCACGCTCCTGTCCCCTTGTTCCTGCGTTTGCTTGGTGGCTTCATTCCAGGTCATTGTTCATCGACTTTGGGTCCATGCCAACTTGTTCAAGCCGCAGAGGCCTTTTCTGTCCCAATTGTGACCAATGGCCCCAGGCTGCAGCTCTGGGGGGGGGGGGTCAGGCAGTGCCATCATCCCCTGGGTCCCATCCGGGGCTGATGCTTCCACTGGGGGCTGCTGGAGCCAGTGGGAAGAGCCCCCAGCCCCACACCAAGGGAAGGAACAAACCCAGCACCGGGAAGTCTCTGATTTATTCAAGGCACTTCAATGGGTACAAAAGAGACTTGGGGCTTCCCGGCAGCTCCGGGCATGGAAGACTGTCCCATGGGATAGGTGGGAGCCTGGGGGGCGCTCCTGGCACCCCAAAGGCATCGCTGAGCCCAACCTGACCTGGAGGGACCAAGGGCTGGGGGGATGCTGGTGAGAATGAACCTCAGGGGCAGGAGGTGGCTCCTGGTGCTCAGCACTGGAACTGGTCCCTGCTGGAGCAGGATGGGACGGGGGGGTCCTTCATGGTGCGGTGCCCTCAGGCAGGGAGGGGTCTGTGGGGCTTGTCCCGGTACCGCCAGAAGAGCCAGAACCTCACAACGCTGGTGACGATCCCCGGCACGTTGGGGACCTGCGGGATGGGGGGAGTGGGTCCGCATCCACCCATGGGATGGGGGGAGAGGGTCTGGATCCACGCAGCTCCTGGTGCTGCCAGGGGGATTTATTGACCTTATAGCATTTAATTAATGGGAATCAATCCTCGTGTCCCTGAGCCCAGGCACGGGCCCTGCCGTGTGACACACGGTGACAGAGCAGGGTCAGCCCAGTGCCACCGCTCAGCTGAGCACCATGGGATGGAATGGGATGAGACACGAGATAGGATGGGCTGGGACAGATTGGGATGGGATGGAATGAGATGGGACAAAATGGGACAGGATGGGATGAGATGAGACACAGGATAGGATGGGATGGGACAGGATGGAATGGGATTGGAGGGGATGGGATGAGAGGGGACAGGATGGAATGAGATGGGACAAGATGGGATGGGATAATGGGATTTGATGGAATGAGATGGGAAGGGGAAAGGGAAGAGAAGGGAAGGGCGCACCCTCATCCCCCCAACGCACCGTGATGTAGGGGTCTTGGAGCTGGAGGCCATAGAGGGTCCAGCTGGAGGAGGCCAGGCAGGTGGTGACAGCGAGGGGGAAGGACAGGCAGCGCGTGGACCTGCTCCGCACCACCCTGGCCTGCAGCAGGACCAGGCTGGGGCAGGGCAGCACCAGTGCCACCGCAGCCCCCCCGGCCCAAACCACCCCCCCGGCCCCACGCACCAGGTCTGCGAGCGGCGACAGGTACATGCTGATGGTGAAGGCGCTGCAGAAGAGCCCCAGGCGCGCCAGGCGCGTCCGCGCGTCCCCCACCACCAGTGTGAAGTAACCGTAGCCCGTGGCCAGCACCGCCAGCAGCGCCAGGCTCTGCAGCAGCACCGCGCGCTGCGGGGGGGCACCGTCAGCAGGAGGGTCCCCCCTGTGCCCCCCCATCAACCCAGGCTGCCCCCACCTTCGCGGGGCTGTAGTAGAGGTACACCAGGATGTAGAGGGTCTGCAGCGCTGCGCCGATGGTGTTGACGGCGATCAGGGTCCAGTCCTGCTTCAGGCACCCGTAGCCCAACCAGCTGAGGTTGCTGTGGGGCAAAGAGGTGCTTGGCAATGGGGTGCTGCCCCCCGGCACCACCGCGTGCCCCCAGTGCCATGAACCCCGCTGTACTTGACGTCAGTGGTGAGGAAGGGCAGGAACTGGATGTTCTCCACGCTCCTGGTTGCCAACATCTGGCGCAGGTCGGACCTATGGAGAGCGGAGCGGGGCAGGATCCTGGGTGCCAGCACCACGGTCCCTGCAGGCAGCAGGCACCCCAAAACCTGCACCCCCTGCCCTTGTGAACCCTAAACCCCACCAGTCCTGCTGCACCCCTCCCATTGCACCCCCAAACCCCCTGCACCAGCACCCAATGGAACCCATTGCACCCCAACCCTCCCACAGTCCCCGTGGGCATCCCCGCGCCCCCCAAACTGGCCCCACTGCACCTCTCCCCATAGGCCCCCCAAACTAGTCCCATTGCCCTCCCCACCGCACCCCACACCCCCTCTGCACCCCCAAACTGGCCCCACCGCCCCCCCACATCGCTCCCCCGTGTCCCGCTCACAGCCCGGTCCCGAACATGGCCACGGTGCAGCCGATGCAGGCAGCCGCGAGCAGCGGCACCGGGGCCATGCTGGGCCGCGGCACCGGGCACCCGCCGGGGCGGTGCTACCCGCGCGGGGCGGAGCGGGGCGGGATGCACTACCGGGGCGGGGCCGAGCACCGGGCGGGGCCCCCCCGCATCGCCCCATGGCACAGAGGGGCCGGGAGGGGAGATGCGATCGGACGGGGCGGATCCGGCCGCCAAGGACCCCGCATCCCCTCGGGCTCCTCACCGGGAGCCTCCATCACTGAGGCCCCAGCTCGCGTCCGGAGCCCATTTGCCAGCACGTGTCCTGCATCCCTGCGCTCCCATCTCCCCAGGACCCCCATCCCTGGGGTCACACATCCCTGTGACCCCCATCCCTGCACTCCCACCTCCCCAGGACCCCCATCCCCACGGTCACACATCCCTGTGACCCCCATCCCCACGGTCACACATCCCTGTGACCCCCATCCCTGCGCTCCCACCTCCCCAGGACCCCCATCCCCACATCCCTGGGGTCACACATCCCTGACCCCCATCCCCACATCCCTGCACTCTCACCTCTCCAGGACCCCATATCCTGGGGTCACACATCCCTGTGTGATCCCACATCCCTGGGGTCACACATCCCTGACCCCCATCCCCACATCCCTGCACTCTCACCTCTCCAGGACCCCATCCCCCTCCCACAGTTCCCACCTCCCCAGGACCCCCATCCCCACATCCCCTGACCCCCATCCCCACAGTCTCCCCACATCCCTGTGATCCCCATTCCCTACGACCCCACCTCCCCAGCCCCAAAGTCTCCCTCCCTGTGATCCCAAACCCCTGCAACCCCCATTCCCTTCCCCCCATGGGGCCCTGGCTGCACTCGGCCCCCTCCACACCGCCCCAGGCCTGGAAGCTCATCCCAATGCACAGGGACGGAGGCGAAGCCGCCACCCCCAAGCCTCGGGAGGCTCCGTGTCCGCAGATGGAGACAAGCGATGGCACCAGCGAACCGCGGCCGTTTTCCACTTCAAAGCCCTCTCCAAGCACCGGCCACTGGAGTTAATTCGCCATGGGCCATGGCTCCTGCCAAGGCCAGGCCAGCTCAGGCACAAGGTGTGGGGGGCCAGAACCCCCCAGCCCCACGTTCTCATTGGTCTTGGTTATTTATTCAAGACAATTGTATAAAAACACGTTAGAAAGCTGTACAAATGGGGGTGCACAAAGCACCCACTCTGGGTGGCGCTGGGGGGGCCCTCCAGCACCGGGGAATGTAAAAGGGAAGGGGGGATGAAGGATGGGGAAGGGGGATGCTCGCACAGCCCCGCTCTGCTGCTCACACATCCAGGCTCCCAGCGCCGGGGACACTGAGGCACCGTGGCCCCGCCGGCAGGACACGGTGGAGCCCCCCCCACGGTGAGCGCCAGTCCCGGCCCAGGGGAACCAGCCCCCGGCTCCCCTCCTGCCCGGGACAGCTCCAGCCCCGGGCTCCGGCTCAGCCTCGACGTCCTGCGAGGGCCGGGGGAGCCGGGGGGGTCCGAGGGCTTTGGCTGCTCGGCTTTGGCTGCTCAGCTTTGGCTTCGGGCCCTCCAGCCCGCTAATACTGACAAACCCTTCCTCTCCTCACCCAGACGGGCACAGGGCAGGCGGCCCCGGGGCACACACGAGGACCACAGGGGTCCCCCCTCCGCTGCATCCCAGCTCCATCCCCAGCGGCCATAGCCTTGGTCCATCCAGGCCCGGCGGAGCAGTCACAGCCCCTGCGGCACCAGGAGGGGCACGAGGAGGCTGATGAAAGTGAAGGGGCTGCTGCTCCTCATGGCTGAGTTCTGCCCCACGCTCCTCAGCACGTGCGCAGCCGCATCATCTGTGCCACGGGGACAGAGGAGCTGTGAGCATCACCCCTGAGGGAGGCACCGGGACCCACATCATCATCCCATGCAGGGCCTGCCACCAGCTCCCCCAGGGACAGCAGTGGGGCCCAGCACAGCCCCATGGCCACGGACCCATCTCTGCCCTGCAGGCACCAACCTACCTGCCTGGATCCTCCCCTTCTGGGTAGAGGCAGGGACCAGCGGTGCCTGAGCTGCAAAGCAAACGCAGGGTCAGGCTTGTGCAGCCCCCAGGGACCCCCCATGGCCAGGCTGCACCAGGGACCGTTCCCCACAGCCACCAGCACCATCCCAGTCCATGCTTGGGTGCCCACACCGGGGCTGGCTGTGACTCAGCGTAGGGATGGGGTGAGATGCAAGGGGGTCCAGGCAATACTCACTGCCTTTGCCAGCCACCATCACCTTCAGCTTCAGGCACGCTTCACCATGGTGGTGAATGGGCTTGGCTGCAAGGGAGGAGGTGGGTTAGGGCCTTGGGGGTACCCAGCAGGACCCCCCCACCCCAGCAGCGCCCCAGGCTCTCACAGATGTAGTAGTAACTGTGCCCCTCCTTGAACTCCTTGCCCAGCGTGAAGGGGGTGAAGCGCTGGAACTTCTCGGAGAACTTCTCAGGGCCGTGCAGGGCGCTGGGTTTGTTGCATTCCCAACGGATCTGCTCCTTGGAACGGGGCTTGCAGGCCTCGTACTCCTCGGGCTCCACCAGGTACAGGGTGTAGCGCTCCATGGCGTGGGGGTCCACGCTCCCCTCCTCGTAGTGTGGGCAGATGATGTCCAAGTAGTCGTTGAGCCGCACCTCCACGGTGTAATCGCTCCACAGGAACCTGCAGCAGGAGGGGTCAGCTCCATGGGGAGAGGTGGGGGGGCCCTTCCCATGCACCCCCAAACCCCCCCATTGATTCACTAGGCCAAGGGACAGCAGAGCAGCTCTTTCCAAAGGGCACCTTCGCTCTGCCCATCCCTGGGCAGCCCCACAGGGCCCAGGATGGCTTTGGGAGGAGGAGCCCCCCCCAGCACCCCCATTCCCAGCGCACCCCGGGAGCAGGGAGGGGACCTGCCCCAGCGCTGCCGGAGCCAGGAGGCGGCGGCAGCGATACCCGTGGGGCAGGCGGCCCGGCTGCAGGGCCTGCTGCTCCCCACACCTCAGCCCGGGGGGTGGCAGCCGGTCAGGGGCCTCGCTGGGGTCCCCTCTTAAAGCACATCCAGACTCGGGGGGATGGGGGGTACCCGCTAGCCCCAACCCCTGCTCACCGCTGGGGGGAACGGACACACGCAGCCCCACAACGGGTCGCCGATGGGGTAACCCCACAGCGCCGGGACCTGCGCGCAGCCGGGGCTTGGGGGGGCCCATCCCAGCCTTCCCCCCCCCCCCGCACATCCTGCCCTGGCGGCAGGAGCCGGGGCCAGTCCCGTGTTTGTCAACAGCTTCCCTGTGCCCCGGCGCCGGGGCTGGCGCCGCGCCACGGCCGCGGGGAAGGAAGAGGCCCCGCTCCCGCTCGGCCCTGGGAACGGAAAGGGCCCCCCCCGGTCCGCACCTGGGCCGGCCCCGCCGCTCCCACCCGCCCGCACCGGGACCCCCCCTCCGCGCACCTCCACCTTCCCCCGGCCCCCCGCGGCCCCGGCCGCGCCGCCCGCCCCGGACAAAGGCCGCCGGGGAGCGCCCAGCCCCGGTAGGGAGCGACGCCGTCCGCGCCCTCGGGGCCGCCGGTGGAGGTGCGCGGAGAGGGGGGGCCCGGTGCGGCGGCACTCACCGGGGGTTGGAGCTGTTCCAGAACACCGTGTGCCGCTCGGCCGCCGCCGCCCAGCACAGCCCGAGCCCCAGCAGGGCCAGGGGCAGCCACCGCCGCTCCATGCGCTCCGCGGGCCGCTCCGCCGGGTGGGCACCGCGCCCGGCCCCCGCCTTAAGTACGGCCCCGCCGCCGCCGCCGCCGCGCCCGCCCCGCGCCCCGCCCCGCGCACCGGGCGAGACACAACAACAACACCGCGGGCAGCGCGGGGGGGGGACGGCTCCAAGCGCTACCGGTACCGGGCACCAGCACCGGGCACCGAGACCCCGGTACCGGCCGTGGGGGGGGCGGCATCGCCCCCGTGGTGCTGCGGATGCGCGGGCGGAGGCGGGGGGGGAGCCCCCCGGAGGTTGACGGCCCCTCGAGAGCTGCGAGTGAGGTCCCAGTGATGGGGGGACCCTCGGACCCTCCCCGTGGGAGCCCCCTTATCTGGGGCGCTGGATCCCAGTGAGCGGGGCTGGGGGCTGCAGTGGGTGCTAAGGAGGTGCTGGGGAGAGGACAGGGGCAGCTGCCCCCATTCTTGCCCGCATCAGCTGCCTCGGCCCTCCCAGGGCAGCACTGCACAAACCCCACACACGTCCCTTGCTGTTGTTTGCTCTGTATCGCGACATCCCCCCCCCCATTGCCCCGGTGTGGGGTGAGGGGCTGCAGTGCCCCGGGCAGAGCAGCCGCTCTTTATCCATCTCCATGTGCCCCAGCGCGGATCCCTCCTCGCTCAGCCCTGCAGAGGGATGCTCCGTGGTGGGAAGTGATAACTCAGCCGCATTTGCAAAACAACTTTCCTCTTGTTTATGACATAATGATCCATTGATCGTGGGTAATGTTGCGTGCCCGCCGCCGCAGCCGTGCGAGCAGCGCTCCCCTGGCACCCGCAGGGGCTCAGGCAGGCGCCGGCACCACGGCCCTAACCACAGAGCGGCTCTTGGCTCCGGCAGCCCAGGGCTCCCACGAGGCCAAGGTGTGGGGCTGGTGCCCCACATCCCCCCTGCACCCCCCATGTCTTCCCCATGTCCCAGCCTCTCTCCCACGGGAGGGGACCTGCTGCCTCCCTTTCATCCCGCCTCGCTGTGGCCAGGCCTGACATCATTCCCTGCGCCGCGATGACTGTGCGAGGCCTCCTGCTCCCGGGAAGCTGGCGCTGCCGTGGCTTGCACAGGGGAGCACCTCCCGGGAACACCCCTGGGATCACAGCGCCAGAGCGCGGCACGTGCAAACCGCAGGGACCGGCACAGCCGGATGGATGGTGCTGGAAGCCGGTCAGCGCCGGGTCCCGGCATCGCCCCGATGCTGCCACCACCACACAGAAACAGGCCTGTGCTGGGGGCTTGTGGAAACTGAGGCAAGCAGCAGCCATGGGGGATCCACACTGGATCCATCCCTGGGATGTGGTACCCGGCACACGGAGCCAGGGCTGGGAGCCAGGTCCCAGCATCACTGCCCTGCCTGGCCCATGGCAAGAGCACGGCCCCACATCGATGGCTGCACTGGGGAGGAAGGACAAGCTCGTGTCCCCTATTAGGCAGAGCTCCAGGGATGAGCTGGGGCTGGAGGGGGCCCCGGTGCCTCCCAGTGCTGCATCACTGGGGGCTCAACAGTGGAGCATGAGCCATGGCAGGGACAGGGGTGGGCAGGATCACATATAGGGTGGTCGGCAACCCATGCAGGGTGGTACCCACCCACATGAGCACCGCGGGTGCCAGCGGTGCCGTGCACATGCCTGTGGTCACGGCCGCGCCGCTGGTGTGTGCTGGGCAGGGACCGCTCCGGGTGCCCCATTCACAGGGCAAAGGTGAAACCGTTTCACCCCGTTCCCGGCACCCCCGGTGGCACGGGGCAGGTGGGGCCGGGCAGAGGCCGCCGAGCTCGTGACCAGGGGTTTATGGCCGCTCGTCCCGGAGCGAAGGCCGCGGTGACGTGCAGCGCTGGCTGCGTGCAGCCCGGCAGGTAGGCACGGCCCCGACGCCAGAGCCGCAGCCCCAGGGCTGCCCAGCCACGCCAGGCCTTTTGCTTGGCCGGAGCGAGCAGGATGCTCCCAGCCCTGCCTGGGCAGCACCGATGCTGCCAGGGGCTGATGCAAAGGGGCGGTCCAGCCGTGCCCAGCCCCCGATGGAAGCCCCCCCAGTGCCGCAGGAGGCTCCTGGCTGGTCCGGTGCCACGCTGCACCTTGCCTAAGGGCACAGAGCAGGACAGTCGGTCCCCACGGAGCGGGAACCGTGCCATGCAAACACAGCAGAGTGGTGCCAAGGTCGAGGCAAGCAGCGGGAGGGATGTCGCAAGCAGAGCTCACGGTGCCACACGGTGCCAGGGTGGCCGTGGGTCCCCTGCTCCTCAACACGATGCGCCCCAGCACAGCTGTGGGCTCCCCAAAGCACTGCACTGTGTGCCGCCGGCACGGCCCTGTGCCACAACAGGGGCTGTGCTGGACCCCACGGCCGGGTTTGGTCCTTTGGGGATGCAGCTGGACCCCGCACCCATAGCCCCAGGGGCAGAGGCTGTTGACACCCATGGATGGGGGGCTCCGCAGTGGGGCCAGGCCCGCAGGAGCAGGCAGGGGGTGCCGTGGGGAGCCCGGCGCCTGCCGGCAGCGCCCAGGACCCGTCGGACGGGTTCTCCGGCTCTTCCCGCACCAGGACAAGCCCGGGCCGGCGGGACACGGAGCCACCGCCCAGCAGCGCCGCTGCCGGGGGGGGGAGCGGCCGCCCCAACGCCATGGCGGGGGGAGCCCCCCATGTCCCAGCCTGCATCGCGGGGCACCGGGGCTCCCCTGCACTGCTGGGGCCATGGGTGCTGGCTGCAGGGCTGGGTGCACCCCACTGCTCCCAGGGACACCCCCTTCGGTGGGAGCCCAGCCCCAGGGAGCCCCCTCCCCTCACATCCCCTTCCCTCTGGTGCTGGAGGGCTCAGGGGTGTCCCCATGTCCCAGAGCCATTGTGCAGTGTGTGCCGCATGCCCCCAGTCGCAGCAGAGCCAGAGGTGCTGGAGGGGGACAATGTGGGGAGTCCCATGGGGAGTCCCATGGGGCTCCCAGGCACATTGGGGTGCCAGCCTATGGCCTCTCGCCCCATTCAGCCGGTGGTGATGGTGAGGAAGGTGATGAAGATTCTCCTACACCCACTTCTCCCCAGCCATCAACACCGCAGGGACCTGCGCCCAGTGTGGGACCCGTGCCATGGCCACACACTGCCCTTACCTGCAGGTTGTGTCCATGCTTCCATCTGCAGGCAGCGCCCATTCCCAGCTGGATGCTCCATGCCTGGGGGGCAATGTGATACCCCCATGTGCCAGAGGCGCTAAGCCCATGGTGATGGCACGCGCCACGACGTGACAGGGGGTGGTTTTTTTATCCTTTTATTATGTTTTGTAATAGACTAAGAGCAGAATATGAAAATCACCAGCCAAAGCACTTGAAAAAAAGGTTCAGACTGTTTTTTTGTTCGGTTTCGGTTTCTTTTGTCCCCAAAAAGTGTCTGTGCGTTTGCATAGGTCGGGTCTTCACGGAAGACGAGGAAAATCCAACACGTTAGACTATGTACAAGCCAGCCCGGGGCCAGCACCGCTGCCTATGGTACAGTGTAGATAGATCTCTATAGTCGCTCTCTGTACAGTATGTATAGACTCTATATAGGTATGTACAGGCTGCCCAGCCCTGGGGGCCCCAGCCCTGGGCACCGGCAGGACGGTGGCAGTGGCCGGTGCAGCACCAAGCCGCATCCCCGCAGACGTGGCTGCATCCATCGGGAAGGGTGGAAGCGCCAGGCGGGATCGGTCCCTGCCCCGTGGGCGGCTCTGTGGGCAGGGGTTGGTGGTGCAGAGGGGACGGGGGTCCCGGGGGTCCCCGCTGGCTGTCAGCAGGCGGGGGGGGGGCCCTTCGCACCGGGAGCTAGGAGGCCAGCAGCGTCATGAGGAAGAGTGCGGCAGCCACGGCCAAGGGCAAGTGTTCCCTCTTGGGGCTGGTGCCGCTGATGCTCTTCTCCAGCTTGGGCATCTCCGGGTTGAAGTTGTCTGTGGGGAAGGAAGGAAGAGCAAGAAGAGGGTGAGGGTGGCATTGGGGCGGCCCCAAACCCCTCACCCCATGGCTGGGGCGCCCCCACGGGTGGCGGTGGCTTTGGGGGGGGGGCACAGACACGCGGCGCGGTGGGGCCGGGGCTCTGCTGGACTCACCCAGGTCCTCGATCTTCACCTCGGGCCGCAGGGTGAACTGCGGCAGGGTGGGCACCGGCTTCTCCCCGGCGTGCGACGCTGCAAGAAGGAGACAGGGATGGGGACGGGGATGGGGACTGGGATGGGGACCATGCTCCCGGCCGCCTGGTGCCACAGCGCCCCCCGGGGGGGACCCGCCGCCCCCCGCAGCCCCCGGGCACTTACTGGAGGCGCAGCACACGAACACCTTCATCTTGAGGCAGGCGCGGCGGTGGTTGTGCGTCGGGGTGGCTGCAAGGACAGAGCGGGCTGTGGGGGGGCTGGCATGGGGTATGGGGGGGGCTGGCCCTGCCTGGGGTGAGACCTCGGCTGGGGGGAGGCAGCAGCCGCATTCTGCACCCCCTGGAGTTAAACCTGCAGCAGTACCCTGCACCCCCAACACCCACACCCTGCACCAGCACCCCCCAGCACCCCCATCCTGCATTAGCACCCCCAACACCCACATCCTGCACCAGCACCCCCCAGCACCCCCATCCTGCACCAGCATCCCCCAGCACCCCCATCCTGCATTAGCACCCCCAACACCCACATCCTGCACCAGCACCCCCCAGCACCCCCATCCTGCATTAGCACCCCCAAGACCCACATCCTGCACCAGCACCCTCCAGCATCCCCATTCTGCATCAGCATCCCCCAACAGCCCCATCCTGAAACAGCATACCCCAGTACCCCAATTTTGCTCCCTCATACCCTCATCTCTCCCCATGCCTCATGACCTCTCAACTCTTCCCATACCCCGTCCCTTAGTCTGGGGCACCCACTCCCGCGGTACTAGTGGAGGTTTAGGCATGGGGGGTCCTGGCCAGGATGGGGATGCAGGAGGGCCCATGGGGGTGCTGGGGGCGGTACGTACAGATGTAGTAGTACTCCTGCCCGGCACGAAATTCGTAGCCCAGCGAGAAGGCACTGTACCGCTGGAACTTCTCCGAGAACTTGATGGGGCTGTGGGGCGCGTGGGACCGGTTGCACTCCCAGCGCTTGAAGCCCTGGCTGGTGTTGCAGGTGCGGTACCCCTCCGCGTTCACCATGTAGAGCACATACTGCTCCAGCCGGTGCTCGGGCACCGAGGCGTTGTAGTGCGGGCAGTAGATATCCAGGTAGTCATTGACGTTCACCTGCACCGTGTAGCCCTCCCGCCGCAGGCTGCAAGGGGACGGGGGGGGCAGCGGTCAGGGACCCCCCTGCACCTTCCCAAACACTGTGTCCCCCTCCTCAAAAGGACACAGGCTGGAGAAGGGCCAGCTCCCAGAGCAAGGAGCCCAGGGGGATGCTCAGCGTGGAGCCCCCGGCACATTGGGACCCTTCAGCCCCATGGACCCGCATGTGGCATCACCGGCTCAGGAGGGCGCGGGTGCTGCTGGGGATGATGCTACGGGTGCCACATGCAGGGTGCAAGGCAACAGGCACAGGAGGCAGCGCTGCTGTGTCCTGCCGGCAACGTGCGGCAGCACCAAGGAGGGGACAGACGCAGCGGGGCAGCCAGACCCGGACACAGCCACGGGCACTGCGGGACGCGGCTCCTGGTCCTCACCGCGCAGCCCTGGGTGCGGCGGGTGCTCGGCGTTCCCCAGCCCCACGACGGCCCCGGTCCCGCCACGCGCCGCAGCTCTGAGAGAGGATTTCTCACCCCGCTCCGGCTAATCCCGTTAGTTCGTTAATGCCATAAAGGGTGGCCCTGGGGGAGCCTCATTTACATTGATTAGGAGCAGCAATCCCCTCAGATCCACTCAGGAGAGGCTCCGCTGGCTCCTAATCCGCGGCCGATGGAGATCCCGGCCGCAGTAATCCCCGCTGCCGCGCTGACCCGCTGCTCCTGCCAATTAATTACAGCTCTGCCCGAGCTGCCGCGTTAGCACCGGCCCTCGCTCCACTGCCCAGCCCGCCCGCTGCCCCCCCGGGCCCGCTGCATTGGGGGTCCTGCAGTCGGCAGCGTCCCGGCACGTGTGGAACCCTGCGGTGCCTCGCTCCGGCTCGGGGCCCCTTTCCCCGCTTGTCATAGGATCATGGAATGGTTTGGATTGGAGAGGACCAAAAAACTTACCCAGCTCCAAGCCCCTGCCACTGGCAGGGACCCCTTCCACTGGAGCAGGGTGCTCCAAGCCCCTGTGTCCATCCTGGCCTTGAACACTGCCACGGCTGGGGCAGCCACAGCTTCTCTGGGCACCCTGTGCCAGCGCCTCAGCACCCTCCCAGGGAAGAATTTTTGCCCCATCTCAAACCTAAACTTCTCCTGTTCCAGTCTGAACCCATCACCCCTTGTCCTATCGCTCCAGTCCCTGATGAAGAGTCCCTCTCCAGCATCCCTGTAGCCCCCTTCAGACACTGGAGACTGCTCTTGAGGTCTCCACGCAGCTTCTCTTCTCCGGGCTCAGTGTTCTCAGCCTGGCACAGCCCATCCCCACCGGGCAGAGCAAATCCGAGTCTGCAAACGCAGCACTTGGGGTCCCCTCACCCCACGGGGGGGGTCCTGGCCCCCCTGGGAGCGAACCCGGCTGCCAGGGCTGGGCAGGCAGCGGGCAGGGCTGCGTGTGCAGACGCCGCACCCAGCACCAGCGCCCCCGGCGCTGTTTGGGGAGCCCCGGCACCCCGCCAGCGCCAGCGTCCCCCAGTGCCGGGCGCAGGGAACCGGAGGGGTCCCGATGTCTGCCGCAAAGGGAGGACCCAGGCAGCGGGGGCCGTGGGGGGGGTCCCGCAGCCCTCATCACCCATGGGGCAGGGAGCCCCACGCGGCACCTCCCGCGCCGCGCAGCCGCTATCCCGGCACCCGGCGGGCAACTCCTGCGCCAGCGAGGTGCTGAGGCAGCCACCCTTGCTCAGCAGCGGGGCGCCGGGACCTTTCATCTTCCGCCTTTGATGTGGTGGGGAGAGGAGGGGGGAGAAAAAGGCTTGTTATTAAAGAAATGGCCCCGAGGATCAAATCGCAATTAACTCCGTGCGGGATGCAGGGCCGGGACGCGGGCGCGCCCCAAACGGGGCCGGTGCCCACCGCCGCTCTGCCATGGGAGTGAGGGGCTGGCGGAAGCGCATCCCCAGGTCTCTGTGCCCGCAGGATTGACTCCTTGGTTCGTCCCCCACCCTATCCTGTGGGGCTGGGATCGTTCCCCTGCAGCGCCCAGCGCTGGGGCACCCCAACCCCCAGGACTTCACACTGGGGCTCATTAAGAACGTGGCTCCTGGTAAACAGCCTCGCTAATGAGCGCTGCCCCATTGGACCGGGGCACACCAGCACCACAGCAAAGGGGCACGGGGCACCCCAGATGGGGCTCAGGAGCCCTGCTCTCTATGGCAATGAGCCCCACGGGAGCTCACAGGCATCAGAGCATCGGCACCAGCTGTGGGGCGGGGAGGAGTGGGGGCAGGAGAATGGCCACAAATGGCTAGAACCAGGGGCCCTGGAAGCAACTTTGGGCACGACACTGTGTCCCTGCCATGCTCGGCTCCGGCACCACGGGTGCAGAGCAGCACCCACAGAGCTGGGTGCCCCCCAGTGCCACCCCCAGAGCACCCTGAGCTGTTCCTGCAGCACTGCCCGGCAGCACAGGGCAGGAAGCACCAGCGACAGGCGACCTGTGTGAGGATGGAGCCCCCCGTCCTGCCGGGGCCGCGGTGCAGTGCCCGAAGGGTTAAGCGCAGGAGCCGAGCGGGCAGCATCACTTCTGCACGACTGCGTTTTTAGAGCAGGGCTTTGCGAAGGCAGCGGTACCTTCCAGCAGCCTGTCTGCGCTGGGCAGATGGATGTCCCCTGGCAGCACCGTCCCGAGCACGGGCTGGGCTCGGCGCCCACCGGCTCCGCACCGGCGGGACCCCGGCTACCTGGTGCTTCACCGCGGAGCAGGGGCGGCAGCTCCGCTTCCACCCGCTGCCGTAGACCCGCGCGGAGCGCCCCTGCGCTGCCGGCAGCGCCTGGTGCACTGCAGTGCGAACCGGCGCACCCAGACCCCTGCCCGGACCTCCCCCCCGCGCCACGGACACATCCCCGCCGTGCGGAAAGGCCTGGAAGGGGGCACAGCCGGAGCTGGGCCCAGCGCCCCGCGTTGTGAGGACTGATGTGGGTGAGGGCGCGGTGCCCCCCAAGCACTGAGGTGCCCCCCCCCAAGCCCAGCTTGGCCCCTTTGTTTGGCTCCAGGAGCGTCGCGCTTTTGGCACACCCGAGGCGCACCGATCGGAAGGGAACAGGAAAGCGCCATTGATTTATGTGGTCCCATCCCAGCGGCCGCGAGAGGCGGAGGCGCATCCATCCCCGCGGCCCGTCCATCGGGACAGACGGAGCGGGCTCCCCCCTCCCCATCGCCGGCCCCCCCCACGCAGCAGCGCTGCACAGTCACGGCGCCCAGACGGCCGCGCACACGCGTGTGCAGACAGTGCCTGCGCCGCAGCCCACGCGCACGAGTGGCACAGTGCCACGGCACGGCCTGGCACGGCAGGGACCGCCAGCCCGCCCGCCGCAGCCACCACGGGCACTGCTGGCACACGGCGTCCCCGCGGCCACCTCCCTGCTCCGGGAACCGGAGATGGGGGATGCGGCACCAGGCACTGTGGGGCCATGGGGCAGTGCCCGCTGTGGGGTGGTGGGTACAGCCCTCAGCAAGCAGCCCGGGACCCCCAGCACTGCCCCACAGGTACCCACTCACCCTCCATCCCTATTGACGGCCACAGGATCCCTTTAATCCCTGCTAAAGCCCGGACCTTCCCGCTTTGCTAACAAGATCAATGAGGTTTCTAATTGGGTTTTAATTAAACCATCAATCTGCAACCAGTGACTCAATTACCAGCCTGGGCACAAGCAGGTAGCCCCGGCCCTGTTGCACCCCAGGACAGCCCCCATGGTCACACCCCATGGGATGCCACGGCCCCTTCTCCCATGGGAACGCTGCAGGCCCTGGCAGTGCTGCCAGGGTTCGGTGCTGCCTGGCACAGTGACCCATGGCACCCCCAGTGCCACAGCTGGGACCCATGGGTGGCAGGGGGCTCTGCACCCCATGGGACCAGCCTGAAGGGCACAGCCATGGGGTGGGGGGTGGCAGCTGATGAGCATCGAGCTGATGCGATGGAGAGATGCAGCAGGGCACAGCCCTAATATCAGGGTCCAGCCCCAGTGTCTACAGAGGACGCAGGGATTTGGGTACCCCCAGACCCTCCCAGGCCCCCCCAGCAGGTGCAGAGCAGGGCCACGGCTCTGCTCCTGGGCCAGATGCTCCCCTGGCAGTGGCAACTCCACACAAGGGCTCTCGAGAGCCAGCTCCAGCTCTCACCACCTGCAACACAAACTCAGCCATATAGAAGCTGAGAGTGTGGCAGCGGCACCGGCAGCTCTGGGGAGGCCACCCATGATACTGGGGCCTTTCTGAGCACCAGTGGGCTCTGATCCCCCTGCCTCAGCCATGCACCAGCACCCTGTGCACCCCGTGTCGCAGCAGCCACCTGGCTTCCCCATGGCGCTGGGTGCCATGAGGCCTCAAGCACCCAAAGCAGAACCAGGGTCACAGAGTGGCTCTGCTCTGGGGGGCTCCTGGGGACTGCAGCAGCGGGAGGGGGAGCTGGCCATGCCTGTGCCAACACACGGGAACAGAACCTCCATTCCCTCCTTGGCACATGGGAGACCCAACCGGCATCCTGGCACGTGAGGGCCTGGCCCGGCTGGGGACACCCCTCGCCTGGGGAGCCCTCGGCCCTACACCATGGGGCACCCCAGAGACGCACATTCCCTCCCCCAGGGATGCCACCCCCTCGACGCCAGCGCCGGGGCAAAGGCTGCCTCCACCTTTGCCCTCTGTGCCACGGTGCCTTCCCAGCAGGATTTAGGAGCAGGGGGCAGGGACCGGCCAAAGACCGTCCCATGCCCCTGGGGCTCACTCGCTGCCACCGGCAGAGACAGCAGGACAGGCAGAAAGCACACCCGGACCAACAACCTGACGGAGCAGAGGCACCAGACCCCACCTTCACACCTCCCCGGAGCCAACCCGCCTGCACGGGGTTCACTGCGTGCTCCATGGCCTGCCCAGCCCGACAGCACCACCCTTGTCTCCCAAAGCACCCCTGGGACCACGGTGGTCTCCATGGAGCAGTCCCTCACCAATGGGAGCCGCAGTGGGAGATGCCACCAGTTTGTGGGGTGCCCATCACAGCCTCCCAGGAGCACCTCGGGGCTGAGCCTGCAGCACCCCCAGTCCCCCAGAGAGTCCTGCGCGGCCGCACCAGCAGGTTTATCGCTGGGATTGCAGCGGGGTTGCTGGGATTTGCGGCTGCGGCCCAGGGAGCCTCGTTCCCCCCATAATTTATCTAATCCAGACACTTTGCCGTGCGGCTGTGATTGCGGACGAGCTGCCTCACAATAAATATCAGCTCCGGAGTCCCTGGGACACGTCTCTGCCGCAGCCGCCCCCACCGCGTCGCCCGTGCCCTGAGCCGGATGCTCGCAGTGGCCGCGCCAGAGACGTGTGCGCAGCGGGTGCGGGTGTCTGGATGCGACACCCCCACATCCGCACCCTGTGTCCCCCCCCGGGCCGTGGTGCGTGGCTCCGGTGATGGCACCGGTCTCGGTCGTGGCAGGGTGATGGCACCCGCCAACGCCCCGGCGATGTCACGGTGAGGGGGTGAGGCCATGGGTGAGAGCGCGCGGGCGCAGGGGATGCCGAAGCGTGGCCAAGCACCTCGCCATTGTGCTGCGCCTCGGCACGTCGCACACACGCACGATTTATGGGGCCCGAGCTTCCGCCTGGAGACACAACCTCAATGGGAGGGGAAGGCGCTGCGGGGAGGGGGACACACACACACGTCCCCTCAGCACACAAAGGGGTGCGGGGTGGGGGGAGCCCGTGGTACCCTGGCACAGCCCGGTACCGGGGGATGCTCGGCTGGGTATGAGGCCCCGCCACGCCCTCGCACCGGGAATGGGAGATGGGTTCAGCTCCGGCTCCCCACGGACCCACCGGGCACCCGCGCGGTCCGCACTCCCATCCGGCCCTGCCCATCGCACCCCACACCCGGGTCAGCCCCATCGCACCCCCCCGCACCCGGTAAAGGTGGGGGGGGCAGGGGGCGAGGGCAAGGCTCAGCCCCGGTACCGGGCACGAGGGCGGTGCCGGGGATCCGGGGCCAACACCACGGCTCTGCTCCCGGCGGCGGCTCCCACAACACCTCCGCTCGCCCCCCCCCGTCACCCCCGCACCGGGAGCTCCCGGCCCCGCCGCCCTCGGCACTGCCCAGGGCTGACCCGGGCGGGCGGCGGGTACCTGCCGGCCCCCCCCGCGGTGCCGCCGCTGCCGCTCCCGCACCCAGACAGGCGGGGGGGGGCGTCTGGCGGCGCGAGCGCAGCACCGAGACCCCCTGCTCCGGCCGCCGCACCGAGGCGGGGGGGGACACGGACCCGGTCGTGCACCTCCCGCGGTGCCCCGGTGCCCGCCGCGGGGCGGGTCAGCGCCCTCGGGAAGGGTGGGAGGGGGCTCAGTCCCCCGGTGCCACCGACCCACCCGGCCCCGGGGACCCGCCGCAGCCGCCGCAGGTCGGGTCGGTCCGGCCGGGCGGCTGCCGCCCGCCCCTCGGTGCGGTCCCCGCCTTCGCGGGCAGGGCGAGGTGCGCGGGGCCGACACCGGCACCCGGGGGCCCGGCAGCCCCGCCCGCACGGGGGCGCCGCGCAGACACCGACACCGGGGGGTCCCGCAGTCCCGGGGCGCCCCCCCCCGACCGTCCGCCCCCCGCCGCCGCCGCCGCCCCCCCCCCCCCCCCGGCTCCGCCGCTGCGCGCATCCTTCAGCGCGACCGCTGCGCGCCCCCGCCGCGTCCTTCCCGGCGGCGCCCCCCGGCCCCGGGGACACCCCCCACCTTACACCGCCTCCCGGTACCGGTCCCGGCGGCCTTCCCCCGCACCAGCCCCGCACTCACTGCGGGTTGGAGCTGTTCCAGTGCACGGCGTGCCGGTTGGCCAGGGCCCCCGGTGGCCCCCGGCCCGGCAGCAGCAGCAGCAGCGGGAGCAGGGGCAGGAGCGCGGGCAGCCGAGCAGCCATCCTGCCGCCGCCGCGGAGCCCCGCCGCGATCCCGATGAATGGAGAACGGAGCCGGAGCCGCCCGCGCCCCGCGCCCCCGGCGCCCAGCTCCGCCCCGCGCGCGCCCGCAGCCGCCGCCGCGCCCCCGCGCGCGCGCCCGCAGCCGCCCCGGGCCCGGCTGCACCGGCACCGGGCACCGGGGCCGCCTCCCGCGGTCCCGCTGGGGTCAGGGGCCACCGGAATCTTACCGGGACCCCAAGGATAGGGGCATGAGGGGCGGCTCCTATTGATACTGAGGTCTCACTGGGACCCCTGCAGGTGCGGGGACCAGGACTGTGTCCCGCCGGGATAAGATGTTGTGGGTCTTAAACAGGACCCCAGGGGTGGAGGCACCAGCACTGGGTCCCACTGACATTGGGTCACCCTGGGTGGGAGCAGTGGGGCTCAGGAACTATCCCCATGGGCCCATGTACCTGGGAGTCAGTGCCCAGAGGGTCTTTGCGGTGCTGCTGCCAGCACCATGAGGGTCACACGTGTCCGGAAAAGGGTGGGCACCCATCCACTCACCACCGGCACGGGGCCACGGTGCCAGAGGAGCAACAGCCACAGTGCCAGGTTCTCCAACTGCCTCATCCTGCCCCAGGAGCCTGCATGTGCTCAAGCACCCACGCATGGGGCTTGTTCCCTGGCTCTCTCCGACACCCCTGCCTTGTTTCCCCCACAAGGATCAATGGGGCAGAGGTACCCCGGGATACGTGGGGCCAATGGGTGCTCTCGTGATGCTGGTTCCCCCTGGTGCAGGAGGGGATGGAGCTGGATCCTTGGCCAGATCCCTTAGCAACTGCGGCGCGGTACCGCCCGGCGGTCCCATGTGCCAGGTGATCCACGCCCTGGCACACGTGTGCGCACACGAGCAGACACACGCAGCTCACCGGGGCCTGCCCCACGGGAGCACCAACACCGACCCAACGGGCCCGGCTCCCGTTGGATTTGGCAGCACCAGGAGCTTGCAAATGAAAGCAGGAGGGAGGCACTGAGCCAGGGCTGAGCTGGCTCATGGTCAAACACCACGTTCCGAGTCCCCATGTCCCCACTGCCTGCCACGGTGGCTCCATGGCCTGGGCAGGTGACTCGCTGTAGCTGCCCAGTGCCATGGTCATGGGGGTTTCTGGCTCCCCAAAGCTGTGGGGGAGCTCGGGACCCCTTGAAGCCCCTTTTTGTGCTCCCTAAACCCCTTTTGTGTGTGCAGATGCTGCCCCTGCCCATAGAGGAACATGAGGATGGTGGTGGCCAGGGTCTTGCTGAAGCCCCACACTCTTCCTCAGCACCATGGGGACCCAGTGCCAGTGATGCTGTGCCACAGCCCCACAGCCCCATCCCTGCCGGTGGCACCGGGGGCCCAAACCCCCACCGGAGCCCTGCCGGGAAGGGGGAGGGGGCCGGTGGAAGGGCCCCAAGGACCAAAAAAAGCCTCATTAATTATTCATCTGGAGAAGTGAAGAAAACACAACCCATGGAAAACGGCCCTGGGGGGGGGGGGGAATGTGAGGGGCGCTGGGGGGGTGTGCAGGTGCCGGGGCACCAGGGGCTGCTGGTGATGCCGGTCCCTCCCGGTGCACCCACAGGGCCGGGGCATCCCGGGGGGGCTGCGCACCTCTGGAAGGGCCCCGGCAGCACCGCGCCGCCACCATGGAAACGCCATGGCTCGGCAAACCCATGGCAACACACACCTCCACATGGAAACCCCCCCGCTCATGGCAACGCGAGTGCCGCCGCCAGCACCCGCACGCAGCCGCGCTCACCCTGCAGCTCCGGGGCACCCCGGTGTGCGGGGCCACGGCGGGATGCAGCCGGTGCTCTCGCGGGGACACTGGTGACCGGAATCACCCTTTGTGCACACGCGTGGGGGTGCTGGCAGCCCCGGGGCTTGGCGGTACCGAGGGGGCTGGGATGGGTTTGCTGACCACAGCATCCCTGGTGGGGACACTGCAGGCGGGTGGCTTCGCTCCCGGGAGGACAGGAGAGGCCTCAAGGTCTCCAGCAGCGCTTGAGCACGAAGCGGCCCTGGCGCCCCCCGTCTCCATCACCCTGTGCAGGACCAGCAGGTCTCTGCTGCACAGCAGCGGGGACTCAGGCAGAGCCCCCGTGCACCGGCTGGGGCAGTGGGCACAGGGGACCCGCTCTGCCCGCCCTTGTTAATATTTAACCGCGGCTTCCTGTGACAGCATGTCGCAACCGCAGAGCAGAGCCGGCATTCAATAAATCATCGCGCCCGGCTGGGAGCCGGGGGGGGGGGGGGCCGCGCCCAGCGGAGCGAGAGGGGGAGTCCATAAATAATTCATTAAATAAATAAACATGGCGAGAGGAGGAGGCAGGAGCGGAGCCGAGAGCGCGGCCAAGGCGGGCATCAAATATTCACCAGCCGCACCTCCACGGCCCCAGACGCGCTGAGCTCAGGGCTCCCTACCTGTGCCGGCACATGACCGGCTGGACACGGCAAGAACATGACAACGGCACGCGGGGCCGAGCCGCAGGGACACGGCACACGGGGCAGGGAGCAGCACCGGAGCATCCGCATGGTGCTCCCGGCTCCTGCCAGCTGCTTCTGGCAGCGCTTAGTGCCCACGGGCAGCCCCGTGCTGTGCACATGGACGGGCTTGCAGTCGCCCTGCTCCTCGTTGCCCCTTCCCTTTCCTATCCCCGTGTTGGTCTTTATATTTGAATGAAGGCCTCATGGATGGTCATGCCATGTCAGCGTCTCAGTGTTGAGCTCTGGGTGCGGTACCCCCGGCGCTGAGCCCCCCGCACCCAGGCAGAGCCCAAACCTCCCAGGTCCGCCCTTGGTGTGATGGCAGCGAGATGCAGGGTGAGGATGCGGCACGGGGGGTGAGGATGGGTGGCAGCGCTTCCAGCCAGCTCCCTATTGAACCGTGGGTCCAGCTTCATGCTGGGGGGTGGAGGTGGGCATGGGAGTGAGCCGTTAATTAGCACTGCAGAGCTGATTGAGGTGGAGCAGAGGAGGGTTCCTGGCCAGCTCGGAGCAGGGTGGTGGTGCTGGCACAGAGGAAATCAGCTTCCTCGCAGGGCTGGTTCATGGCACTGGGGCTGCTCCCGCTGACCGGCGGGGAGGAAGCCGCAGGCTCCCTGCCCTGGGTGCGCAGTGCCTGGGGCCCGGAAGCCTGGCTCGGCCGTGCCACATCCCTGGGCACGCAGCGGTGCCGGGTGGGAAGTGCCAGCATCCCGCTCCTCGTGGTTCCCACGCCGTCCTGGCATGTGGCCGTGCCACAAGCAGGTAACCCAGAGGCACCAGCAGCACCGCACTGAGCTCACCTCCTGCCAGCCCATGTCACGGTGGGTGCCCCACCGGGTGCCAGGGTCCCGGTTGCCCCCTTTGCCACATCCCGTGCTGGCGGCGGGGGCTACCTGGCAGGCAGCGCCTGAGTCAGCAGCCAGCACCGGGTGACTCAGCCGGCTCCTCTCCACCCGCATGGAAAACCTCCCTCGCGGCCTCAAGATCACTCCAATATGAGCCACCAGTGGCAGCCCCGGCCTCGCTACCCCTGCTCAGCACCTCCTGCTCTGCCACGGCTGTGGCAAGGATGGGTGCGAGGGCTGTGACAGAACGGAGCTGTTTGGTGCAGGCAGGGTGAGCACTGCAGCACGGCTCCACGGGGAAGGGACAAGGACACGGAGCTGGGGCTGCAGCTGCCAGGACCAGCACTTGCCTCCCCACTGGCCACCTGTGTCCCCTGCACTGGCCCAGCACCCATCAGACCCAAGCAGGCAGGGGTGGGCAGGGTGGTGGTGGAGAAGCCAACCATGGGACTGATGGCCTGGGTGGCTGTGTCATGGGGAGCCATAAACACCCTGCACTGAGCCACAGGAGCACCCGAGCGCACAGTGGAATGGGGACACCGAACATCTCAGCCCCCAAGGGACCTGCCCTTACCCAGTCAGAGCCAGCACTGGTTCTGATAGAGGGTGATGGTGCTGGAGCCTGCACCAGCCCCACTCCAGCCCTGCTGGCACATTCCTGCAGCCGCCCGCTGCCGGTGCCTAAGTGACGTTAATCCGATTGAGGGGTGACAGGCAGCATCAATATCCTGCTCCTGCCATCCATAGATCACACCACAATCAGCATCTGTGGCCGCCGGAACCGGGAGCACTGGTGGAGGTGGAAGGGGGTGACATGGGGGGGTGCCAGGCTGGGGACAGTGGTGTGGGTCCATGCTGTGACCTGCCCTGGGTTGTCCCTGTGCTCCTGCAGGCAATGGCCTTCAACACTGCCAGGGATGGGGCAGCCACAGCTTCTCTGGGCACCCTGTGCCAGTGTGTCAGCACCCTCACGGTAAAGAACTTGTGCCCTATCTGCAAGTTGAACTTCCCCATTTAAACCCTTGGATCCAGAGGGGGTCCCAGCATTAGGACCCCAGGACATGGCAGAGCCACCCTCAGGGCTGTGGGCCCTTAGTATGCAGCAAGTGCAGCTCAGTTGTGCTGTTGCTGAAAGGGCAGCTCCTGCCCATCCCACCCCTGGCATAGCAGGATTATTGTCCATCAGGATTAAGCAGTCTGAGGAGGTGCTGGTGGGGGGACACAGCCCTGCTGAGCTGCTGCTGGCACCCCGGCACGTGCAGGGGCACAGGGAGATGGGTGCAGGCAGGGATGGATGGAAAACCCATCATGGGATGGAGCCGTGTCGATGGACGGACACCCCAGCATGGGAGGGAGCCGTGTGGATGGACGGACACCCCAGCATGGGATGGAGCCGTGTCGATGGACGGACACCCCAGCATGGGATGGAGCCGTGTCGATGGACGGACACCCCAGCATGGGATGGAGCCGTGTGGATGGACGGACACCCCAGCATGGGATGGAGCCGTGTCGATGGACGGACACCCCAGCATGGGATGGAGCCGTGTCGATGGACGGACACCCCAGCATGGGATGGAGCTGTCTCAGGCAGTGTCTGCCTGCACCCATTGCCCCAGGTGTGCAAACCCAGCGTGGGGCTGGCAGCTCCCATGGGGCTGATGGAGGTGACCGGTGGTGCTGCTGCTCTGGCCCAGCACGGGGGACACGGGTGGGACACGACGGTCCTTGTCGGGTGCAGCCGGCGCGGCCGGTGCACGCTCCCTCATTGCCGAGGCAGGGCTTGGTGCATGCTCTGGTTAATGAGCCCGGCTCCCCCCAAAGCCCCTGCGAGCGCTCTGCTCAGTTGTAACCTTGACGTGAATCATCAGGCGGCTGCTTGGGGATGAGGCAGCTCCAGCCCTGGGCACCCGGTGCTGAGCACCGGTGCGGTGGTGCAGAGCTGCCTGGGTGTGGCGGCATCACGCAGGGGTCGCATCCCACCACGCTCCGAGGACCTTCACCACCCGGGGAAGGTGCTGGGCTCTGTGTTGGGACCCCAGGGCGCCGGGGAGCCCGTGGCCGGTGCCTGGTGGCCGGTGCAACGTGCCCAGTTCCCGGCTCAGCCGGTGCCACGCTCCCCGGGGCTCGGCACACGTGTCCCCTTGTCTCGGTGTCCCCTCGGCATGGAGAGCCGCTGGCCCCGTTTCCATGGTGACACGGAGCCATTTCCCATCTCCAGGATGCTCTCGGAGGCTCTCGGTGGGGATGGAAACGACTGCCCTGCACCCATGGGGGACGGGCAAGGACGGGACCCACTGCCCCTTCCAGCCCTCGGGGGGAGTCACCAGGTCCCGTGTCCCACCCTGTGTGTCCTGGGGCTGCCCTTGCGATGGCTGCGGTGCCTGAATCCATCCTCACAGGGCTGGCCATGGCCATGCCTTCATCTCACCTCCCCAGTCCAACACCTCTTTGTCCCTCTCTCCATCCCAGGGCTGCCCTTCACCATTCCACATCATTTCTCTGCTCCTGGTGATCAATTTTCCCTTCCCAATTCCCGAGGGTTTAATTCCCACCCACCCGGGGGACACGGACCCGATGGCCAAGGGCACCCAGGAACCATCACCCATGGGACCTGTGTGCCCACCCCAGTGTCCCAGCTGGCATATGGGTGGCAATGGGGAGCTGGGAAGGGGGGAATTGGCACTGGGGGGATTGCGAGACAGAAGGGACGGGCTAATGGAGCCTCTTCCTTTAATAGATTCAATTTCTGCCGCGGCTGGCTGCGGGGCGCGGAGCCATCAACTCGATTCAGGGGATGGGGAATCTGATTTGGAGCGCCCGTGCCATCAATTAGCTTTTATTGATGGCATTGCTCATTGGAAGTCGATGGGATTTGAAGCCGGCAGCAGCTCCTGCATACCAAGCAACGCCCGCTCAAGGACAGGGCCCCGGCACCCACCCTGGGGTCCCCACAGGGATCCCTTGCCCTCTCCTACGAATGCCCCAGGGGGCTGGGCTGGAGACAAGGGCGGCCCCAGCAGTGTGTGGGTCCCGCAGGGCACAGCCCCCCAGCAGCTCTGCAGAGGGGTCCAGCAGGGCCCCACCACCCCAGTATTCCTGCAGGGGGGTTCCATAGGGCCCCATCACCCCAGGATCCCTGCATGGGGGATATATCCCAGCATCCCCTCAGGACATGGTTGCCCCCAGCACCCTCCATAGGGGTCCTTTGGGCATGGTCCCCCCCGGCTGGTATCACCCCCAACTGGGGGGGTCCCACAGGGCACAGCCTACCACAGGACCCCCAGGGCATGGCCCCCGCTGCACCCCCCACAGTGGGGCCAGCCCCACAGCCCCCCATGGGTGCGGGTTTGGGGCAGGGCGGGCGGTGCGGCGGGGGAGGGGCGCGGCGCGGTCGATGCTGTTGCTCAGCCTCTTGCCAAGCCGTTCCTCCGGAGAAGCCATAAAACCTGTCTGACGTGCCCGGCCCCACTGCGGCAGCGCCGGCAGCGCCTGCCCGCGCGGGGACGGGGCTGCGGGGCCCCGCATGGGCCCCCCAAGGAGGGCAGTGCAAAGGGGGCTGCAGCCGTGGGGTGGGGGGCACAGGAGCCGGTGTCCTCCTGCATGGGGACGAGCTGCTGCTGCCGCTGCATCGCGGAGCCGTGACCCAGGATCGGCTCCCTCCACAGCCTCGGTGCCCCCTCGGTGCTGGGTGAAACCCCAGATGCAGCCCCCCCAGTGGGGCACGGCCATGGGCACACGGAGAGATGGACACGGGACAACAGACCCACGGGAAGCATGGGCAGGGCTGAGGGCAGCAACCGGGACCTGGGCACCTCAACCCCAGCACCCCTCGCCCTGGGCTCCGGGCCCCGCTGCCTGGGGCTGACTGCAGGCAGCTCGTTTGTAGTTAAAACCGTCCCTGTGACATGAGCCTACGGCTCAGTATCAAATCGCTGCAATTAACCCCCCCCACATTTAAAGGTTGTGGAGAGAGGCTCAGGCATCCCAGAGCGCCAGCTCCAGCATCCCTGAGGGACAGGGGATGTAGGCAGCAGGGACCAGGGGCTGCACAGCCCGAGGGCGCAGCGATCTTGCAAACACTGTATTGCTCGGCTCAGTCACTACCAGGGGTTAAAACCAAACCGAAGGGGCCGGTGACGGCATGGAGGAAGGCGTCTTCCCAGAAGACAGATCGGTGTGTCCTCGCCGGAGGACAAGGCAGCAGAGGGGCCTCCATCCAGCACCCGGAGGAGCTGCTGCTCAGCTCCAGGGCCTTGGGGGGTCCCCAGCCCCCCTGCGGTGGAGGGTCCATGGGGGAAGAAGGCACAAGATGAGTCGATGGCCCTGGGGCAGAGCAGGCGGCCACCGAGCCGCACAGAGCCTGGCACCGGGGCAGGGGTCCGGCAGGGCCGATGCGCGGCGATGCCGGTGGGAAGCGAGGTCCTGGGAGGGCAAGAGGCTCTCGTTAGGGGCTGCTGTGGTGCAGCAAGGGGGGGACAAGCTCCCGAGCCCCCCTCACCTTCCAGCCCAGAGCTCCTGGCCCCGGCTCGGCTCTGTGGAGGTCCGGCGGGTGAGTCGTACCCTGGGGCTGCCCCACGGGCTTGGGGGGAGAAGGGAGGCGATGGAGGAGGAGTCTGGCAGTGGGCGGTGGGGCAGAGGACCCGCGTCCCTGCCATGGGTCAGATCCAGAGCAGGGCCAGGAGCGGCAGCGCCAGGCACAGGGCGCGGGGCTGCAGCGGGGCTGCGATGCTGCGGCCGGGCTCTGCATCTGCAGGGGCAGGAGCACAGGTCAAGGAGAGCCAGCCCCCCCCGGGCCCCCCGCCTGCCCCACACTCACCCTCCGGGCCCCCGCGCCCGCGGGGCTGCGAATTGGGAACCTCTGTCACCGGCTCCGGCGCTGAAACAAACCCCAGTGGTGTCAATGGGGCTCCCCGGGGCCCCCGCACCCTGCAGCGGGCACCAGGGGAGGGGGAGCCCCCCGAGCCGGACTCACTGGTGCCTCTGCAGCAGACGGAGACGCGCAGCTTCAGGCAGCGCCCGGCGCTCTCGGGGCTGGGCACGGCTGGGCAGAGCGGACGCATCAGCGGGTCCCCCCCGGTACGGCCCCTCCGGCGGGGACCGGACACCCCCGGCGGCCGGGCCGGCCAGAGCGGGGCTGGGGCTCCCCCTCCCGGCGGACTGCGGGGCCGCCCCCTCTGGCATCTGGACCCCACCTTGGATCCCGATCCCCCCCCCCCCTTGCATCCCAACCCCAGCTCCGGTTGCATCCGGCGCCCCAGTGCAGCTGGATGCTCCCAAGCTCCTCAATCCTGGTTGACCCAGATCATCCCTCTCGCACACCCCGTGTACCCCAAATCCCTGTTACCTACAGATGCGGGGGTGCAGCCAGACCCTCTGCACCATCTGTGCCCCTCAATCTCCCCAACCTCTGCTACATCCAGAGCCCTGGCGCAGCGGGACCCTCCTCTGCCCCCCACCCCAGCTGCATCCAGCCCCTCAGAGCACCCCGACCACTCGTGTGCCCCAAACCCCTCCCTGGACGGCGGTGGGACCCCAACTCACAGATGTAGTAGTAGGTCTCCCCCGGCTGGAACTCGAAGCCGAGTGGGAAGGGGGCAAAGCGCTGGATCTTCTCGGAGAAGCGGACGGGCCCAAAGGGTGCCTGGGGCTTGTTGCACTCCCAGCGCTTGAAAGCACCGGGGGTCTCGTAGCAGCCGCGGTAGCCCTCCCGGTCCACCATGAAGAGAGTGAAGGTCTCTGCCCGCCCGGCGGGCACAGACCCCTCGTAGTGCGGGCAGTAGATGTCCAGGTAGTCATTGATGGCCACCTGGATGCTGTAGTCGTCCCGTAGGAACCTGCCGGGCAGGGCGAGCTGGGGAGCGGGTGCTGGGGGTCCCGTCGTGCCCGCGGAGGGACACGGGGCAGGCAGACCGGCAGACAGGCTTTTAGCAACCACTGGGCTCTGCACAGCCAAGCATCAGCTTGGGTCAGCTGCAGGAGCTGGACGTGCTCAGCTGGGGGGGCACACAGCCCCTCGCCACAGGCGCCCGCCTCATTGCGCCGGCACTGATTGATGCTGACATCCCAGTGGGGCTGCCCGGTTTGAGGCCTCCTGCCCTGGTGCCCCGGTGTGGGGCTGGCAGGGGTATGGGGGCTCTGCAGCCAGGGAGGGGGCCCCGTGCGGTGCCTGCGCAGGCGGCAGCGGTGGCAGCATGAGCTCATGCCTGTGCAAACACCGCGTGTGGCCAGGCCGGGATGGAGCACACACGTCTGCAGGCACACAGACGTGTGCACGCACACACATGTGCACACACACATACACACGCATGTGCACACGCTTGGTCCAGCTCCAGGACAGGAGTGCTTCTCCCCATTCCCAGCCTTTGCCAACCGGCCACATCCCGGGCACGCACTGGCCTCGCTGGCAGCGCCATGGTGGGGATGGGGCTGCCAAGCTGGCACCTGGCTGGCAGGGGGACCCCATCGAACCAAGGAAGGGGCTGGTGGGGGGGTTCCAGCCCCCTCCTTCATCCCAGTGCAGGCCCATGCACCAAACCCAGGCTCCAGGCAGTGGGACCGGTGCAGTCATCATAGGGGCACCAGTGCTGCACTGGGGGGGTCCGGTCGCCATCACCCCCTAGGTCAGGGACTCTGGGAGGGCAGCACCGGGCGCAGGCTGCCCGTGACTCAGAGCATCCATCGCCGGGCGACGCGGCCGGGACGGGCCTGGGCAGGGCTGAGGCCCTGGCCCCCGGCAACCCCAGCCCACCCCTCCCCGCGGCACCCATGGGTGGGGGGAACCCGCTCATAATGCAGCATGAGTGCCCCCCAGCCCTGCGACACCCCAGTGGGGGAGCGCGGCCCCCGGCTCCCTGCTCCCGAGCTGGGAAATGCCCAAAATGGAGGAGGCAGGAGGAGGGAGGGGGCCGGACCCCAGCCCACCGCGGTGGCTGAGCCGGCGGCAGCACCGGGGGTGTGGGGGGAGCACAAAGACCGCACCGACACCGGCCCTGGGGACCCGCAGCCCTGGTGGAACCTCCCAGAGCGACCCCAGGCCCAGTGCCCCGGCTCGGTGCCGCCTGAGGGTGCCCAAAGCTCGGTACCACCGAGGGCAAGGCGCTGCACGGCACCGGCCCCATCGGGGACCCGCCCCCCCCGGGCTGTGAAACACCCAGAGCTCGGTGTCACCGGGGCTCAGTGCCACCAGCAGTGCCCCATCGCTCGGTGCCACCGACCAGGGGACTCGGTGCTGCCCGGGGCTCAGCACCACTGGCAGCACTCCCTGCTCGGTGCCATCGGGGATGCCCGGGGGCTCCACACCACCGGCGGCACCCACCGGCCCGGTCACTCCCAGGGGTGCCCCGGGACTAGCTGCCCCACCGGGCGGTAACTCACCGCGCCGGTATCACGCGGGGATTGCCCGGGGTGGGGGGGGGGGCTCGGCGCTACCGGTCGGTGCTCACCGGGGCCCTCCAGCTCCGCCCCTCTCCCCGTTCCCCCGGCGGCGCGGGGCTCGGCGGGGCCCGGGGCGCACAAAGGCGGCGGCGGCGGCGGTACCTGGGGTTGCTGCCGTTCCAGTGGACGCTGTGGCGGGGGCTGCGCACCGGCGGCGCCCAGAGCAGCGGCGCCCAGAGCAGGAGCCCGAGCAGCGGCGCGGGGCGCATGGCTCCGCCGGCGGCGGGGGGCGGCGGGGCCGGGGCCGGGCGGGGGGCGGAGGAGGCCCGGCACGGCTGAGCCCGGCCCGCCCCGACAACTTCGGGCCAATCCGCGCCGCGCCGCCGCCCGGCAACTTTCGCCGAGCGCCATTAACCCTTGTGGGGGCGGCACCGGCGGCACCGGGACCCCCGGGCTGACCCGCGCCCATCGGCACGGGGACCCGCAGCCCCGTAACCCTCGCCCCAACACCGCCTGGTACCGGGACCCGCGACCCTGAACCCACCGGGAGCCGAGTCCCCGGTACCCCCATCCCCGGGACTGCGAACATGGACCGGCTCCGGGGCCCGCCCCCCCATCACGGGCAGCGGCAGCTCCAGCGCCCACCGGACACCGGTACCGGCCCGGGCCCTGGGGTGAGCGTGTGTGTGTGTGTGTGTGTGTGTGTGTCCGCGTATGTGCGGTGTGTGTGTGTGTTGTGTGCGCGTTGTGTGTGTGCATGTGCGTGTTGTGTGTGCGTTGTGTGTGCGTGTGCATGTGTGTGTGTGCGCATGCGTGTGCGGTGTATATATGTGTGTGCGTGTGTGTGTGTGTGTGTGCGTTGTGTGTGATGTGTGTGTGAGTGCATGTGTGTGTGTATGTATATGTATGTATGTATATGTATGTGTGTGTATGTATATGTGTGTGTGTATGTATATGTATGTATATGTATGTATGTGTGTGTGTGGTGTGCGCGTTGTGTGTGCGTTGTGTGTGATGTATGTGTGTGTGAGTGCATGTGTGTGTGTATGTATATGTATGTATATGTATGTGTGTGTATGTATGTGTGTGTATGTATGTGTGTGTGTGTATGTATGTGTGTGTATGTATGTGTGTATGTGTATGTATATGTATGTATGTGTATGTATGTATGTATGTATGTGTATGTATGTATGTGTGTGTGTGTGTGTGTGCGGCGGGGTCCGGTCCCTGCACACGACAGCAGCTCCTGCACACGCGTGTAGCGCCTCGTGCACACGTGCGCGCACACGTGACCGGCAGCTCCTTGCACACGCGCGTGCTGGGGGGGGTGGCTCCGTCACGTGCCCGTGCACACGTGGCTTGGGGGGGGCGCAAGTTGCCCGCCAGAGGGCGCAGCGCACTGCGGGGGGGGGGAACTTCCGGGGGGGCGCAGGGGCTGCCGGGAGTTGTAGTTCCGCGGCCGGTACCGGCGATGGGGCCGGGCCTACCCCCCCCCCCAGCACCCGCCGGGGCTCCGGTGCGGCGGAGGCAGCGCGGAGGCAGCGCACGGGCAGCAAACGGCCCCTTTATTGGCGTCCATGGGGCACGAGCGGGCGGCGAGGCCCCGTCCCGCAGCTCACGCATCCTGCTGGGCACCCGCGGGCGGCGGGGGGGCCGGCCTGGGGAGAGACAGGGCGGTAACGGGGGGGCCGGGTCCCCACGGTCCTCCCCCCCAGCCCCGAGAGCCCCACCGCGCTGCAGCCCCACTGCGCATCCCCCTTAACCCGCACTTTGGCTTCACGGAACACCCAAATCCCCTCGGCGCCCCACTCCGGCCCCCAGAGACCCCCCGTGCTCACCTGGAGGGAATCACTGTGACATAGGGGTGACTGGGGAGTGTCTCGCTGTGGGGCAGTGATGGTCCTGCGGGGGCTGAGGGCAGCGGCCGCCGAGGTGGAGGGGGCTTGGCCAGACCTGGGGGCTGCAGGGCAATGGGGGTGTCAAAGCTCCAGCAGCGGCCACCCCACCTCTATGGGCTCCCGGGGGGGGGCACAAACCGCTTCCCTTGCCCCATGGGGAGCCTGGACAGGCACACGCCGTCCTGCCCCACACGCCAGTGCCACCACCACTGTTACCTGTGTGCCTGGCACCACGGGGTCTGCAGGCAGTGGGCGTGTGGGGGGGGGCGGCCTGTCCGAGGGGGGCGCCTGGGCAGAGAGAGCAGGGGACAGCTCAGGGTTGGCGGCCATGTGGGGCACCAGGAGCCACACTGGGGCTGGGGGTCCATGAGAGCCGGTGCGCAGCCACGCATGCAGCAGTGCCCGGGCCCCCCCCGGCCAGGGCGTTACCTTGGGCGGAGGGTCCGGCGGGAGAGGCCGGGAGGGCGGATCGGGCCGCGCCGCGCCGAGGGCAGCCGGCTGCGGAGAGAGGGAGAGGGCAGGCGCCATGCAGCCCCACAGTGGGGCAAGCCGTGCAGCATGCGGAGACCCCCCTCCCACCGCCAAGCACAGACCCCCCCCGGCCCTGCTCAGCCCCGTGCCAAGAGCCCCAGGGTGCCCAGTGCTGATCCCGGGTGAGTGCAGCCAGTGCCAAGCGTGGCACCAGCATCTGAGCAGCACAGTCCAGGCTGTGCCAGGCTGCTCCTGTCCCGGGGCGCCGCAGGCTCAAACCATGAGGCCCTGGTAGAGGGGATGCTCCAGGCGGGTACCCAGGGATGCTCCAGCTGGTACCCAGGGATGCCGCCTTGGCAACCACCAGACTGAACCCCGGTACCCACAGCAACCACAGCCGGTTACCACGGCAACAGCATCACCCTTGCAAGTATCCCCCCCATCCCCATCCCTCACCTTGCTGCTGTGCATGACCTGCAGCTCTGTTGCCTGATGCCACTGTGGGGGCCGGGGACGCTCGGGGGGACCCTGGCTGCCTGACCGGGGCTCCGGCTGCGAGATCCTGTAGGGAAGAGGCAGGATCAGGCCCCGCCTGCTGTGGGTGGTTGAGGGGACCCCACATGGCAACCAAGCGACACCGACACCAGCAGAAGCCCAAGAGAAACGAACCCCTCGGCGCCGGAAGATGCGACACCCTGCACACCCCAGGGCTGCCCCACACCCCACGGGCACTGCCAGGGGAAGATCTCAGCACCGGAGGCCTTGCGAAGCAGGATGGCTCAGGGACAGCCCCACGCCAGGCTCCGGCAGTGACGTTACCCGCTCCAGCCGTCTGCGGCTTCTGGACCCAGGAATCGGACCCGGGTCTCAGCACTGTGGGGAGAAGATTGGGCAGCTCAGCCCGGGGCCAGGGGGACAGCGGGAGGGAGGAACCGCAGTGACACAGGGCAGGGAGGAACCGCGGTGACACGGGGTGACGATGCATGAACAGGGTCTGCTACCTGCGCTGGGGGGATGCACATGGGAGCTCACACACACAGAGAGCCCGGCGCCTGGCCGGGGGCACGCACGCATGCAGACCGCTCACTCAGCCGCCACGGGACACACAAGTATGTGCAAACGCACATGCAACGCGCCGCGCTTACCCACCACACACGTGTGCATGCCCGCATGCAGGTAGGCGGCTCCAGCACCTGCCCCAGCACACGCATGCACACACGATGCACGGGTACCCCATTACCTGTACTGGCAGGAGGTGCCTTTGCCGAGCTGGCAGAGTTGCTTGTACAGCCCGGCCCGGCGCGCGCAGCACAGCCCCAGCGCCAGGGCCAGCACCAGCAGCGCGCTCAGCAGCAACGCCGTGGGCAGTGCGCTCCCCCCTGCGGAGAGCACCACGTCACCCCCGGCTCCAGCACCACAAAGCCCCATTCTCTGTGCTGCGGCGCCCGCCAGCCCCTACCCTCACCTCGCTCCATGGCCGCAGGGCCACTGTCCTGGCTGCCCCCTGCACCGGGGCTCTCGCAGGTCGGGGGGGCCCAGCCCCGCTCACAGTGGCAGTGCCCGAGGTTGTTGCACACCTGAGTGGGGGACACTGAGGGTCAGCGCCTGCCCCGGCCCCACATCCAGCACCCGATCCCCAGCCCCACACGCTCACCCCGTGCCCGTGGCACTTGCTCTGGCACTGCTGGTCACCAAGCGCAGACACGTCCTGGCACCGCCGCTGGAGGCACATCTGGGGGGACGAGGCATCAGCACCTATGAGGGCCCTGGTCCCCCTCCCACTACCCCAGTACTCACCTTGCCAGGTCCACAGGAGGTGCCGGGCAGCACCATGGCTGCATCAGTCACATCCTCACCCCTAAGCACCAGCGTCCCCTGGCAGGATCCTTCTGGTCTGTCCCGGTGGGTGCTGCCGCGCTGGCACTGCAGCATCCCACAGCCAGCATCCCTGTGGAGACAGCACATTCATAGGGCAGGGGAGGCTGGAAAGGGGGATGGAGCTGGAGGGGCTTTAAGGTCCATGCAACCCAGCCAAGGCTGGGGCTCTGTGAGAGTGAGGGGGGACAGCACTCACCGCTGGGCACAGGGGATGTAGGAGCCGTTTGGGAGCTGCCCGCAGTGCCCGCGTTCATCCCCTCTCATGTTCAGCGAGGCCATGCAGGAGCTGGAGACGGGGCGGGTGCCTGCCGCAGGGGGGTCAGCACACCCCAGCACCACCACCAGGCCCGTGCCCCCCAAGTCCCGACCCCGCCGTACCCGTCCCCAGCAGCTGCTGGCACTGCCCCTCATAGGTGGCACAGGCGCCACCAAAGCAGACCCCGCGTGCCGCGGCGCAGGGGTGCCCGTCCTGCAGGAAGGTGTCGGGTGGGCACTGCGGTGAGGCCCCATCGCAGAACTCGGGCAGGTCGCACTCGCCCAGCGGCTCCCGGCACTGGTGCCCGGCACGGCGCAGCTGCGGGGGGGGGGGAACATTCAGACAAGTGGGGGGACCCCAACAAACCCACGGCAGGCAACAGTGCCAGTCCCCACTCACCCGGCAGTCCTGGCAGCAGCCGTCCCCCGTGGCACACTCGGCACCGGGCATGAGCTGGCAGGTGCTGCTGTTGCAGCAGGGATCAGTGCATTCCTGCCAGCACAGGGGCTGTGGTGAGCCAGGGGCACAACTACGGCCATGGGGGACCCCGGCCCACCCGGATCCGCCCTCGTACCACGCTGAGACCGCAGTCGCAGCCCTCGCCCGGCTCCAGGAAGCGGTTCCCGCAGCGGGGGCTCCCGGCCAGGCGCCGCGGCTCGGGCACGTTGGAGAGGCACCGGCCCCGGCCCCGGCGCAGGCTCTGCTCCAGGTCCTGCCGGCTGCAGTTGCTGAAGCTCAAGCCGGGCGTCAGCCTGCAGAGCAGGAGAGGGGCCGGTGAGGTGGGGAGGGGGCTCGGGCCCGGACCCCCCGCAGCCCCGCTGCCGCCCTCACCCCGTGGGCAGGGCCATGATGCAGCCGCGGTCCTGCCGGAGGTCGCTGCAGGTGCAGGAGCGCCCGTCACCATCGTGGCGCAGGCCCAGGTTGTGCCCCAGCTG